TCTGACGCGTCTGCAACAGTTGTCGCTGCACTGGAGGAGCGTCTCGCCAACGCCCAGAAAGAGCTGGAAGCCGTCAATGCCCAGAAACTGGGAGCTGAGCAGCAGCTGGAGAGGCTCCGGAGCGAGCTACAGACTGCTACTTCAGAGCGTGATAGTGCGCTGCTGAAGCTTCAAGACGCCACCACGTCAGGACAGCCTTCTTCTGCTGGTGCCGCACCTGCTGCAGCGCCCGAGGCCGGAGAGGGCCAACCTGCTGCAAATAGTCTGTCCGATGCTGAGAGGAAGGCACTGGAAGATAGGGTTGCTGCAGCCGAGGCCAAGGCGGCCGAGTTTGAACAGAAGGCGAATGAAGTTGAGGCCAAGATTCAGCAAACGATCAAGGAGCGGTCCGATAGGATGAAGGACACGTTGAACAACAAACTCAAGGAGAGCCGCGCCAAACTGGAAGAGGAGTTCAAGAGAAAGGACGAGGACCTCAAACTCCGATTCGAGCAGGAGAAGTTGATTTGGCAAGCCGAGAACACTCCCAAGGCGGCTTCCGCGAAGGAAGCCCCTGCTGCCGAGCAGCAGCCTCCGCGCACGCCAGCCAAGGCCGAAGAAACGTCAGCCCCCGCCGCTCCAGCTTCTGGCGGGCCTCCCGACCTGTCCCAGCTCGACGACTCAGCCATCCGACAGTTTTTGTCTACCAACGGGACGGTCAAGAACATCATCGCTGCCAACATCCGTAAGAAGATGGATGCAGAGAGTGCAAAGATCAAATCAGAGTACGAAGCCAAAATCACGGCAGCGCGCGAGCAAGCTCAGCTCATGGAATCGAAGAAGTCTACGCTACGCATCAATATGGCGGAGAACAAACTTAGGACTGCAACCGCGAAACTGGGCGTGGTTGAGACAGCAGCAAAGGAGACGCCGCAGAAGCCAGTTGTAGAAGTCTGGGAGGTTGCCAAGTCGACTCAAGCTCCCCCCCCTCCTCCAGCAGCATCGGCAGCGAAGCCGCCGGCTCCAGCCTCGGCTACTGGTACGCAAGCGAAGCCGTCAGTGACGCCTGGCACAATGCTGCCTATCTCACCCGCCAACCCGCCAGCTGCAGCTCCGGCTGCCCAGCCCGTCGCCAATGGCCCCAGGCCCGCAGCTGCTTCAGCACAGTCTGCTACCCAACCTCCCGCAGAGCCCAAGGCTGCAGACACGGCCGCGCCGGCAACCAGCGGAAACCCGCCTCCCCAAGGTACAAATCCATTCGCGGTACCTGTGAATGCGAGCAACGCAGGAGGTCCCAACCCGTTTGCAAAACAGGAGACTGCCGACGCACCCGCAACCCAACAGACGCAGCCGCAGCCGCAGCCGCAGCAAGGCTTGCCAGGGGCGCCGCAAGCATCACAACTGCCGCAGCCGCCAAACCTACCACAGATCCCACCGCAGCCCCAGCAGCAGGGCCAGATGCCAGTTCGATCCGGGATCCCGATGCCACGTGGGGGCGGTCGTGGACGAGGAGGAGCTTACGTGCCTCCTAGCCAACGTGGAGGAGGTGGCAATGAAGGGGGACAGGGACATGCTGGCCGTGGCGGACGTGGCGGTGCTCGTGGAGGTCGTGGAGGCATGAATGCTTCGGCCGCCGAGTTCCAACCCGGGGCGAAGCGACCAAGAGGCGATTCGGAAGCCGCCGGTGCTGGGGCCAAGAGGGCTAGAGGAGCTCATTGAGGGCAACGCAAGTGTGTGAAGAATTTGCAAGGCTGAGGAACTTGGTAGATCTTGGGAAGGGGGTTTTGCAATGTATAATGCATGAGGAGGATGAACTCTCGATTTATCTACTCAATGTTTGTTTCATTATCAAGGGGGAAACGACTTATGGAGATATAAAATGGATGGGGAGGACATTGGAGACGCATTGCTGTATTCTTAGCATCATTACTATTTAAACTCAAACATTTTCTTTTCCCTTTTTTTCTCAGACGCTTCTTCTCTCAAAGAACTTTGATGTATTTCAGTTGAATTCGAAGAGATCTACTGGCATTTGTCGTGGGATGAGTGTGCTCGATACTCTATCTGGCCGCTTCTCAAAGTGCGGAGAGAAGTACTAGGTACCTATGCACTTGCAGGATGTACTGCCTACGGTAGTAGTATCTGGTACTAGGTACCTACCTTGGTGGATCGAGGCCTAGCGGTGCCGTTTTCCACTAAGATAAGCCCAGCAGGGGGAAAAAAAAAATTTAGGAGCTTCATCCAGCGATAAGAGAATCTGGCGACAACTTCCACCTTTGCTTGACACTGATACTGGCATCGATGCTAATTTGTTGGACTTCATTGGCGCTGAACTTGGAATCGAAGCGATCAGAAACGTCGAAAGAGCCTCGATGGGACCGCCGTCAAACAAGCGAAAGCTTCCCTCTGCCGCCGCACCAGCCGCGAAGCGCAGCAAAAACTCTGCCAAAGGCGCTGCCGCTGTCACGAAACCGCAACCGAAACCGAAATCGAAACCGAAATCGGACCCAAAATCGCAATCGAAGCCGTCGCGGAAGCTGGTCGATGCTGCCGCTCTCGCCTGGCAGTCGGTCGGAGAGGAATTCGGCGGGCTCGAGGTGATTGAGGGCGTTGACGTGGTGAGAAATGGTGGGACTGTGCAGTTTTTAGTGGCGGAGCAGCAGCAGCAGAAACAGAAGAACCCCGACTCTTCCGATTCATCAGCACGCAAACAGGGGTCGAGCAAGCACGAGAAATCACCGACAGACGCACAGGATGCCGTCGGCGAGCCTTCTAAAGGGTCTGGCGACAGCGCTGTGGAAGGCGAGGATGTCGATTCCGGCGAAGCTGGCGCTGCTCAAGGTGGCGTGGAGGGCGAGAGCGGCGAAGAGAAAGCTGCAGGAAAAGACAGGGCCGGCGACGAGAAGAAGCAGAAAAAGCAGAAGCAAAAAAAGCAGCTGGAAACGGCCGACAAAGAGCTACAGAAGCCCGCTCCACGCAAGCAGCAGCAGCAGCAGGGCAACTCGTTCGACGCGCTCATGGCCGTGGACGACACAGCAGAAGAAGCAGACATGGCTGCCTGGGTGGAGCTGAATCTGTCGACGCGCGTCGTGTCTGCGATTGCGAAACTGGGCTTCCCGAAGCCGACGCTGATCCAGCAGAAGACGATACCCGAGATCCTGGCGGGCGAGGACGTGATTGGCAAGGCGCAGACGGGATCTGGAAAGACGCTGGCCTTTGGTATACCGATCGTGGAGAAGTGGCTGGAGCTGTATGTGGACAAGGCAAACGTGAAGCGCGAGGGCCCAACGGCGGTTGTTCTCAGTCCGACGCGAGAGCTGGCGAAGCAGCTGTCGGACCACATCAAGGCGCTCTGCGATGGATTGCCGACGGCGCCCTACGTCTGCACCGTCACCGGTGGCCTGAGCATCCAAAAGCAGCAGCGGCAGCTGGAGAAGGCCGACATTGTCATTGCCACGCCCGGTCGTTTGTGGGAGGTGCTGGACGGCGACATGAGCTTGCAGAATGCCTTCACCAAGATCAAGTTCTTGGTCGTCGATGAGGCAGACAGGCTATTCAAGGCGGGACAGTTCAAGGAGGCGGAGGACATCATCGGAGCGCTGGATCGACGGGATCCCGAGGCTGACGAGAATGACGAGGACGACGATCTTCCTCCGCGGCAGACGCTCGTTTTCTCGGCCACGTTTGATAAGAACCTGCAGTCGAAGCTGGTGGGCAGAGGGAAGGGCCCCAAGGCAGCGGCGGGGAGCGACGAGGAGAAGATGGAGTATCTGATGAAGTGTCTAAAGTTCAGGGGCGAACCCAAGTTTATTGATGTCAATCCGGTGTCGCAGATGGCTGACGGCCTGAAGGAGGGCTTGATTGAGTGTGGCGCCATGGAGAAGGTGAGTTCTCTACGTTCCGAGCCTTGCGTTGTTATGTCCTCTCGCTAACCATAACTTACTAGGATCTCTATCTCTACACTGTCCTTGTCCTCAATCCCGGCCGTCGCACTCTCGTCTTCACAAACTCCATTTCGGCCGTCCGCCGCCTCACCCCCCTCCTCCAGAACCTCGGCCTCTCCGCACTCCCTCTACACTCTCAGATGATCCAAAAGGCTCGTCTGAGATCCATCGAGCGCTTTGCTGCTGCCAAGAACTCCATCCTTGTCGCAACAGACGTGGCTGCCCGTGGTTTGGACATCAAGGAGGTCGACCAGGTGCTGCACTACCATGTGCCGCGCCAGGCAGATACATATATCCACCGATCAGGTCGAACGGCTCGTGGCGATCGTTCGGGCGTGAGCGTCATTCTATGCTCTCCAGAGGAAGTCTTGCCCACGCGACGCCTGGCAAGTAAAGTACATGCCGAGCGAGAGGGTGGCGGCGGTGTCAAGCGGGAGCATTTCATCGAGACGCTCTCCATCGATCGCAAGATTGCATCACGTCTCAAGACTCGCGTCGATCTGGCCAAGCGCATCGCTGATGCTGTCTTGGCAAAGGAAAAGGGCCATAGTGAAGACACCTGGTTGCGCAACGCTGCGGAGGAGCTTGGCGTGGACTATGACTCTGAAGAATTCGAGGGCGGTGGACCGGGTAACTGGGGTGGTCGGGGAGGGGGTCGCAAGAAGAAGGAGAAGGAGGCCCGTCAATTGAGCAAGGCCGAGATGGGAGCGCTGCGGGCACAGCTGCGTGAGGAGCTGAGCAGGAGGGTTAACCTTGGCGTGAGTGAGAAGTACATCACAGGAGGAAGGGTAGACATCGCCGCGTTGTTGAGGGAGAAGGAGAAGGGGTCTGTTGGGGGTCTGTTTCTGGGAGGAGACGGGCTTTTTGGGTTGAATCTATAGACTTGCTTGCTTGTATGCGGACGCGCGGACACTGACTAGATGGCCATGAAGGGAGATGAATATCCAGCACGATATGAATGTGGATTCGATGCTCTACTCTGTTTCTTGCGATGCCGTATGGGAATTCAATTTTCGTGTCATCATTATTCCGTATATAAGCTCCTATCGTCTCAGTGTCCAACGCTCTTCGCCCATCTCACGCCTGCGCTTTCTTCCGTCGCACCTGAATCTCTGCTTTCAAGGGAGGCAGGCAAGTGCCACCCAAGAATTGCTTCTCGGGCAACTTCCCAACGAGCTTGATGTCGTAGTTGAGGAGGATGTGAGCCATGATGAGCTTCAGTTCGTGCGCGACGAAAAACCGTCCGGGACTATCCGAAAGTTAGCATCCTGACATGTCATGTGTGTGCATCGTCTGAGTATGGCTCACCATGCGTGTCTGCCGTGGCCAAAGGCCAAGTGCTGCGCGCTCGTCGTGACCATTCCAAGACCTCGAATCTTGGCCCCCTCCTCTGCATCGCGCTTCTTCTCTTCGTCCGATTTCGCATCCCAGGCTTCCCTTAGTCGAGAATAACGGAGAGGATCATACGAATGGGGATCGGCGTACAGATCCGGGTCGTGATGCGTTCCCTCGAGATTGACGGTGACAAAGCTGCCCTTGGGAAGAGTCCAGCCCAGATCGGGGTTGTGCAGGCCGTCCTGAGCCACTACTGTCCGTTCGATCAAGGTGGCGGCGAAGTTGCTCACTCTCTGAGACTCGCGGATGGAGGAGTCGAGGCGGACGAGTTTGGAGATGGCGGCCTTTGTCCAAGGGCCGGAGGAGGGCTTGTTGGCGGTAATTTCGGCGCGAAGGATGTCAAGGATGCCGGTTTCGGGGTCGGAGGTGAGGAGGTCTTGCATCCAGAGCTGGCCTGTGAGGACGGTAGTGTGGATTGCCGCGAACTCAATAGGTAAGAGACGGCGAGAAATAACGATAGGATCGAGCTCGAAAGTCTTCTGGTCGAGGAGGGCTTGTCGGATTAGCCAGGTGATGAAGTCTTCAGGGGGCGTGTAGTCTTTGTATTCTTCATCACCGGCGGCTTTCTTCATCATGGCGCTGAGGCGCCTCTGGATAACGGGCTGGGCCTGGGTGTTGGATGAGCGCCAGTGGATGTAGTTGGATATGCTGAAGAGTCGTCCAAATATGGGGTGGAGGACCTTGGGGAGTAGGCTTAGCAGGAGACCGTTCCGGACAACGTCGTTTGTGAAGTTGATCATGCCATGAAGAAATTGCTTGTTGCGGCAAACCTCGGGTCCTATAAGAAGCCTGTTTGTGACGTGCGGGACGATATCGAGCCAGAGGTTCCATAGCTTGATTGACTTCCAGTTGTCCGTGTCCTTTCCAAGTGCTGTGTCTACAGCGTGCTGAATCTCGTCGTCGACGTTGGGGATGACGGTGGACAGATGGCGCGCCAGATACTTGTGCATTACACGATTGGGGAACGGATCGTATGCTAAGCGGCGGCCAAGAAAATTGTACTGGGAATAGAGAATCGCGTTATGGGCGTCGTAAGTTGAAAGGATTTCGTCAGGCAAGTTGAAAAGCCAAGCGAGCTGGTCGCGCGGGATGACGACTTCTGAAGGGCGAGACAGCGGCGCTCGCACAATGAAGGCCATGCCCTTCTTGCCGAACTGGAGTTTAAGCGCATTGTGTTAGCAATATCTTCGAGAGACGGATGAGTGCTGCTCACTTTGGCGTAGCCATCCCTTAACCAGCTTACGTAGCTTGTAATGTAACGAAAACTGTCGAGAAAGGCGTTGAGCACTCCATGGCCCTTGCCCATGACAGGAATCTGGCGAGGATACTGCGGATGGCTGGCGAAGTCGACGATGAAAGACAGGACTAGGAAGAGAGCGCCAAAGCTCCACAGCTGGCTCGAGGTCACAGACCCCAGCAGCTCGGGGATAGCCATACTGAATGGATGTGTTTTGATGCGATGAAACGTGATGAGATGTCTAGGCTGGAACGGTCGCTGCTTGTTTTCATACTCTTTTCACCGATGCGTTATCCATCACTCACGAGCAGCTGTCATTGCGACGTTGCCTGATTGTGAAAGAAAATGGATGTCTTGGAAGAAAAGATCCTACGGAAGGATGAAGAGAGGGGACGGACGTCTGTGAGAGGTGACATCGCAGCGCAGCTAGCCGGGGGGGCCATGCTTATGCGAACAGGGCTATAAAAAGCGCGAACCATCAGCGACAACTTCACTCGGGAACGGAGGGATTAGCCGTTGTTGTGCGGGAGCACAAGCACGACGTGGCGTTGGATCGGGCTGTGCCAAGCGTCTCACACTGTCAATGTTGACGAGTCGATTCTGTAGTCGACCCTTGGATGACTGTACTGCCCTGGCGCCTATAATCGCGTTCGTGGTGGGAAGCCGACGGGATAGGATTGACCCATCGGAGGCGAAATCAACCATTTGGTGCCGTAGCTTGACAGCAGATGATATCAGAACTATTATGGCCTCGACAGTTGTCTGCCTCAAGGCAAATGAAATAATGTTTGTCAGGCGAATCAGATAGTATAACCTGGCTTAATCGGTATTAGTGGTTGCACGAGGTGACGCTGTCTGACGGAGCCATTGAAAACCCCGAATTCACGTAGGCAGTGGTATCAAGAGGATGATGTCGGTTCGGTGCCTCACTGGGTTGGACAATGCTATTGGCCACCCAAGCGAGATTGCGGCGACGCATCAGAGACCCTGGGCTTCTCCGATTGAGAACTGATTCAGTGGTTGCTGATGCGCTTTGGCGACTAGGTACCAAGCGGAAATGCGGGAGAGGGTAGGCTGCATGCGGCATCCAGAGTCGACATGTGAAAGTAGAGCTGCTTCAATTTGCTGCGGTTAATCTTAGTACAGGCCGGTAGTGTAGAATGTCGGTTCCAAAGATAGTTGGAAGAAGCCTCACTTTCCATTCCTACGCTCAACGGCTAGAGCTCTGTCTCTATTGCGACGAACTCAATGGGTAATAGACGTTATTTCACCCTCTACCGGATGCTAAGCCTTGCGGTGTACAGTAAGATACCCTTTTTGCATAAACGAGCCGGCGAAGGCGCTCTATACTCTCGCAGACTGTGCGACAATGATCGCATGTGACACTGTCCAAGTATTCCTGGGCGACGAGATCTTGATCTTCATCATTGCCGTTCTGTGGTTGATCAAGACCTCCACTGTCATGCTCAAGTCGACAGTGCTCGACAAGGGACCCAGCGGTGTCGAAGCGTGCTGTAGAGTGCTCACACTTGAAGATGGAGAATGAGAGGTTGTCGTCAGGGCCATGTGTCTAGGGCGCAATCGGCATCAGAGGCATGTTGAAGGCAGGCGATGGTTGAATGGGCGTAATTGTATAAGCTTCTCTTTGGTCGCGTTCTCCTCTGCTTTATGGACTCCGTCATCGGTGACTATGACCTTTCGATCCGTCTTCTCATAATTGGCATAAGTCTTGCGGCGAATGTTTCCCACGGCAAATTTCTTTGCGGCCTAACGAAAGTGGGTTGCTGGCTCCATTGACTGCGTCCTAATTCATGTAAGGCCATTCTCGTCAACGTATGGATCTCGGACGAGGTTATTGTCTCCACGACCGGGCTCCTTTTCCGAGCCGTCGGCGGCGGCGTGCTCCACTTCCAATTCGTCGGCCACGGCGCGGGGCTCCTCGTCCGAGTCGTCAAATGCACGATCGAACTCATTCTTCCGAGCCGTCGGCCGCTTCCTCGAAGTCGCTGCCATTGTTGTCGACGTCAACCTTGGAGCGGCCGGAGGAAAGGCTGATTGATGCAGCGGGCCTTTGAGCCATCTTTGACCTGGGAGACACACTGTAGAGATCGGGCTCTTCGTCGTCGTCGTCATCGTCGCCGGCCGATGTTTTCTTCATTGGGCTGGTTCGAGAGACGACCTGAACGCCTTTGGATAGTGACTGGCGTTGCGAGAGGATCGGCGAGACGCCTCTTTGGTGCCGGCGTGTCCAGGACGGGTGCGCTTCGCTTTGCTGGCACCGTCTCAATCGTTTCGATGCGGAGCATGGACGCACTGTGATCCTGTTCAATCTCGGCCTGCTCGTCCTTCCTGTCGCCGGCGACGGGGAGCTCATACCAGAGGACATCTCTGGCAGACTTTGTCCAGCCACTGACTCCATTAGTTTATGCACGAAAGTATGAGATGATTGGTGTACCTACCAGACTTGGCGAATTCCAGCAGTTCTATTTATCTCTGAAGGCCGTCGTTGGCCTTGTTGCGGAGTTTTGCGCCGAGTGTCTCCTTGACAGACCGGGTCCAGGCCTCCTCCATCGCCACCTCGATCTCCTCGCACTCCCGCTTGGTGCGTTCGCAGTCGCGGGTGTAGGTCTCCAAAAGCCTTACGCTGTCGGCGATTTTGCTGGGAGAAGAAGAAGAAGAAGAAGCCATTGTGTCGATTGAAGCTATCTTACATGTCAGTACAGCGCCGGGAGCCAGCGAGATGACGGTCACTTACAATGGGAGGACCACCTGAAATATTGTCGACTCACGGGGAGTCGAACAAATCCACAACCAGAAGTATCGTCAGCCCACGGGGGGCTGAGCTTCGGAGGACAAAGACGGAGAACGTTGGTAGCTGTCAGTAATTGACGACCGACTCGAACGGGCACCACGGGCAGGACGCAGAACGCAATACGCAATTGATTCGCGCTGTTCGACAATACTTGGACATCACATTGGCCCAATTGTCGCAATGCGAAAATACATGTATAGTCCATCAATTCTGTGGGAGTCTCCCTGGGCGGTATGGCCGCTCCTTCCTCCTCCTGAGGTCTCGCCAACCATTCTGCCGGATTCGCTATCGATACCGGAGTATTGTGCAGACATGTTGAATGATTGCCAGCCTGGATTGCAAATGCCTTCGATGAAAGTGAGATGGCTTGTTCTTGGACGTGTATGTACGCTGGTAGTTTGTGTAAGCCCATGCATCTCTGGTGGTGCCATCGTCGCCTAGTCGCCAGCTTTGTGTCGGATGCCTACCTACCGTTAAAGCCTTGTGAGGGTGCCCTTGCATCGGCCACCATGGAACAGGGTGGATATTGAGTACGCGCTTGAAGGCGCCTGCGTCAAGGCTAATGAAGAACGATTATCAGGCAAGTCAGAACGTTATAGTCTGGTTTAACCGGTGTTGGTGCGTGAGGTGATGCTGTCTGACGGAGCCTTTGAATACCCCGATTCCACGCACGCGGTAGTATCGGGAGAATTCTCTGGGTTCGGTGCCTCGCGGGTTGGGTGCTGCCATTAGCCCCCCCACGCGAGATTGCGACGACGACAGAGCATAGAGCCCAGGCTTCTCCAATGGATGACTGATCAAGTGGTCTCTGGTGTGTGTTGACAACCATTATTTGGCGGGCACATAGGAGAGAATGAACTGCATGGGGTATCTAGAGTTGACATGTGAAAGTAGGAATGCTTCACATGCTGGCCAGTCTCGGTACGTGCAAGTCGTTTAAAGCGTTGGCTGGAAGATGTGGGAGAATATTTGCATTTCATTCCTCCGCTCCACTGCTAAAGCTCCGTCTCTGGAAAGCTATGATTGCAACCGGTCGATATGAGCTCAATCGAATGCCAGGCGGTTCCCTGGAGCATCCGGTCGTATGCGTCGCGCCTAATCGCAGAGTGACGCATAGAGAGGCTTGAGGTGAGGGAGGCATCAGTGGTTTGCGAATCGTCTTCGCCGTTGACACTGTCGCTTTCAACGACGACCAGGGGCTCCAATGATCGTTCTCTAACGGCGTCTCTGACCGCTGACACTGACTGTCCATGATAATCTATTGGCCCTGGGCCATCATCTTGAACGATGATGGTTCTGGGACCAACGCCATGGACAGCGCTTGGTGATGTGCAAATCAAAGGAGAAGCCGACCTTGATCTGCAGCTTTCTCCTTGAGAGTATGGCTCCTCACGAGCACGCCGGATCCCTTGCATCGCAAGACTGTTGATTCTCATGTCGTGCGCAAACCTATTGCTGCTGCAATACTTCCCAAAGAGCGATTCGACGGACATGCCTATGTAGAGTATCTTAGCTTTGGAGGAACATCACCCAAGCTTGTGCGAGTTACTCACCTCTGCTCTGCCAAACATCTAGATGGAATGTGCAAGGCCATACATCGCTTGGCCGGAAGGCTTCCACTAAATGGCAGAGCTCGGCATAAGAGGAGTGTCGCGAATATGGAAATCGTATGATGTTTGGTAGACTGGAGCCATTGCCACCCTCGGTGAAATTGAGGGAAGAAATCGCCCTTGACCGGCTATTGGTACTGGCGACGGAGAGTATGGCTTGTCGCAGATCCGTCGAGTGGGCGTCTTCACAGGAAGAAATGTTGATGTTGAGCGGCAGGTTGCGTCCGCTGGCCAGTGCATCGGTGAGAATACGAGCACATTCTCCCCGCGCTTCCTCTGGCATATTGTGTATCGCACCTATTCTATGGCAGTATTCATATCAGTTCAAGAACATCAATATACCTCCAGAGTGTCCGTTCTGAAACTCACATTTCCAGTAAGCTTTGAAGATCCCTCCGGCTGGGGACCCCCAGTTCCATCTCCCGCTCCAAGTCTTCGCCACCTCCCCCTATTCCAGCTTCCTGGATGACTCCGCCGTCAGGGAAAGATGCGATAACGGGCTGAATTCTGACTACAGAGGAATTCTTTGCAATCGCGCACAAGTTACCACTTTCACAGCTGTGGAGACGAACATTCTGGTCCGAGGTAAGGCAGCCTGGCTGAGGCGTGTTTCCACACATGAAGCCGGTTAGGGCGGCGGCAGTTGACGTCAGTTGATTGCCAAAATTGGGTCGAGCTTCTGACGTTGTGTTCAAAGAATTGTATATACGGAGCTTGTAGTCATCGACATGAATCTTCGCCGGCGTCAGTTGAAGCGTTCAGTATCGGGGGGGGGAAGCCGATCAACTCACAGGGGAATGTAAAGCCTTCGAAAGCGCAACCCAAACATCTTCGTAACCATATGTCCAAGACTGAATGTAAAAGACAGTATCTTTTGGGTACCTCTGGACTTTTCGTAGCAGCTCTGCAATTCCCTCGGCCTTTGTCTGGAATGGAATGTCGTCTGTGAAGGACGTGTCGAGATATATCGTATCCAGAGTCTTCAAACCATAGGTATACTCGATAAGAGCTGGACTCCGCGTGATGGAATTGACAAACCACGGCTCGCTTCTAATATCTCCTGTGTAAAGTATCGCTTTTCCTTGTCCCTCAATCACTAAGTCACTGTCCGTCAGAAGATCATTCCGAAAAGACCAGATGCATCACTTACGGAACATGACAGACCCAGGGCAGTGGTTGGCATCAAAGAGCGTCACTTGGATGTAGTTTCCTGGCTGGAGCTCGATCGCGGTTGGAGATTCGAGTGGAAGAGGCTTCTGCTTAAAATCAACCACAAATCTTCGAGGTAAAATAAAGAGAGACACGCACGATGACCTTGCTCAGATGCTTGTAGGTCTGCTGCCGCGCCTCAAGAATGCCCTCGGCATAGCTGAGGCGGCAAGGGTATCTCTCTAGGCGTAGCAGAATCTCTCTGGTAGCTGCAGAGCAGTAGACGCTGCAACAGCACGTCAGCACTGAGTGTAGCAAAATGCCGACCGTGTACTCACAACGGAGACCTCAGCGTCTCCAGCCCAGAGAGATGGTCGCTGTGGACATGGCTGAGGAAGCACGCCAAGGGTGGTGCTACGCCTTCGTGATGTCTGAAGAAATCAACTGCCGGCAGATTAGCAACAAGCGTCGACGGGTCACAAACGGACGATCCGAACTTCTAATGTCTGGGAACTCGGGGACGAGGCCGTTGAATGTCGACATGGCGACCGCGCGGCATCAGGGAGAGCATAGGAGCCTCGAGATGGCAGAAGGAAGAGTCGTGAATTCTGTGGTGTCTCAGGTGGCTTCGATTTCATGGTCGGGCAACATTTCAGCGGTGCGCGCGAAAGCATTAGGCGGTCGGGTCATTCCGCACTGTAGGATCAGTGCATATGTGCGCTATACTCGCTTCACTTTGCCAGTAACGGTCAGGTAAGAAAGCCACCGGCGTACAGTCCCCATCTGAGATCACACAGTATTTCTCGTGCGGACTACAGAGGACGGTCCTTTTCTCACCATTTCGACTACGAGTCAGAGGCTCATACGGCCGTATTTTCACGATTTCGATGAAATTTGTTTTGTAATTTGTACTCAGCGCTACTAATGTTAAGAACAGCATTGCCTCCACAGCTGAGATACTACCAGGCTCCCTTGGACAACGACAACTCCAATTGCCAAACAGCGAAGGCTAGTCAGTCAAAATGGATCCGCCACAGCTCTCTATCGCTTCCCGACAGGAACGCGCTTCTCGTATGCATCATCAAGATGTTGTCGCTCACTACAATGTCGCCCTTGTCCCAGACGTGGTAGTAGACGACTCTCCGGTCATATAGAACGGAGTCGATGGCCTCGCAGATGGCCGCACTATCGGCGGCGTCCAGCCCGTCAATGGTGACTTTTGTGGGCTCGAACTTGGTCTTGTGTTGAGGCCATGGCTCGTGATATCGGAGGCAAGGCTTTCCTGTCACTGGATGCGGTGTGATTAGTGGGAGTCCCTTGAGAACCGTTTGGTCAAATGAGGCAGTAGAAACAGTCCAAGTCATCTCTGAGAGCGCTTCGAGCTGAAGCCAGTCTGGGAGATGCTTGAGGAACAGTGTCGAAGACGAAAACAGCGTGTATCCCGTATCACGAGGGCTTGAGGTGGCTCCGACGAAGATTTGGAACCTGGAAAACCGGACACGTTAGAACTGGATGCCCTGGTCTCGGCTACAATCGAGGCTACTCACCGAGGCGGCGTCGAGACCAGTGACTCTTTGCCATTGTCATCCACTTGCTTAACCGTTTTGAAAAGGCCGTCATAGTGGAAAGGCATCGGTTCCATGCTGAGCACGTTATTCAGGCCTTGAGTGTTCGTTCCCCGATCTTTGACTTCCAAGATGAGACCAAATTTCCACGACGTCAGCTTGCCAAACTCTTCCGCCTTCTTTGCGAATTGGTCCTTGTTGGGCTTCTTGACGAAGCCACGCAGGATAACTGGCGAGTTGAGCTCGGATAACGACCTGATCTTGCCGGCATCTACGTCTTGCATCGTCATGCTAAACGCGCCCCTGGCCGGCTTGAACAGCCATCCGGACGGGTATAAGGGCTCGCATACAACGCCGCCTTTTTCCGATCCCCATGAGAATAGATCTGATTTCTCTCGGAAGTAGCTGGGTCTTCCGTTCTCGTAGACGAGCTCATATGAGCCGTCTTTTTCAAAATCGGATCGCATGCCGGTAGACGTCGTTCCGTCTAGCCGGTATGCGACGGCGCAATGCCATGGAGTGGTGTAGATGGCGTCGGTGGGCAGCAAGCTGATGGAAAGCTTGTTTGTCATATTGGACGGATGAATTGAGAGCCTAACTGAATCCTTGTACTTTTGTCGAACTGCGCTGGCAAATGCCTGGAAACCTGAAGTCAGCGCTGATGAACGATCTGGATGACATCAGGGGAGACACTTGAGAACTTACATCACCACGGGCCATCATCTGCTGGGCAATGTATTCGATGCCTCGCTTGTACTTGGTCTTGCTGCGGTCGTCTCCGACGGGATACACCGTCTGGAGATCCGTTTCCAGGAACTTGATGTATCCTCTGTATGTCAAACAGACATCCTCGGTTTGGCTGACCGTCTTCCAGTCCCAGTCGGGGCGGCTGAAGGTATTAAGAAGTGCTCGCCGGAAGTTTGACGCGTTTGCAACATATGTCATCTCGTCAAGCTGCTCGGGTAGCTGGATCGCCACAAGGTCTCGAAGACGCGAGAAGAAAATGTGTTTGTATCCCCTAGCCCTGGCTATAGCTCGGAGGGTCTCTCCGTAGTGCCACACATCTCTGTCTGGAACTCCAAGCAAGTCTAAATCCTTCGAGTTAGTATTGCTCAACAAAGGCACGTGGAGGTGTCTTAGCAGTACCATTGTATACCAGGCCATCGGAGATGATGGTGAGATTCGCCCCTGGAGGGTAAATGTCTTGGATGGCTAGACAAAGGCCGTGGAGGTGTGCCAGAGCGAGTTCCTCTGCTCTATCAGGAAGCTTGCCAAGCACTTTGGACTGTGAGTTCGGTGACTTGAAAGGAAAAGCGGGCAAGCACATGGGCACTGCCTCGCCAGCTTTGACATGAGTGTAGATGAGGGCGAGGAATTTGAGGGCGCCTTCATCACGTTTGACTTCGGCATCGATCGGTCGCTTGAGACGGTACCGGTCGATGATGTGAAGGACCTTGGAGGCTGTCTCTAGAGCGGCTGCGTCCACGCCGGCAGTCAGGGACACAGAAGGGACAGTGACTGGAAGAGGAGGAGGAGAGGTGGACTTGAGCTTGGGTTGACTCGTCGGGACGTCCACGGCCGGGGACTCAAGTTCTACTGCGGACGGCATGGCTTCACTTGGAGGCTGGAAGAGAACAACTGTAGTGAACCAAAATGTGGTCAGTGCCGTACCGCTCCTGCTTGGAGAAACAGGATCCTTTTATTAGATGTGAAGCTCTTCATATGAATATGCATAGCCAGGTCTTGACCTCATGGCCCACCATCTTTCAAGTGATAGCCGTTGGGGCTATGCTACCTTCTCCATCTGGATTGGTTCGCCGAGGGGGGCGTGTGGCAATTTGTCGATACATCTCAAAAATTATTCACAAGTTTCACCTTGCAAGAAACTTCAGAGGCTTGGTACTCGATATGGCAATTGTGGGAGCTTGGTGGAGTGGTTGGCTCCTGGTACGGTGCAGCGGTTATGGAGAAAAGAGTTGAACCCCTGTGGGTGTGGTCGTGCGAGTTGGCTGCCGCTTAGGTTGGAGTATCACCGTCCTCGGTATGTGATAATAGGTAACTGAATCCCAAGGAAGCTCTAGAATCCTGTGACTACATCCCATCATTGTTCTGTTCTTCGCTTTTCCTCCAGGACATACCTCCAAGAGAACGGACCCTGAGAAAATCTTGTCAAACTCTACAACATGTCTGGATCAGACAGCAAAGTCGAAGAGGTTGACGTAGCCATCGTTGGAGGCATGTTGCAGCATACACGTCCCATCCATAATAAACGGGTTGATATTCTATTGCTAACGAAATTGGTCTGTTATAGGAGGCCCTACTGGCTTGCTCACCGGCTTGCTTTTGCATCGACTTGGTGTTTCCATCAGCATTTTAGGTACTGCCACCCGCGGGAATACTGACGGATGAATGAATGCAGGCTAATATTGGCCAATTTGCAGACGCCAAACCCCAAAGTCTAGATCTTGGACGAGCAGATGCCCTCAACGCCAGAACGCAGCAATATCTGGCGGTTGTTGGCATCCTTGATGAACTGCTTCCATTGGGTTTGAAGTGCAACAGTACGTGAACACCTGGCTCTCGAATCGTTTGTGCTTCGGGCTTACTTTGTGTAGCGAGTTCGACATTTGGAGACGGAGATTTCATCTCTCGCCAGAACAAGTGGTGGGTCAGCCTTGAACACACGCTTCACAAGAACTTCTTGATGATCGGACAACCAGTCATTGAGAAGGTCTTAAGCAATCGTCTGGATGGGTTGATCCATTACGGGGAGCAAGTGGAGACTCTGCTCGAGACAGACGACTTTGTCGAACTGGTGACAAAGAGCGGCCGTACAGTCCGCTCCAAGTATGCCCTTGGAGCAGACGGAGCCAAGTCGACAGTACGAGCAGCCATAGGAGCGACCTTTACCGGAACCAAGCCGGAGATGCTGTGGGCGGTGCTTGATACCTTCATCAACACGGACTTCCCCACATGCCCCGAAATCATTACTTTCCAGTTGAACGGCCAGTCTAGAGTGTCTTGGATTCCGCGAGAGAGGGGTCTTTGTCGTTTCTATGTGCTCCTTGAAGGAGAGGTGACGCAAAAGCGCGCTGAGGAGTCTATCAAGAAGCACTTGGCTCCATACCGCACCGAGTTTATCAAGACTGAATGGTATAGCACTTTTGATGGTAAGTGGATTTCCTTTACTCACCCTTCCCTTTGCTTTCTTTGCTAGCTATTCCCTTGTTCAGTATTTGTCCTACTTGTCAATCCTTTACAATGCCCTCTGCTCCAGGTCTGGTATGCGCGCCGCTTGCCTGGGGAGGTCGCATGATACCTCGCTAGCTCGACATAAGTCCTCGTCCATTTCTTTTCTGGCAAAACCAAAAAGGGACAGTATCAAAAAGTGCTAGGAGTCAACGGAGCTAACAAGATTGTGGTTCAGTCAAGGAGCGAATAGCAAGCTCTTTCATCTCCAAGGATGGCGCGGGCCGCGTGTTCTTGGCCGGGGACGCTGCCCACGTCCACTCAGTCAACGGGGGTCAAGGCTTGAACACTGGCATTGCCGATGCCTTTAGTCTTGCCTGGCGTCTGGCCCTTGTCATGAATCAGACCTCGGGCTCGCGTCTTCAGAAGGGCGCAGGGAAGATCCTCCTCCAAAGCTACGACATTGAGCGCAGACAGACTGCCCAGGGGGTCATTGACGTTGCTGCCGCGCTGGTCCGTGATACCGTTCACACAGCCAAGCAATATGTTGGCACAATCGAAAAGAACGCGGGATACATCACAGGTCAGTCAATTTCTCCGTCAAAGTCAATCAAATTCTTCCATGGATGATGGTGGTTGTTCGCCCACCCTCCCGATGAAGCATGGGCACACACACCCCGTATCACGGGCCTTGGTGGGCCAAACAATGAAGATGGGCAATGGCTGGCTAACACGATGGCCAATAGGAATGGGCGTCGCCTACGACGGCATGGAATCACCTGCGGTGCAAGAGTCAGAGCACGGATTCTGGAGGGCCGGTAAACGCTGCCCAGACGTGGTTTTGTCAAAGCTCGAGGTAGATGGCGACGTCTGGCTCTACTCCCAGGTCACTTATGGCAAGTATCTAATGTTAGCCATTGGAAACCATCCCGAACAGGTGCTTGCCTACGAGGACGTTGCCGTTCTATTCAACGTCCTGCCGTCATCGGCAAGGGCCGAGGGCGTGGCCACTTCCAAGGCGAACACGTTCACGGCGGACTGGGCCGAGCCGAACGATTCCTTTGCAGTCCTGGTTCGACCTGACATGTACATTGGCTACGTGGGAGCCGACATTGAGAGCTGCCAACGATACCTGGATAGGTTCTTCATCCGATGATGGTGCAAGGACGGGGTTGATCACCCATGCGGTTCTCGTATAAGCAACATAGATAGCCACAGTAAATTGAGTTGAAGTTCCAGAAGAAGACGAAGAAGGTACCACCTACCCACCGAAGTAGGGCCATGATCATCATGGTTCCACGTAGTATTATGTAGTCTGGCGTGCGTGCCTTGTACATGGATGGAGTGAAAGGAATGCAACCTCATCGGGGCGTTTTCCCCTTGTTCGCTTGACCCTATGGGGACTTGAACCATGGGGCTTGAATCATGAACGCTATCCCATTGATCGAGCCGGTAATTCATCCCACCGGCGGTAAAATTTTACTGCCGTGCCTGGGATTGGATTCAGATACATACCGCAAAGAGGGTGCTGATGCCAGTCCCCCAGGATCCGGCTTAACGTCTCAGGCCATTAGCAAACTTGATGGAGCCGCTCATCGGTTTGTAGTTCTACTCACGATGTGACACTGACATGGATCAGGGTGTCTCAATCAGGAAGTTATCCCTCATGTTCTGCATTGCATGATCCGCGGCTTCTGCTTTATGGTTAAATTTCGTCAGCCCAGTTGCGCTGCCTAGTGCCTCGGAGCCGTTTGAAGGGCATAGAGTCCTTGACAAACTACAGGCACGAAGTACGGATAGGCAGTCATGATTCATACTTGCAAGTTGGAGAAGTCACCCCTCCGTCATGTCGCGTCTTTCTATTTCTTTGAAGGATATCCGACAGGAAGGCCATGTCGTTTGGAAGATGGCTAGAACGTTGTTCAGGGATGTCATCTCGAGGCAACAGCCGGCGCCTTATTCCTATAGCGGCATCTGCGAGGTTGTCAAACCTGTTCTGATGTCTCTCTTGCTTAGATAGGGGCCGAACGAGACTAGGGGGGAGTGTAGAATCGGACTGTATTAGCGCTTTGCATGGATGTTTCGTCCGATCCAGTGGGATATAAGGTCTTAGCACTACAACTCTAAAAAGTAGTTCCCAACCGGCTTACAAAATAATGATTACGCACACCCATACATGTATATGGAGCATGGAGCATGGGGCATGTGGGAATTTACTGGACGGCCAGGGAAAACAACCCCGGTGTTTACATCCAAGGGGGAAGTCGATGCTGCTCAGACTTTTAGGGAGGCTTCATTTTAACAATGCTGATGCTGTCCATAGGGTTACAACCAACTGAGTCCATGAGTCAATGATTTTCTGTTCAGTAAATCTGAAGTGAATTAACCGATAATGGAAAATTGCCGATTTGTCGGTGTTGAGATCCCGGCTCTTTCTTGGAGACTTCCAACAGGCACAGAGCAATACAAATCACACAAGAAGGTGAAACGACATGGAGCCATCATCTGCAGTCCTTTGTCTATTTTTCTATCTCTACCAAATCTGGTTCCGATCTACTCCGTACTCAGCTCTATAAACCCAGCGAGTATGAAGCAAACAGGCCTCTCGACAACGTCCGACAAGGGCAGTGATTTTCAGTCGCCTATCTCGCTCTATTTGCGGCTCTTAATTTCCCGTCCGGTCCGTCCCACTGTCATTCCTAGTAGAACTTGCTGGAACCCCCGTGCCACTCAGGACCAGACAGATCCTGAGCAGGGTCAGAAACAGTGTCAGCGAACGTTGACAGGCGAGGTTCAGGATATCGAGAGCTTCTCACCAAGAAACGAGCCAATCTGGCTTGCCGTTGAGAGACTTGCACATGGCTCTGCTGCTCTCGTTTGACGGGCTAACATCAGCACATAGCCAGCCATCATCTCCGAACTGGGGAGACTTTTCCCGTAAAAGTTTCGTGGCAAGTTTCTTCGCTAAGCCCCGTCGCCTATAAGGCTCCTAGTAGTGTGTTCTACATGTTAGTCTGTCTTCTCGACACTCAATATTGTCAGGGCCGAATGTCCCATCCGTGCTGGTACTTGCTTCGCAGTGGACGCTGACAAGACTGCCATCTGTCCCTAGCAATGCCCATGCTATCGGGGTCCCATCGTCTCTTTTGATCATCAGATTCGGAAGGTTTACAAGTATCTCCCTGCGGTAATACCGATTAGTTCCTGAGCTGTGTGGGACCTAGCCAATCGAGCAGTGCCGATTGACCAAGGATAGATGCGTGGTTTGAAATCTGGAGTTGGACGAACGCAGTTCGTGGGATATCAGTCCGGGATACGATAATCTGGCAATCTTCGAGCGAGGCACTATCCCAGTACATGCCAGAAGGGAGGCTTTCGTCCAGGAGCGGCAGCTCATCCCTCCTTATGAGCCATTTATCATAGACTCCTGTTGGCCGAGGTTCGACAACGCCGTCGAACTTCTCCAAGATGGAGCGTACTTTCGAATTCAGGGACCCAACCAAAATTCGGTCCGGATTCGTGAATAGCAGTTTTTGGCCGTATTCTTCGCGCAAGAGGACGACTTCTGATACCAATTTTTCCAGCTGCTGCTCATACAGCTGCATTTGACTCTCATCGTCTTTGTTGCGGCCGTGTTCTAAGGTTGAGTAGATGTACATTTGAGTTTCCTGCCTGGAAAAGTCCAGATACGCCGCCGTATATGTCTCGAACTCATGATGCTCGTCCAAAGGGGAGTCTGCGTCATGGACAAAGACAACACGCGCATGGGGAGAGGTGCCGTGCTTGAACTTTGTCGATTGTAATCGGCGCAACAAGGGCAGAGAATATGGCAGCTCGGCAGCCAACAGCTGCACCAGCCATTCCGGTACGGAGTCGAATGAAGCTACGTGACCTGTCATTTGAGATGAAGCCCTGTCTATCGATTCTGTGAATGACGCCCACGTATGTTGTGTTGTAAAAGTAGTGATTAATGCGCCCTCTCGGAACGGCTTTACTGACAGGGGGTATAGTCACGTGCGCTTGTACGATAGCACACTTTGAGCGGTTGACTCATTTATTCGAGCTTGGTGATGAGTATTTTGTTTGTCTTCTTCCGTCGTCTCTTGTCGGAGCATTTCCATCAAGTTACGCAGTCAAACTCTGGCTGCGAAGCGCCTCCTCTTCTCTCTTGCGGAAGGTTCAAGCTTCACTGGTCTGTGCACTGCATGTTTTGCCGACGAAACCAACATGAAGTTTAACAAAGGCCGAAGCCCGCTTTGATTGCGGACATGGAATATTGTCTGTCTTTACATTTTCTGTTGATCAATTTTGTAGCAAATGGGGGGCCCAGTGTGACGTGATTGAAGAAATTAATTTGCAGCAATGGTTTTTCATGAAACAGGCATACAGAAACCGCCCGTCAACGACACGCAAAAAGTGATCGAAGGTGATCTAAGCTGTAGGCGTGTGTACATGTAGGTTAGCTGACCTATAACCCATGGTACATAAGTGTCTTCAGTATTGTCTCATATCCGTTGTAAGTGTCTGTAAACACGGATTGTTAGTACGAGTGGGTTGGAGGAACTTCTCCAGGGCCTTTAAGCGGTCGATGAAGAATGTGAAAAGGTATTCTGGCAATTGTACTACTTATTTACAGCTGGAAGACAGGTACCTAAACTAAAGACGTTAACCAAATGAACTCCGATACATTAAATGGATGTAGCGTAGCGTCCACTGACCATCAAGAAGCCTCATACGGATACGTCTGTGAGCTGGAACGAGCCGACTCTAATAGCAGCTTATCTTCATGACTAACCCATGACAAATCAGCTCTTCGGACATTCGCTTTCGCCTCTACTCCTTCTTTCACAGTCGAGAAAGGACGAATGTCATACGAATGTGACGTCTCTCACTGCCCATATCGAGAACGCTAAGAGGATTTTGGTGCCTCCGAGCAAGCTTCGCCTCTTAGTTAAGAACTTGATGTCCCTGGATTGAAACGATTGCTCGAAGAACACAATTTGAAGTTACTAAGATATGGCATGGGACGTAGTAGGCGCCGATTATGGATGACGCCGAGTGTGTCCGCTAAGGAACGCCACTGGTTTGAATGGCCTGAGTTTTATCCTTTCAAAAGCTGCGACAGAGAGCAGGGCCAGGCGGTCAAAGATTGAACCACGTCGGCCTTCCCTTTCAGTCATTGACGGTACTGATATGATCGAGAATACTTCTGCCTATCTGCTGTCTGCTGTAGGTGGCAGCTTCGTCGCGGGTAGTGTCCCTGTGCTGACGCACAAGGGAACTTCTGAGAATAAGCTGAGTGGCACGAGGCGTCCCCTTCAGCTTAGATTAGCGAATTCCTTCTATAGATAGTACAAAAAACACAGCCCTATAGTTTCGAGTCCAGCTTTTACTAGGCTACCTACATAAATGTGCCTACTGTTGCCAACTAAGGCACTCTCCCGTCGTGCTTATTTTCCCGCGGACTTGCTCATCTCACTTTGATGAACTTCAAAGTGTGATAGGTCCAGAAATACGACGTAAGCTCGGCTACTCAATAAATCATCAAGCTCATTCATTTAGTTCTTTAGAGGCGACTAATCATGAAAACAATACCTCTTTTATTTAATGCGGCAGCAATCGTTGCCGCATGATGCGAGACATCTGAGCCGAGTTCTTCATGATCAATGAGAAACATCCTGGGATCCAAATCTTGACCATACATCCAGCCCCCGCAACATGGCCGCCAAGATAGCTCTCGTCTTTGGCTATGGACCTCGAGTTGGAGCTGCTGTAGCTTCTGCCTTTGCCGCTCGCGGCTATAAAGTGGCCGTCGTCTCTCGCTCCGGTGACGCCGGTGCCGCCAACGACTACCTTTCCATCAAGGCCGATCTATCAGATGCTCGCATTGTCGAAGGTGTTTTCGCTCGTGTCAGGGACGAACTGGGGACTCCCAGTGTCGTCGTATATAATGGTATGCAAAGTCTACCGCTCACCAGAACATAGATCGCAGGCTGAGGTGTCCATGTTTTCCCCAGCTCTCGTTCTGTGCCCCCAAGGGTTTGAACAGCCCTTGTCGAGCATTATCACAGATGCTCATGTCAACACTTTTTCTGCATACGTAGCGGCGCAACTTGCAGTCAAGGGCTTTGCAGACCTGCCACCAGATGCGCCCAGGACCTTCATCTATACCGGAAACAAGCTGAACATCATGACTTTGGAGCCCCTTCTCTCCTTCGGCATGGGGAAATCAGCAACGGCTCACATGATACATTACCTAGCGGAAGTTTACAAAGACTCTGGCTACAAGTAAGTGTATTATGCTATGGATCCAGGGAATATGCTCATCACATACACAGGTTTTATTATACTGACGAGCGTGAGCCAAATGGAGAGCCCGCCTATGACAAACTTGATGCTGAGGCTCATGGTGACTATTATGTGAAGCTGGCGGAGGAAAGCGGCCAGGGGCCCTGGCATGCGACGTTCGTTAAGGGAAAAGGCTATGTCAAGTTTGACGAGAGTCCGGTGCACGGCGGCCGTTATCCTGGGGCGTAGAGGAGTGAGTGCAGGCTTCTTGCTCGAACATCATTATATTATATAGGCAACTCTGGATAAAATCCACTGAGGATATAGGAAGGCCACCTGTACACATTTTGGATGGAGATATCGGCTTGTTCAAGTCCAACACCCCGAAAGAAACAGTCAAATGCTCGAAGCACAGCTGAAACCCAGCTACCTAGTAATGAAAGAATATAGATCTACTTATTCAGGACAAACATGTCTCCAGCCCAGCCGTAGTTTCTAGCAAGTCTTCGGCCGTGGCGCCTCGCTACCATGAACGGGATCTTGCCTCGCGGATGCGGTTCGTGAAATTGAATGCTTGCTTCGACGTCAAGTCCAGAAGGGGAGAATTGCCAGACTGATCCATAAAGTTTCTGCGCGGCGAAGCCAACAGAAGTCAAGGCGTGCACGAAATCATTCCAAGGAACCTCTCCAGGAGTAGAGGTGATATCCGAGTTGAAGAACAGAGTACGGAAAACCTTGAAAGCTCGGCTGTCGACTTTGATGCAGGGCTTGGGGGTTTCCACTTCTTCTCCATGCGTGGGCTCAGCACTATGTGATGATTCAGTTTGTCGATCTGCTGTGCCTCTAGTCTTGATCTTGGCCCTAGCGGGCGTCGTATGGGCACTGCTGCTCTTTGTCTGGTCTTCTGCGCGTCCGTTCCAAAGATCAAAGTAGAGGGGCGAGAGTGGTTGTTCGACATGAGCAGTCGCGGCAACGTTCAGCGGTGTTGGCTGATCGACCCATTCCGGTGTGCGTTGCAACGAAGAAGATGCTTGCGTAAAGAGCTTCTGAACAGCAGTATCTTGCAGTTTGCTGGAAGCAGGCCGCATGACACGGTCTACTTCGGCCCAGAATAGATCGAGATCTCGCTCGGCTTGACGTAGCTTCTCCACGTTCTCCTTCGTGCGCCGCTTGTCAATGGGATAATTGAAGTTCCTCAGAAGCGGCTCCGCAAGTCTCGCCACCGCGGCCAGCTTTGTATCTCTCAGTGCCGCCATTATCTGACCCCATGGTTCGCTTTTGGTGGCAAATTCTTGTTGAATCTCGGCCTTGACCCCCAGGAATGCATCTTCAAAGTTCCGGGCCCACGGCTGATAGATCTCCAGCTGATGTATGACTTGGGACACGATGGAGAGATTGCCGATGAGGCGAGCCACGTTACTGGAGATGAGGTCACCCGTCGTTGGCTCGGTCAGCAAGAGACGCTCCAGCTCATCCACTGCACATGATAACCGAAGGAGAAAGAGGTTATGGTCGTTTTCCCACAGCGTTTGAAGCAAGTAAAGAAGTTGACTCTCGAGGGTTGTCTTCTTGAGCCCGCTTGATGTAATGGCCATTTTCGAAGAACTGGCATCCTCGGGCGGCCTACGAACGAAAAACTTTCGCATCGGGGGACTCGCCGGTACAGCTACCTTGAGCTGATCCAAGGGCCCTTTGACTGCTTGGTTGAGGAAGTGGTGGAAAGTCAAAAGGGCGTTCAGATATTCCTCGGGAAGATCCTTTAACGGCGAAATTGCTGCCTCGTACTTTTTCTGCAGAAACACCAGATTTTGGGCTTGGTGGTGGAGTTCCGAATAGAATTCGAGCTCAAGGTATGCTTCAAAAAGGATTTCTCCGACAACGCGGGCTCGGAAGAGTCCCTCACGACCTGGTATCAATGTCGGATGAGTATTATTGAGCTCATCCTTGATCATTTCTAGTCGATGCTCTCGTGCATCTAGGACATATTGTCGAAAGTATGCGGGGTCTTCGCGTAGAGCCCATAGGTGATCTTCTGCTGCGCGAGTCTTTGCAGAGAGCAACGATTCAATTCGACCGAGATCCAGTTGAGCCGGGGCTCGGTAAGGAGCTTCGGCGGCCATTGAAGCCAGCGACTCGAACCCACGTGCTTCATCCCCAAGCTGTAGAGGCGGCTCCGGCTGGATAGCGTACGCTTCGCTAATCAGTTGGTCATGAGAAATATCGTGAAGTACGTCCCGGCAACAGTCGACGAGAAACTCCATGAGCCTGTCCTGAGCCTCGAGAACGATGAGGCCGTCGCTGGGATTGAACTGCTTCTGGGTATGCATCCAGTCGAAGGCATCCGGATGATCGTCCCACGCGAGAAGTTTGCCGTATTCCTTGGCAACGGTCACTCCATGTAGTATCATGGTATACTCGTTCAGAAAGATGCGCTCAATGGCCTCGGTAACGATGCCCAGGTGCATGGCTTCAAGATCCGCGGCGGCAAAGCTGGAAGGATGGTTACGAGCTCTGGCGTTGAGCAACAGAAGAAGCGGCTGTGTCTGCGATAAGTCTTCCTGGTTAATGTACGGCCACATGAAGCTGTCTTTGACCTGCTTGGGCGCGCGCTGCAGCGGCTGAGATTTTGCTCTTTTGAAGACTTCGTAATCGGGGCGATGCTGGGTCGCCATTCCAGGCCATGCTTTCATCAGGATCTTGAGCCTTTGCTGTCGGCCTTTCTTGGTCCATCTTTTCCGGATGGTGGATTCATGCCTCAGGAGAATCTGGTTCAGCAGCTCGTAATTGGCGAAAATCGCGGCTGCTTTCTTCCGGGCCGTACTGCGAACCTCAGCTGCGGAGGGCATTTTCGGCACGGGACGACCCAGGGCATTGAAGAAGTTGGCGGGGTCGGAGTAGAAGTCATCACCGAACGACATATCCATGATGCTATCGGTTGGGGGGTTGCGTGCATGGCAAACCCAACAAGTAGCCGGACAAGAGCCCCGAAATTCTGTGAGGCGGCATGCAGGTGAGGAGAAATCTTGTCATGATCACCTACCTCTAGAGGTAGGTTGAAGTTTCAGATCGGTGGGCAAGAACTGCGTACCTTACCTGTCTGTGGCACATTGCTGAATCAGCCATCACCAGCCACAGCATGCATGTTATCAATTGACGCCACACTGCATGCGCTCACGAGCTTCAACTTCAAATTGCGTGCCACATAAAAGGTGACAGACGTAGGTAGAATTTTCAAACCCGCTGAGACGAGATATTACCGGATTGTTCACATGCAGCAGTCGCTTAGGCCGAAGCTGCATGAGAGGCAGACGCAGTTTGACTGAGGACGAAGCACCGAGAACGGAACACCATCAAGCAGGCACAGAGCATTGGTCACGCCCGAGAAGCACGATATAACCACAGACGGCGGATAAAACTGGACAGCGGACCGAAATGTATAATGGTCCTCATATCGGCTCTTGGGCACGCTATTGATGCCAGTACATCACAATACCCGTATTCTGTTCTCGTATTCTTAAACAGTCAACGCAATGCTTCTGGATACGCTCCTCATGCTCTGTTCCGCTTTCACTATCCAGACCGATGGAAAAGGGCTTGAGTTGCAATATGCGACATCGGTGAGTAAAGCTCATTGATGCATCTATTTGCAGCGACTGTGTTCAAGAAGCATTGAGTTGCTCATTCCTGCTGAATGCCAACGAGACATGATAGGGTCTCTTTCTAGTCACGGTTTTATCGTCAACTGTCAGGCGAAACCAGAGCGCGTATCCCTTTAGCAAATGAACAAGTGCGATAGCCCTATTTGTACACCGGAAACATAAGGGATGATAGCTGATATAGGCAGTGGTATGTATTCGACTTTCGAAAATTCACCAACATCCAGAGGGCTTCAGATACAGCACCTCTTCCAGAGCATGGCGACAGGCGTTTCATATCAAGGCCAATGTCGGCTGTGAGAACTTCACGGTTGATTAACCGCCTCCTCTTACGTCAACAGTTGCGTTCTCTCAAACTTGCTCCACGTTTTTACCCTTCAGTAAACACCGACGAATCCCTCTTCCGCCGTTTAACAGTATCAAATTCTATCCCTCCATCCACCTGAGATTTATTGGCCACATACTGAGGAGACTGTGGAGCACTAAACGTTACCCTGATTATCATTAGACGGATATTTTCTGCTTTGTGTCGGTAGTTGTTGACATGGGCATACAGTACCTTATTCCCAAGTCTCCCGCAGTGCCATTTTGAGGCCACTCTCGTGCCATTGAACCAGCAGCACTGGTTGTCTTGCCACCTTGGCACCTTGTAAGAGCACAACCTAATCAGCTGGACTATAAGTTTCTGAATTTTCCGAAAGTGGTACCTCTCCTCGTCATACCTTTCGTCCTGATCTGCAACACTGCGCTCGAATTCGAGAGATCGCTACTACCTTTGCCTTTCTCATCAGTGACCGTTCCCTTTTGACTACCTCGACGAGAGATCATCTTCTGGGATGAATGAGACTCGTATCGAACCAAAATGTCCCATACTTGGTACGTAGCAAAGCCCGATGCATCTAGGCCACGCCCTCAAGCGAAGACAACTTTCCAACTAACTTATTCTCTAACTTCTCAGTGTTCTGGCCGAAAATGGCTCCAACTTATCTCCGCTTGGCTGTTGACTGACGCATCGGGAGCCTTACTTCTCTCGTAAGGAATTTCAGCCAGGCTCTTTGTCGCACCGCATTAGTAACAAGCTTCGGTATTTATAACCACTCTTCCATACAATATCTATACCCAGAATGACTACTAACAAAACGCAAGCTATTGATGGAGAGATACAGGAACCATCAAGTTCGGCGTACTACTGCGCGATCTGCGAAACATACCTCTGATCGTCCATGCTGCGTGGCCTAAACTCGTCCACCAATTAGAGCGGCTCTCAGAAACACCAAGAGAAGAAGAAGGTTAGTATGGGCCTTGAAAAGATTCTGAAGGCTGCTGCCAAACAGGAGGTGGAAGACCGACTCAGGTTTTTGAAGATGCAGAACGCAGTTTGCGGTTCTTCTCAGATGAGAAAATTGAGATTGACTTCCCACTGACAGTCGGACGATTGATTGGAGTTGAGCCAGAGAGAACTCCGAGCAGATCATGGAAAAGGTACTTGTGACACTCATCGCAGCCTAGTCGCTAACGTTCGCAATCCTGATTGAGGTCATACAATATGTGAATGACTGTCTGGGAGATGGAGTGGTTCCTCAGTCTCTGAAATACATCGCGAGACTGCTTTTGGGAGAAATCCTGACGGAAATCGACGAGCATAATGCTGCTCTCTGGATGGACCATTGGGGTATCCTTGGATGGTGTCTGTGAGATTATTGAACTGCTTCTCTTGAGCGAAGTCGACTGGTACTTCTGCCAAGGACTCCATGCAGCCTATTCATCTCTTCGCTTGTTATCAATATTGAGAGGCAATGGACACAGTAACGCCCGCCAGAGATGGACTTTGTTACGAGGGTCCTAGTCAGCCTGTCTTTAGGAAGGGGAGTGATACGCGTCGGATGAAACGAGAGAAAAGATTTCATTTACTTTATTTGCTCAACATTGTGAATGATCATACGAACGCATATATAACTGTGCAGAGCTGTTCGAACATTGATAAAGTCAGGATACCCCCAAGCTTTCTTGCACCCATTCCGAGCTTTTCCCATAATATCAGACAAGGCCCCAATGGCTTGGCCAAGTGAGGCACTAGAAAACAGAAACAGGGTCATAATACGACAACAAGCAACAAGACTTCAGACTTTACCACTAGATGGTATTCATGGAGCCGATTACTATGATCAAAGAACCTTCTGGTGGCCGTCGAGTCTTGCTCTTGTGCCAGCCCTTTCCCTCCTAAACTGAAGTCATTACGGATACTTTATATCCCATCTATAGACAGCTTATGACTTAAACTCCTCCACTCAACATCAAGCTTGAGGTATTACCAAATGTCTTTTTTGGCTTCTGAAATTGGTAACTTGGCTCAGTAGTCTATCGGCACAGGAGCTCGCACCGTACCTGAGGGGTTGGTCAATCTATATGCCAGAGACTGTGCCCTTTGCCGAAGCACTTGGATTAGGCCAGCCCAAGTCAATAACCTGCGTTGATAGTGGTCTGTCAACTCTCCGAGCAGTGCAGTGACAAATATCGCAGCTTTCTTTGGCGATGCCGGAAGTCATGAAATCACCAACGTACATAGTGTCAATGACATGAGTGTGATTATAATTGGGCCTCATGGTGTTCAAATCCTGTCGCAGAGTATGAGATGCACGACATGCTCTCTACTATTCGCAGTAGTAATCCAGAGATATATGCGAGTTCTCATTGCCTATATCGTTCCTCTAAAATGTAGTACGATAGAAACTCTACCTTATCAACTCAGCCCGGCGTTCAAGCTCTATGCAAGTGTCATTGAGTTACAAGAACCTGATTTGGCGACTGTTTGACTGTCCTGATGGGCATATATCGATGCGTTACGGGAGATCCCATTTCAGCGTCAACAGATTGGCCAGTCGGGACGGGTAGGCCATGTATGACATCGTAAATCATCCATCCATATAAGCATCGCTTTCTTGACTTCATAGCAATACTGGACACCACATTTCTGATTGTACAGCAGTTTAAAAAAAAGAAACAAATGCTTCATTGATCATGACCCTTGTAAAACCGCAAAGTACCAACCCGGCTTCGACTGAGACGTCTTTCCCAAACTCCCTTTTAGCCAGCAGCGGTGAAGCGAACCTGCATCGCCCGGGATCACCCCCCAACCGCAGCCCGTGCAATTCGGATAATTTGCGCAGTTCGTCACACAGGCCTCCATGTCAGTTGTGTATAAGCTGGCCAAGTCTGTGGCCTGGCCCGCGCCACTGTAGTCTATATCGCAGACGAGCTGGAACGTCTTGTGCGAGTTGGGGACGTCATATTTAGTGCCGTTGCCTTGAGGGCAGGAAAGAAGAAGTGTTGTCGTGGGCTGAGGCGCAGTGGCGGTCTTTGAGCGCGAAGCCGAAGTCGGAGATGATGTCGATGTCGGGATATGCGTTGTTTCAGTGGGCGTTGTTCCAGGGCTATTGAGAGACTGCAGTCAGTATATCACCTTGCCATTAACATCAATTGGGGGCATGCACAACAGCATTCTTCCAGACTCATCCCGGCGTACCTTGTTTCAGCACCTGACTTATGCTCCTTTCCTCCAATCCCAACGCCAACACCTACTCCCACTCCAATGACCAGAAATACGACAACAGCTCCCAGAAGGAGCCAGAACAGCCGGGCCTTGAGTCCGAAGATGGTTACAGCCGGGATCGGGGCTGGTGGCGCTACGTGATCGTACTGGTAGTCGTAGAACTCGCCCGCCTTCTGCAGTATGTTGGTCGTGCTCGACGCATCGATGTTTGTTTCTCTAGGAGGCGGTGTTGGTTCGCGAAGGAAAGTTGGGACAACGGATCTGCGGTCCGGAGTCACCGGGGGCCCGTCCGGGGCCGCACGGAATGAGTCCTGTCGGCCTCTACCATGGATATAATAGTCGGAGTCGCTTCTGCCAGTCGAAATGGTTCTTGAACGGCCGCGCCATTCATCGACATCTCCTCCTCGTCCCTCGGGGCTGTACTGAGGCGGGAACCCCATTGGACCCCTCGCTCAAGAAGTTCTTCGCGTTTAACGCGCCCCAGGGTCGCCTTGAACCAAGTGTACTTGTTTTCCTTCTTCCCCTTTGACTTTCTGGCGTCAGCAGCCACCCCCGGTGATTGTGCTGTCGTAGTGGCGTTTTTGTCGCTGTTCAGCTCAGCCTTTGGGCAGAGATTCGACCCCGTACAACCCAAGCTCGTCCCTTTGCGACAGGGAGCTCCTTTGTTAAAATGAATAAAGCGCAATGTCATGGATCTCTGACGTCTCCAAGTAATATCCCTGCTCGGCGCCATCACGTGGCAATACCCTGTCACTTTGCTGCAAATGAATTCGATAGTGCGACAGCGTATCCGCTTCAAGCCGGTATTAGTGCTTCAAAAAGCGTGCCGGCTAGAAGGCCGTGCTTGTTCAGAGTTAGGAACCGGCTTCTTTGCAGATATATCTCAATGAGATGGGAATAGAGACGCACCTTGTCATCTCTACGGGCCAGTCCAATGAAAAGGCCGTAATAACCTACACGCCAATTGCTTGGCGCCCGTCATTGCAGCCGCCCAATGGCATCGCTTATCCGCACAAACGTGACGAGTGGCATTATGCAGGCCATCTCCATTCTGGAGCGGCTTCGATCGATCGACATTAACCGAAAGCATCTCTCCATGCTTGAAGATGATCACCAGGAGATGCCTTTCCCGTAAGATGCCAACCAAGCTTACGAGTACACGCGTTATCAAGCAAAACCCGAGTTGACATCAAGACCCGCCATGAGGGATTGTCAATTTGCACCGTGTTCGTGTGCGACAGTGGAAAACCGTCCTCCGGCGCCGGCCCACGCCGGAGTGCGTCGGTCCAGTGCCTTTCTGCGCAGCCTCTGAGCAATAGACTGACCATTATCAGAGCCAAGCACAAGATGCCCTGACGACCCGGATCTCGTGGCGTATCCGCGCCCTTTCTCGTCCATCAAAATCGCGTGGTCTGTCCCGGAACCAACGTGTTGGGTGTGACCAAGGTCAGGGATCGCGATAGGGCGAAAAGGGGTGCGTGGCCGGCCATGCTCGTCTTGGTGAGTGAGTGACTCGTCCTTGAGCTGCTCCGCTGAAAGCTGGATGCCCAGCTGTCCTTCGTCAAGAGAATTCCGATACAGCTTGGCTCTCGCCATCAGCTGCGACAGCGGCAGAATGGTGAGCACCTTTGGCTTTGGTCCTGATACCCATCCCGCACAGTTCCCGGGGCTCCGTGGTATGCGGCAGTACGGCGAGGCTACCAGCCGCCGACTTGGCATCTCCAGCCTTTGCCAAAGAACTTAAGTCCCCAGTCCCAACCATTGCCTATAGCATCCACTCCAAAGCTGTGGTAATCCCGTGAGGGGATGTGCCGCGTTTCTACGGCATACTTCGACCCGTTGCGGCGTGAGGAATTTACCCGCAAGAGATGGTTGTAAGAATTGGAAATCAGGAAGATTCTTTGTCGGAGGATAGTGACATAGCCGCGGTCGCGGAAGATGTCGGTCTCTTTGAGGTCACTGTAGAGGCCTCCGGATGTGATGACAGTGATGGGAATGCAACGATCATGCGTGGCCCTTCGCTAGAGCGACTATTTGCCTTTCGTTTACCCGGGTCGAGAGCCGACCAAGGTAGAGGAGTGACCGGTACATTTGTCGACTTCTTCGCAGTTTGTCTCTTAGGCACCGCGTCTGCGTCGTCTCTGAGGCCGTCTACACGTTGAGAATGTCAGTCAGACAAACAATATCACAATATTACAAGGGGGCAAAATGTACAAGTACTCCTTGGGAAATCGAAAAGCAAAGTGTAACTCATGGGATGCCTTCTCCTGCCATCACAGTACGGGATTTCGCGTCCTGATGGGAAGCAATCGTCGATGCCTGATCTTCGGGAGGTTGCTTGACAGAGACCAGGACGAAATTCAGCAGAAGCAAATTTCTGTGCGCGGAGGAGGCTGCACCAGCCAATAGAAAGGTTACGTGCTTGGGAAAGGTCTCACAATGTTGAAGCATGGTGACTTGTTTTTCCTGCGATTTATTCCAGTTGCTTCACTCCAGGGTGGAGCTCGAAAGCAACGTGACCAGCAACGTTCTCTCAATTGCACGCAGCGGCAGCGCATCAGCAACCTAGGAAACAACTGCAGGCGTTGCTTACAATGCGGTCAATACGACACAAAATGAGTTCCTCCAATGCGATGATGGAGGAGGACACCAAAAAAAAGAAAAGGTCTTGAGAAAAGTCAAAAAAGGTACGACAGAGGCAGGGTTCGAACCTGCGCACCCGAAGGTATTAGATAGCGAGAATCGGTTGGATTCAAGTCTAACGCTTTAGACCACTCAGCCACTCTGCCTGCTGGTGAATCTGATGATGTAAGGTGAGCTGCTTCGGACTAAGTAGCTCTTGCACACTATCAATAAGTTGCCTTTCTCAGTCTCAGGTACGTGCATGAGGTTTTCTACAACGTCGCTGGCTGGGTTGCATGTCAGATCTTTACGGCGGCAAGCTCCCGGGCTGGACGGAAGTGTCAACTTTAACGTGGAGCTTCTTGATCCGTAAGCACGATAAACATGGAGACCAGCCACAACGCACAGAGACTCTTTTTACGGGGCTAAGACAGACTGTATCGTATCCAGACGCATTGTAACGATGATTCACAGCCTTCGAGAGCAAACTGTGTAGGTCCAACTGAACCTGCAGTTCGCGCTGCGACCCTTTTCTTCTCCCTTGTTTGCTGTCTTTCCCGCGGTCCCGGGAAGGACGGGCGCGACGGGTACCGTACGCGCCTGATGGGTGCCAGGTTCGATGAACCCAATCTGCAATCAACGCTGGCGGATGCTAGGATCACCATTACAAGCAGCATGTCCCACCAGACCCCATAGTTGGTGCAGTGGAGTGCTTCCCCGCCATCGCGTTATCGCCCTGTTGGAGATACATACATACTACACAAGAACCTTGAAGGCTGGGAAGCCGACGTGCACTTCCTCTCAAATGTAGCTGTCTCCAGTCTCACGTGGTCGCTCCCTGGCTGGCATTCCTCGCTTTTTCATCATCTTCAACCACACGGCCTGAACCTTGCCTTTCATCATCTGTCGGCATTATCCTTATCAGCATTGCTTATAGGCAACTTACTGAGAGCGACAAGGGCTGAGAATGGTCTCGCTCAATCGCTTCGTCCGATATGGCACCGTCGCCCTCGTAGCCTGCGGCCAGGCTGCCGCTTTGGTGCCAATCAATCTTGCCATGCACGCCGTCCATCTCCATGCAAGGCCTGATCCCGAGCAGCACGTGTCGGTCAAGCAGTACGAGGACAAGTACCCCAACATCAAGGCGTACAACTTGTCAGTGCCGATCGACCATTTCCACAATGACTCGAGATACGAGCCGCACTCGGACGGTTCGTTTCCCCTGCGGTACTGGCTTGACATCTCCAACTACAAGCCGGGAGGCCCCGTCATTGTCCTCCACTCCGGCGAATTCGATAGCACTGAGCGACTGCCTTATCTCCAGCATGGAATCGTGCCTATCCTGACAAAGGCGACGGGAGGAGTCGGCCTCATCATGGAGCATCGATACTACGGCACCAGCTACCCCGTCCCTGATCTTACGACAGAAAACCTGCGCTTCCTCACGACGGAACAAGCTCTCGCAGATACTGCCTATTTTGCAAAGCACGTTCGGTTCCCCGGTCTGGAGCATCTCGATCTCACCTCTCCCGGAACGCCTTGGTTCATATACGGAGGGTCTTATGCTGGCGCTTTCTCAGCCTTCTGTCGCAAGCTATACCCAGCGACCTACTGGGGGGCCATTTCATCATCAGGCGTCACGGCTGCCATTGAGGACCTCTGGAATTACTTCGAAGCGGCGCGACAGTACGCTCCAGGCGACTGCGGCCCTACCACGCAGAAGCTTACTCACGTTGTTGATACCGTCCTCTTTGGCGACGACAGGGGCAAGGTACGCCGCTTCAAGGAACTCTTTGGTCTTGGGGACCTCGACGACGCCGACTTTGCCACCACCATCACCCGCGGTCTCCATGGGCTGCAGTCCACTAACTGGGACCCCGAAGAGGACGTGTCCTCCCTTGGGATTTACTGCGCAGTTGTCACTTCGGATGTTCAGCTGTTTGCCAGCACGGCTCACCTCATCCCGACGGTGCAGGATTTGGTCGCAAGAGCCGGCTTTGCAGGACAGTCCGATGTCCTCTCTGTTCGCATGCTCAACTATATCGGCTATGTCAGAGACTACGTCAAAACCGATCTCAAGAAAGGTTGCAAGGGCAAGTCAGTCTTGGAGTGTTTCTCTTCCCGCTATACATCCAACGACACGAGTCTCAACGCTGGATGGCTGAGGAGTTGGAGCTACCAGGTGTGTACACAGTGAGTATCGCCGCACTTCATTAGTTGTGTGATGTTGATCATTGCATCATGGCACTAACTGGATCATCTCATCAGATGGGGATATTTTGTCACCGGCTCAGGTACGCCCAAGGACCAGCTTCCAATGATTTCTCGAGCCATCACCCTCGAAGCGGCATCGTCGCACTGCGAGAGACTCTTCAACATCACCACCCCCCCGGACATCGAGTCCATCAACAAGCTTGGGGGCTTCAACTTCAGCTACCCTCGCCTGGCAATTTTGGACGGCTTACAGGATCCATGGCGCTCCGCCACGCCCCATGCCGATGGCCTTCCCGACCGAGAGTCAACCACCAGCGAGCCCTTTTTGCTCATCGACTGGGGGGTGCACCACTGGGACGAGTTTGGCCTTCCCGAGGACACGCGCATCGAGGGTCTGCCGCCGCCTCAAGTTGCTGAGGCACACAGGGCGGAGATTGAGTTTGTTAAAGCGTGGTTAAAAGACTGGAAAGAAGAGAATGGAAGTTCAAGGTCACAATCAATGGACGAGGAAGAGACGATGGAAGAACTGTAACCGATTAATTGACGCTGACGAGATATTGTTACAACTAACTTGATGATTGCAAAATGTGAATGGTTAATGCTCATGGTATGCAAAATCTAAGCTGCTGATAATGTTGAAGAAAATTTAGTGTATAGCTTGGCTGTTGTTCAAGACGGAAAACTTACCTTTGCCGGTTACTGCGGTCTGTGAATCCAAGTGCAAGCTTGCCTTCACTCCATCAACACACAAATGGACGCTCGGAGTAGTTCTGTTAATGATTACAATAAAGCTGAGCGATTCGGTGCGCCTTGTCATCGATGAGTTTATCTCATTACAAATTCCGTTCTACAAGAGGCGAACAAGCCGGCAACTGAGCCACGGATGCGTGATCAGTAATCAAATTGATTCGACTCACTGATTACTGATCTTTGCCAAGAACGCCTCCCTTTCACACACAATGAACAATAGCAGGAAACTCCCGGTTCAGTCTAGTTGCGCCTTTCCATCAGAGCGAATATCTAGCTGCGGCAATTCGGGCTAACAAAGACATCCCACCGGTGAAGATGGACTGGAATCAACTGAGTCCGTCGCTTTCAAGCGATAAAAGAAGAGGTGTGTCTTGATGAGCACTTACTCTGATCAGTAATATGATATCACTCAGCGCCTCGGTTTCGCAAAGAGACTGATGGCAACGAGACTCGCAATGAAGAAACGATGGCTGATATAAATAACCCGGCCTATTGCCTGAATAGATGGAAGTTGAGAAACATGACCGGCAAGAGCTGACTGCACATCCTCATATAATCGGCAATTCTCCAGACTTCGTTCCGACATGGCACCTCTCGTCTTTGTTATTGGCGGAACTGGAGCTCAGGGCATTCCTGTTATCCGCGGCCTCGTCAAGGACGGCGCCTATGCAGTGCGATTCCTGACTCGAGATGCTACCTCGGCTAGATCGAAGCTCCTCCTTAACTTGGGGAATGTCGAAGCCCTTGAGGGTACTTTCGCGAGTGAGACCGATCTTCGCAAAGGCTTTCGCGGCGCTCAGTATGCTTTTGTGAACATTGACGGGTTCAACTGCGGCGAGAAGACTGAGATATACTGGGCCATACGCGCATATGAGCTGGCGCTGGAAGAAGGTATCAAGTTCTTCGTCTATGGAAACCTGGACTATGTGTATAAGAAGAGCGGGTTCGATCCCAAGTTCAGGACGGGCCATTATGACGGAAAGGGCCGCATTGGAGAGTGGATTCTGCAGCAGAACAAGACGCCCGAGATTGCGAAGCGTATGGGAGCAGCTGTTTTCACCTCGGGCCCCTACATCCAGATGGTGCTTGGACAGGGAACCCCCATGTCTCCTGTTCTTGAAGACGGCGCAGTTACCTGGAAGGTTCCTCTAGGAGAAGGTGCTGTGGCTCACGTTGACCTTGACGACTGCGAGTATTATGTCCGCTGGCTGTTCGATCATCAGGATCGCTCCAATGGCTTAGATCTCGAAGTAGCCATTGAACTGGTGGATTATCACGAAATGGCCAAGGCCTTTACAAAGGTCACTGGCCGTCCTGCAAAGTACGTTGACATCGACTTGGACACGTACTGGAAAATTGGCCCATTTGGCTCTGGTCAAAGCTGTAAGGCGACCCTATCGTTCATGCTGCCGTTGATCTATAAACGAGCTCTAACACATCACAGCGTCGGGGTACAATAGCGATCTTTCGGACGCGAGCAGCATGACCGTGCGCGAGAACTTCACGGGATTCTGGAATATGTGGAAACACACATACACGGGGAACCGAGGTGTCATCAATCGTGACTTTGCTCTTCTCGACGAAATACACCCCAATCGGATCAAGAGCGTTGAGGAATGGTTCAGACGAGAGGAGAAGAAGAGCAAAGAGCAGGGCTTGCCTAGTCTATGGGACCGTGCTACAATGCTCAAGCCTGTGCTAAAGATCGCGGAGGATGGAAGACAGGGTCGTCTGTAGTCGTTGCTCCTGCGTCTCATCTCCTTACTCCGTTAGATTGCTGAGATTATTTGTAACGCTGTAGAATTTCAGATCAATTTTCCCCACTTCACCACAAGGGTTCTTCTGCGTTCATCGGTATCGTTCACCTGACAGATTGAGTGTCACTGTCTCGGCATGATCGGAATGAATTGGAAGACAAGGGATACAAGAATTGAACAGTGACTCCTTTAGTGCCTTTTCCTGGGTGCCACATGATAGCGATGAAGGTATTAAAACTACCATTGCTGGGCGTTAATACTGCCACACGCCTCAGTGCCATGTTCGGTGGACTTCGCGATGCATCAACAACCCCTCGACAATACAAGGAACAGCGCATCCTTGGCACTTGTTGCACTACATGAGCTCGGTGACAGGATGCATTGAATCCTGAATAATACGGTATAAATGGGGCCTTATGTTCGGAGTTTTCCCCAACGAAAGACCAATAAAGCAAGACATGCATACCATATACGAGGGCAGGCTCCTCAGTCCCTTGTCTCGTCCAAGCAGTCTCTGCATCCGATTGGTTCAGTGTGCATTTCTTAAGGATCAGCTAATAGCAGTATATTTAAACTGCAGGTAACCACCTGCGCGCAAGGTCAGGATTGGAATCCTTTTCACATGCGACTCTGCCTGCTGGCCGTGCAAGTGGCTGGAATTAGTAGCTGAAAAATAGCTCGAGGATGGCCACGAACCACGGCCGAGAGCCGCTTGAGATTCCTAGCTGGGCTTAAAGGCTACATGTATCTTTGTAACGTCACATTCACTCCGCAAAGGCTTGAGCCTGCAATTGTGTTTGGTCTGCCGCTGGTAGCTATTTTACGGAAGCGGAGTGAAAGATAGATATTTAAACACCGAGTCCCTCCCAGGTTTCGGAAAAAGAAGAAATCGTTTCCACTTCAGCGGAGAGGAGTAGGGATATCCAACAACCACACGCTTGAGATTAGCATCAGCTTAGTCTACCTAAGAACAGGACGCAGTCGGGCAAACCTTTCAACATGCATCGTTTTCTCGCTCTCACCGCGGCTGCGGCAAGCGTCTTCGCCACGGCCTCGGGCACCAAGGTTCCCAGCGTCGACGTGCCCTCATGCCCTCGCGTCGGCTCGATTGTCTACAACAAGTCGGTGCCTGACCTAACACCATTCCCGCGGACGCAGGTCGACCTGTGCTATACCGACGACAGCCTTGAGCTCTCATTTACCGCCTATGATGAGGTGAATTACTTCTTCAACGCGTCGCAGGGCACCAACGACGACATCTGGGAGTACGAAGTCATGGAGGCCTTCATCTACAAGGGAACCGAAGACCCTCAGACATACGTCGAGCTCGAAGTCAACCCCAACAATGTGACGTACCAAGCATTTGTTTACAACCCTTCCAAGACCCGAGAGGCTGGCGCACCGTTCGACCACTTCTTCGTCTCGGATCCGGCTACCGACGGCTTCAAGTCCAAGACACTTCTCAACAAGAAAGCCCAGATGTGGAAAAGCACCCTTACCGTCCCTCTAGGAATCTTCAATGTGGACGTTGGCAAGGCAAAGGGTACCTCTTGGAGGATGAATTTCTTCCGAACCGTCGTTTCAGAAGAGATTTATCCAAACCAGATTCTGGGCGGCTGGGGCGTTCCTGACCAGGCGAGCTTTCATATCACCAAGTATTTTGGTAAGGTGAAGTTCATTTAATTAAGAGCTGGTGGTAGTTTCAGAGCGGGCTGTGACATAGTTCCAAGACACATCATATCCTCAGCCCGCATTTTTAGTGTATGCAAGATCTGCTGTATACTTTGCCAGAGCGTCAAACTTGCCTGGTCGCATCGTGAAGATTGATGTGCCATGTTGGAACTTGCCCTTGAACGGTTCGCCCTACGAATGACATATATGAGTAGGTAGTTATAGAGATATGACTTATGTTGGGACGCCGAGTAGCCAATCTGAGGTGTCGACAAGCCACAAGGCTCCAATCAATGATGGGCCAATCGTCAAAGATTGAGAGTGTTCAAAGTGATGCTTTGTCAAAACTTCATATAACTAAGCATCATCCTCGATATACTTATTGTACACTTGCGGGTAGAACTTTTGTCCATTAAGTCGATGACTTCGAATTTTGGTCCTTAGTTGACTCTCCCCCCACGTATCGTATTTGCCTTGAAGAAAAGGAGAGTCAATGGCGCGTCCAATAGTTGACTTATGGCCTTGGTTCAGCGAAAAAGTAGAGAAATGCCCTCGGAAAGACTCGGTGGCCTCTCGCTTGGTCAGATTCCTCCGGACTCCTTGGAAGAAAGGAATGCTGAAACGCTCGTCGCAGGTTGAGAGAACTCGGTGTATGGTGGCTTTGCAAGTACCCAAGGTCAACACTTCAAACGCTTGGCCGACATTCACCACAAACGTGTCCGGAATTACAGGAACATCAATCCAATCACCAGCATTGTTGAGCACTTGAAGGCCTCTCACATGCTTCTCTGATGCCTGGAGTAAAAAAGTCCACCAACCGGAAGAGTCTGTATGTGGGCCAACGCCTTGAGTGACACCAGAACCAGGAGTGACGGCTGGGTAATGCGCTACCTTGAGGCGATTCTGATCCGAGAGAAAGGGATGAAATGCTTCCTTGGGTAAGTCCAGTGCCTGCGCGACCAGAGAAAGGAATCGCTCGCCGAGAAGAGTCAGCTCAGTAATGTATGCCTCAACGATGGGCCGCAATTCTGGGAGTTCTGAAGGCCACTGCGGAAAATGAGTCAGGACGTGATCATTCTCTACCATAACTGTACAATAAACCAGTGCATATCTACGCTACTCACCTGGTTAGGGCCTCTTAAAGATTCGCACAGAGGAGCATGCGGATCAGATACAGTCGTCAATTCGGTTGCAAAGTCCACCTGTTCTCTTTGGTCGGCCTTTGCCGCCGTAGTTTCACTTCCCACGGAACTATAGCCGAGAAAGTGCTTGGAATTCTCCAGCGAGATTCTATTCTTCGCACTTTCGGACAATTCGAATAGCTTCGGTAGGATTTCCACGAGGTTCCGAATCACCTGCGGTGGCACTCTGTGATTTGCAACGTAGAGAAACCCCACCTGTGTAACTGCGAAACGAAGAGCGTCGAGAAATGCTGGAAGCGACGCGGGATCATCTGCTAAGGAGAGGTCAATTATGGGAATCTCATGAAAATTATCCATAGAGGGTGACATGTTCAGGCCTTGTGTATGTGTGCCTCTGTGATGAATACGTTTGAAGTTCTAGTCATAAACATGAACAAAGTTTCCAGGTTGTCGGATATGACGTGCTCGCTTATATAAGTATCTAGGTAAGGTAGGTAAGGTAGCTAGGTCATGCAGAATTCCCCTCTGCCGCTCAAGCTACCAGATGAGAAAAGACAGCCCTAGATGAAAGTGCAGAGTTCATAGACCTAGACTACTATGTCATAGAAAGACACTGCTCAAGAAGAAATTTATTCGAGGTAGAGTCATTATATAAATATATGTTTTAGATCAATTGCCATTTTCTGGATATTTTCATTCCTTTGAATGGATGGAAATCGTATCTTCGTAAGCTCCGATACATGATACACTGGAGAATAGTCTTATATAGTCTTCTAATCTGTATATATATCTTTTTACTATGTGCAGTGCAAGGCTGACGCAGACTAACTGGTTAAACTCTGCGCTGTCGGTTGGCAGGAGACCTAGCGTTGTAGCAATACCTGATGATCACATGTCCAACACCTAGGTATCTGGGTACCTAAGGTAATAACAAGTACCTGGAGTTAGTATCAAGACGTCTCTTACCTACCTTACCTAGTGGTTACATGTCGATAGATGCTTGACTTCAGCAATTCGTGCTTGAGAAGTCACACAATGGACGAATTCTCCCTCCCAGATGCGGAGGCACGAATTTTTGTCGAATTTGCTTCACAGGATGTTCCAGAACCGTGAACTGTTAGCATATCTCTCAGACTGTAGTGGATAGAAAGATGATACTATTACCATGCAAGGATATTCATCTGTATTCATCTGTTCGTGGCCTGCCTCGCAACTAGTAGTAGCTACACGTTATTAGTTGCAAGTACTCTGGCTAGTGAATCCTGCCGTGCCTGCTACCAATGCGGGCGAAATTGATTAGTCTGCCAAATGGAGAATAGAAAATCCTCTCGATGCATTAGACATTGAGATGGCTTGCTATCCTTGAGACATAAAAACTTTTCTCTGGACAGATTCTGTTCATCTAGCTGGACAGTACAAACCTGTCTCTCCATAATGATAGACGTGATTGAGCACTTAGGCATTGATGCTCCTTCTAATATGATGCAGTTTGGAGGTCACTTGCGGACTTCGTAGGTTGAGCGGCATATTATTCAGACTATGCAAAAGCCATTATCTCTGTCTGCAGTAGTAGCATTCAGGCTTTAGTACTTCAAACTGGACTGAATGCATATACAACTTGAACTTCCAAATAATTTCTGCCAATTTCTGCCCAGGCAACATGTGCCGATAGAGGGCCGGACTTTCTTGTTCTGTGTTTAGGTTGCCTGCTGAATGGTGTTCAGTATTCAAGCTTCAGTGTATCTCACCCTGCGCAAGCTCCTGATATGGAAATACCCTAGGGTATCTGGGGGAAAAGTTGAAACAACTCCCTGCGCAGGGCTCTCTTCGGTCAATTTAGGCTGAGTAAGACGAGACGAGGCAGTTGGCCTGCACAGTCCAATTTCTTTTTCGCCGCTTTCTCACGGCAGTGCTATTTCAGTTGCCAATTTGGGCATCTTAGGAGCATGCATTGTGCCGTTTGCGCGGTTCAAGTTGAGAAAACATCAAAGCTTTCCAAGCAACATCACCCCCTGCGGACCGAGGAAACATTGTCAAGGTCTCGCCGCAGAGCCGAAAGACGCCCGTACTGTCGTTGGATGATACAGTAATGTGTCCCATCGCTCCGACAGAGCGTATGGGCAAGTGTTGCTCACGAGGAAGATAAGTGTGTTCCCCCACTTAGCAGAGTGTGCTTGTTGACTCCAGATTAACTCCGAGGAGCATGTGGTGTTGCATGTACTCGTATGCCAGTATCTTTGGTCCACGAAGAGGTTTACATTGGATGTGGGTGCAAATGCCGGTGCGGTGCCTCGAGGCTTCTTATCGGTATCCGTTATCAATAAAAAGCATGTCACCGTGCCAAACCTTTTGGCCTGCAGACATCATCACATGAAGCGGTCGTCTATCAAAATGGTGTTATCAGCAGTGGTTCACTTCGTGTGGGCCGCGATGCGAGTGATACAGCTTCTGCAGTAACTCATGCGGGATGTTACTACTCCATAGTCCAAAGCTTCTACCGTCTTGACTCGATCATTTCATGTAACATCACAACCCCCCCGAACTCTCATTGCAGCGGACAATATTATTCGGCTATAAAGATGCTCACAGAGTCTAAAACTCCGTACCAATAAGCCTCTTCTGCCAATCAGCCTGTCACAAGAGACGAAGCTGTCCCGTGTCCTCGTGGGGTGCTTGTACCAGGGACCCTTGGTGAACCTCCCACCACGCGTATCACATCCCATTAATAACGTGCCGTCGGTCGTTACATGGCCACCTACACGGAAATCTCAACCAGAGGAATGCCGCGTCAGAGGAGCCAAACGAGAAGCGAAATCGTTATCAACTGAAAAATAGCAGAGTACGCATGTGAGTTATTTGAGACTACTGATTATTGATATGAAGTGCAGTGCCGCGAAAGCCGTGTAGCAGAGATTACTTTCCAATTACGCTATGCTGGGTACAGGTCGGACATCTTCAATGGTCGGGTAAGCGCCCTCTCAGCGGGCATCGCGAACGGAAATATTAGGCCTACTGATTCAGAAGAAGCTAACGGTGTTAGTCTCCGGACTCTGGTCTCGCATTCGCCCATGATTGGAGTATACTGTAGATTTGTATTGCAGAATCGCAACTATTCATCTCCCTCAGTACTATTTAGTCGATATATTACCAACGCGTTGTAGTCGTTCGCCAGAGGTCGATGCCTTTGTTAGGTACATGGAGACGACGAATATACTTCTAGGTACCTAGGTATGTACGCGGCGGCTGCTTATTGCCCTGGTCAGTACGTATGTACTCCCAGGGCCGTTACACTAAGGTAGTACCTACCTATGCTTGCAACGCATCCCCGAGATTTCCTTTCAGTCCGATGTCAGCCACGAGATGAGATTGCATTTCGACCGCGGACTTGTTTGGTAGGTACAGGCATGCTAGATGGATACTGAATTAGTAGCCGAATCCGCTTGCCAGACGCTCCATGTTAGAGGGTCATGTAACTTGGGCCAGTCCAAAGCATCGATTGTCAGCCATTCTGCTTGCACGAGTTGTTTCCCACGAGAATAGCCGTAGCATGAGCAGCGTGACAGTTGGTGTGGTAGCACGAGGTGTGCAGCGTAGAAACATGTTTGCTCCATCGCGTGGTCATTGTAACCCCAGAAGCAAGTGACGGCCGCATGGATCGCGTGCACGCAAACACGTGGAATGAGGAGGGGAACCAGAAAAGCGCTGAATGACACTTCTCACTGATATCAATTTGAGAAATGTACCATCTGTTTCTGTGCGGCCATTCTAGGTGTGAGACCCAAAACGGGCTTGCATCTTCTACCTTACAAAAAGGGAGTGGGCTCAAACGCCTCACGATGCTAGAGCTCCCTGATTTGGTCTAGACAAGTGACCCCCGGCGGCCGATTTACCGAGCTGTGTAGCAGCAAATCCAGGAACGCGAGATGCAGTGACCGGGTTGTGGCCAATCGCCATCATCTCCAATTCTTCATTGAGAAGCTGAGTCGGCTGTCCATTCTATCTCGTCGACTAGTGGCCCGTCCACTTGATCCTTCATCTGGCAGTCAGCGGGATGCTGCCTACGCAATCTAGGCCGATATGTAACGTCTCTTTCTGGGACTGGACGGCGCTCTAGATTACTCGGACTAGGTAGTAGGGAATGCAGCCCTGTGTGATTAGGGAACGAGGAGTGAGGGTATCATAAGGCCAGAATCAAAGAGTTGCCCAATTCAAAGACTCTGTTTCTGATACTTAAATATAACATCCCGCTCACTCTGTTCATGCTCTTCCCTGAGTCTCAGCAGGAGCTTCTTTGCCGCGTCAACCTCCACAACAGATTGCCCAAGGTCCTCGACGGATCGATCCTTTCCTTTACCAAAGCTGATTATATTCTTCGTATATATACCTTTACTTTCGTGTACATAACGTTATACAAACAACATGTTCTTCACCAAAGTTGTAGGCAGCCTTAGCCTCCTCGCCGGCCTCGCATCAGCTGCTCCCAACCCCATCGCTCGCAGGCAAGCAGCAGGTGCTCAAAACGTCGTCTACTGGGGCCAGAACGGCGGCGGAACAAGTATTGAGGTCCTTTATTACTCTGCCAGATGCATAGAACTAACCTGTGTATAGTTGAAAACAATGATCTGTATGTTGCGTTTCCCGGAGGTATATGCAGCTTGTACAGGCACTCTGTGGATGCCTACGGACAATCAGAGGCGTAAAGTACTTGTAATTGAGGATCTTATAGCTAACGACGGTATATCAGATCGGCTTACTGTACCCCAACCTCGGGTATTGATATCATTGTCCTGTCTTTTCTCTACCAGTGGGCAGAGGGATCCTCAGTCCTGGGTGGTACAATTGGTCAATCTGTCGGTCTTCTCTCGTCGTTTCTGTCTTTCGACTAGTATACTGATTAGTATACAGTGCGGAATTAGTAACTCTGGCGAGCCGCAAAACTGCGACGCCCTGACTGCGGCCATCACAAAATGTAAGGCTGCGGGAGTCAAGATGATACTCTCTCTGGGCGGTGCCAGCGCCTTCTCCAGCTTCCAGACAGCGGACCAGGCAGCAAACGCTGGCCAGTACCTTTGGAATGCATATGGAGGCGGCAGCGGTGTCACTCGTCCTCTCGGTAACAACGTCATGGACGGCTGGGACTTGGACATTGAGAGCAACCCTGGCACCAATGAGAATTATGCTGCTTTGGTTAGCGCTCTTCGATCCAACTTCCCTAGCGATCCCTCTCGCCAGTACGTTATCAGCGGAGCTCCTCAGTGCCCGTTGCCAGAGCCCAACATGGGTGTCATCATCCAGAATGCTCAGTTTGACTACCTCTGGGTCCAGTTCTACAACAACAACGACTACCCAGGTGACCCGTGCTCTCTTGGTCTTCCTGGAGATGCCCCATTCAACTTCAACAACTGGACCACTTTCATCCAGTCCACCCCGTCAAAGAACGCAAAGGTGTTTGTTGGTGTTCCTGTACGTAAACATACCCGTTTCTGTGACTATTCGTCATGCCAGTGAGTCCTAACAACGCATCCAGGCGGCTCCTCTGGCAGCGAACGGCGCCCCGAGCGGCGAGGTTTACTACGCCACTCCCGCTCAGCTGGCTGAAATTGTTAACGATGTGAAGAGCAATCCGGCGTTCGGGGGGGTGATGATGTGGAGTGCCGGTTTCTCGGATTCCAATGTGAACAACGGCTGCAACTATGCCCAGGAAGCGAAGAATATTCTGCTGACTGGCTCTCCCTGCTCTTCTGGCCCTGTCACTATCTCGCCACCGCCAGTTACAACCCCTATCACCATCTCTTCGCCTCCGACAAGCAGCCAGACTCCTCCCCCCTCGTCAGGAGGATCAGTTCCTCAGTGGGGACAGGTAAGTTTCTATTTATGCACCACTACCCAACTGGCCATGGTTCATCATCTAACCGGGTATGTCAGTGCGGCGGTAATGGATACACCGGACCCACGCAATGCGTTGCGCCTTTCAAGTGCGTTGCCACCTCGGAATGGTGGTCGCAATGCGAATAAGCCGAAGAGAAATGCTGCGATAGTTTGGAAGCAACTTACTGCTTCAAGTGCAAAAGAGGTTCGTCCACAGCTTTGACTGGGCCTCTATAAATCCACAGGTCATCGGGCTTTGGATAGTTATCAAGTTCTTGTAAATAAGTCTTCCCTGCATGTATATAAACTCCAAGAAGCTTTGTTTATCTTGTCCATCTTGTGGACACAAGCAATATTATTTAAGCCTCAGCTGAACCGCTTCCATCACAATGCGTGACAGTTTTTCAGGGCTACACACAGCCCTATCTGACCGTCAGAATTGACAGAACCACTCTTTATTTCACGCGACTGTTTGCAATTCAGGTCAGGGCTCTCTCTCACGAGCCTCCCTTGTTATGATTTGCCTCTTATCTGGCCTCTCGATAGAGCTTCCGCTTCACGCTATTGTTGAAACGGGAAGCAAATATTGAGAGAACGTACATGGTAGAGCGCTCAGCAGCACATCATTAGAGACTTCTGCTTTCGATGTCCCTTGTGTGATAGAGTGAGACTCCGCGGAGAAAAGCTGTTGCACATCATACCTTGTATGACGTCATGTGAAAGTGAGGCGTTGTAAAAGCCAGGTTTCTGAACGACTGCTTTGGAATCGTTCTTTCGGCCACTGCTTCTGAAACTGCGCAGATGGTTTGGTTCCATTATTAACTGCCCATGGGCTCTGAAGCGTAGGTATATCAGCTCGCAAACTGTTGCCATATGGTTGTCCGCAAACCTCGAGCTTGACATGACTTGCCCGCCTCATTCTTGGCTTAGTGTGCCGCGAATCAGCAGCCATTGCTCCGTACGGAGGCATTACTACTCAATATGGTCTCCACCGCTGAGTCTCCCCTGTGTTAACAGGAAGCCGCCAGGTATGCGTTGCTGCAGGTAGGAGCCTATGTAATCGGGCGAGGCTTCAACTTACCTAGCGTCCTATGAGCCTACACTCGGCAGACTCATCCGCGGAGGTTATTAAGCCCCCCTCGTCTCCTGAAAAGACCAAACCGGGAAAAGAGCGCCACAACCGGGCAACATTTGAGGAACTGAATCGCAAAGGCTGCTGGCCAACAAAGTCCTAGCGGGATGCACGTCAGCATCTACAGCGGCGCAAAACCAACTGCCGGTGTTTTCCACACATCGCGATATTGATCCTTCAAGCACGTCTACGCTCTGGCTCGGAAGTATAAGTACCCCAGACTTATCCCTCACGATAGGTCCATTTGGATATGGACAAGGGCTTTTTATCAGTGCATATCACCTACTTGGATTCTGGTCTAAGAACTCAAAATGGCAAATATCACAGGCGTAATTATACCAGCCATCCACCATCTGGAGGTTGGAGACTACGACGTCTTCTACCGTGAGGCTGGCCGTGTTGATGCTCCTACTATCCTGCTCCTTCATGGATTTCCTACTTCCTCCTTCATGTTTCGCCATCTGATTCCGATTCTCGCGGTCACCTACCACGTAATTGCGCTGGACTACCCCGGCTTCGGCTTTACAACAGTTCCAGAATTATATCCCCATACATTTGACAATATCGCTCGTGTGACCGAGAAGTTCTTGGAAATACTCCAAATCTCCAAGTACGCACTTTATATATTCGACTATGGTGCTCCAGTTGGTCTGAAGCTTGCTGTGCGAAACCCTCATGCCATAACCGCAATCATCTCACAGAATGGCAATGCTTATGGTATGGCGCCTAGCCACCGTCTATAGTCAACCAGCTGACTAGCAGTGCAGTTGAGGGACTTGGACCATTCTGGGATCCAGTGAAAGTATACTGGGAATCTGGAAGCAAAACGTAAGACGCTATTCTCTGTCTCCCGGCACTAGCAGATTTACATACTCTGAGGCAATGGCCCCTGACACAGAATGTATTATCTAGTGATCGCGACGCCCTAGATGGAGTTCTTTCTTTCAACACGACCATGGGCCAATATACGGGAGGGACTGAGAATCCTGCTGCTCTCGAGCCTGAGTCTTGGTGGCTCGACTGGACACTCATGGCAAACAGACCTGGCAACGATGATTATCAACTAGACCTCTTCTATGACTACCGAAACAACGTCAAGCAATATCCCGAGTTCCAAGAATACTTTCGCAAGTCTCAGGTGCCATTGCTCGCTGTCTGGGGAGAGAAAGATACCATGTAAGAGAGACCATGCCACGAGACTGCTCCTTTTTCCTTCCAGATTGACTGATACATATTCCTCTTTAGCTTTATTCCTCCTGGGGCTGAAGCATTCAAGAGAGACCTGCCCAATGCTGAGATTCACCTTCTAGATGCGGGTCACTTCACTTTGATCAGCAATCTGGAGCAGATGGTGGAATATATACTCCCTTTCCTTGGAAACCACCTTGGCAAAGGTCGCGCATAAGGACCCAAGTCAACGGCATAGAATTTTGTGCGTGAAGAACCTGGGTAGAGTGAACCGTGGCCGCGAAGACCCGACATGGACAATTGTAATGTGTGCCGTAACGAGGCCGGGGTACGTACACAATCCAGCTTCTAGGTACTTATGGACGACGTTGTTTGGTGGAGTTTGCAAATGCCAGAGGGCGGATAGTGTAGATGAAGAGTTATTAATCTTATTTAAAGTCTCATATGTCTTGTCCGCTTTAGACCTCGAGCATCCCACCATCTTGGTCCGACAAATATGCAATGTTTGCAAGCAGCTCCGCATTCTAGAAGACCTAGCGCTTACCTTATGTAACGCTTAAATGGCTGTGGTAAATGCCTAACGCCCGGCTTAGCTGGTATGGCGCTGCTGCTCCTGCGATCCTAGTCTGCAGAGAAACACCATCTTACCGTGTCATGGCGTCGTCTTGCATCTAGTATCGCTTCAGGTCCCTTCTTGTACATTTGCAAGAGAAGCCTTGTTTGCACGAGTACACGGTCAACGTAGGATAGGCGAAGCTTCGCTCAATGTCCGTCAGGTCACGTCTCTCCCTTTCTTTTGTTATAAAACCTGGCTTCTTGTAAGCAAATAGCGCCTTTTACCATGTTTGTGATGCTGATGAAGATTAAGCCTGTCACCGAAAAGCACCACCTCGATAGACTGGGCGCAACCCAAGAGGGACTTGATATGATTTCCCAGGTTAGTAAAGAGCCTATTACATAATTTTCATCCGTAGTACCTTTTCCCTTTACCGTGATTGAAATAAATTGCTGTTCTATCACAATTCTGGTTCTTCGGCTCATTTTTCGTCACGCCGTGGCCTTGATTTCCCAAGGCACTCATCGGCCGGGTCATCAACCGCGAAGTTGTGCGCCTCGAAACTCGGTAGCTTGGGGAGTTGGAAAGTTTGCCACTTCGTATCACCAAAGTCATTTATTCCGAAATACGTTTTGTACTTTCTATTACCCGGTCCTGATCATCAGTTCAATAGCAACAATTACTGTGGGCGCGATTGCCCGACCGCGGCGGCCATATGATAGCTTACCTAACCTAAGGTAGGTAGGTAATATCTAAGCTTATTACAATTAGGGATGCTATCAACACGTAAAGATTTTCGGATCATTTCGCACGAGTGCATTACCATTACGTGAAAGACATCAAGATTCCAAAGGCGCGTACTCTCACTGTCACATCTCTGAACTTACCCCTTCCTTTGTTGCGCGATTGAAGCCGAGTTGAACTCTGATCCTTGCCAGTGACCGCGACAAGAAGCCACCCGCCGTATGCACAGCGGCGGCTTTCTAAAGTGTTCAAACTCGTACTCGCTGGGAACCATCCGCGAGCTAAGGCACTGATTAAACACTGACACCGATTCCAAATGCTGCAAATTCGTCCGCCAGCTGATTCCACATTGTAGATCGAGCATTTTAGACGGATAGATACTATATATACCTAGATGTATAAACTCTGTATGATCTTGGAAGCCAGTCAACAGCAAAGCAGGATTGCAATAGACAGCCTCATCACGGAATTTTCTCTGTTGTCTTTTCGTCTTACTTAAGAATCTTCCACTTGAACGGCTACCCAACATGGCTGAAAAGGTAAAGTCTGCATGGCGGATTCGAGCTGATCTCTCACTGATCCAAAATTTAGTTTACTATTTATTCGTCTTCCGAATCGCAATGGGTCGGGGTCATGCTCCTTGCGCTCGCTAAAAAAGGACTCAAAGAGCAATTGGATTACGATGTTCGCGAGATTCGCCTTTGTAAGCCTCACGGCCGCCAAGTGAACAGCCATATAAATAGCCAGCGCTAATGTATCATCATCTCCTAGCTACGGGAGATAACTTCGCGCCGGAATATCTCGCCATTAACCCCAACGGCACAGTCCCGTCTTTGACTGCCCCCTCTCTCGCCAAACCTCTGATCGAAAGCGTCGATATCCTCAGGTGGATTGACTCTCGCGGCACAAAGACTCTTGTGCCCCAGGACGAAACCCGCTCAAAGGAAATACTTGAGCTTATGCATTCGCCGTCAATGACCACGAATCTCATCCTATTTCAGGCACGAGATTCCGCTGAAATGGCGGCAAAGAAATCCAGTGCTTGGAACGCATTTCTAGAAGGACGTCAGACGCGCCTTGACAAGGAGCTCGCCGCCCAGCCCGATCATCCGTTCTATGCTGCAAAGACCGCCGAGAATCTCTCAATTACTTCATTATATCGGGCTAAGATTAGTCCGGATCACGAGCAGCTCTATAAACTGTCAGATCAGATGTATCGCACTGTGGCGGAGGGTCTCGATAAGCTCGACGGCTTGATCGCCCTGCCGTATGCGGCTGGATCGCAAGTCAGCGAGGCGGACTACAACATGGTGCCGTGGCTCGCTCATGCTATGATGGGGGCGCAGACGCCAGTGAGGGCGATTCACGACTTTGGCCCTCTAGAGGAACTGATCCAAAAATCCGTCCCTGAATTCAAGATTGGATCTAGAATAAAGGAGTGGTGGTCCAATGTTTCCGAGACGGAGCCGTTCAAGCAGGTATATCCGACCTTGCATTAGAATGGTACGTTGATTCGGGACATGGTCGTTGAAGGAAGGTACATCGGCATGGTCAGCTGGAATTTCATCGGCTTCAGCTACTGATTTTCGCCAAGAAAATTATCAAGATACTTTATGTATACATGACAGAAGGAGTCTGAAAGACGGTAATTGCGTTTCTCATTTCTTTTCTGGCGCCTCTGTGGCAACCTCTGTCTCATATGCGTCGACATGTACAGATGAGAATTTTCGGGCAGAAACCTTTCTTGCAAATAGAATGTCCAGCTCTTCATACGTTCTCCCCTTCGTTTCAGGAAGGCGGAAGTAGGCCCAAACGAACATCATCAGAGCAGTGCCACCCCTATCTTCACTGTTAGCACGTTCGCGCGCAAGGCCTGTGCTGGTCATGACATACCAGAAGAATCCCGTCTTCCCGGAAGCATTCCAAGCTGTTGGGTTCATAAAGTAGGGCTCAAGAACCTGTGGGGAATTAGTTCCATCGTTCGGGCAGGCATCGAGACACACCATGTACTGACCTGAGAAATAACGTTTAAAATCTGGTAAGCACTCCGCGCAAGCGATACGGTGAGCGGCCTAAGCCGGATAGACGATGTCTCGGAAACAATTGAGTACGCGATCGGGCCGACTGTAAGAGCATAGACCAGAAGCCAAAAGATGCATAAAGCAGCTTCTGCCCATATGGCATCCTTGGCAGAGGTTGCAGCGTTGATGATGCCAATAACAAGAAGAGTGGTGCATAAGACACCTTGGCCCACGACGTAGAGTGTTCGACGGCCAAAATGCGTGATCAAGAACCAGGAAAATACAGTTCCAAGAAAAGCAATAGCTGTGCCCCCGAGGTTGAGCTGATATGCGTGATCAGGACTCATCCCATTAACAACTAGGAAATACGACGGACTATAGGAAAAGGAGCTGCCTGATAGAATTTGCCCAAGAAAGGCCACACAACAGATTTCTGTGCGCCGGAGGTCGGTGCCCTTGAAGCATTCCACGTAGGACCTGCTTGCCTTAGCTTGGGCTTGCTCAATGTTGACAGTATGCACCATCATGGCAAGCTGGCCACTGATTTGGTCTTCAGTCTTGTTCCCTCCCAGCCTTCGCAGACTTCGTTTGGCGTCCTCTACGCGGTCCTTGCGCACAAGAAACCAAGGCGATTCGGGCGCCAAAAAGCACAAAATCATCAGAGGGACTGGCCATATCCATTGGATCGCGAAAGGAATCCTGTATGCCCATTGGTCACGACGGTGAATCAGGCCCTCGAGTACACCTGCGGCGATGAACTGGCCAATGGCCCAGCATAGGTTGACATAGGTCGTGAGATATCCCCGTAGGTTTGTTGGGCAGACTTCCGAGGCGTAGGAGGGGCTCGCAACTGCGAAGATACCCCAAGATAGGCCGCAAAGTAGCTGACCAACTAGCAGCACGGCAGCAGAGTTGGCAAAAAATACAACGAAGATGAAAGCGTTCATGAAGAACAACGCTCCCACCAAGACGAGTCGGTAACCGAACTGAGATACGAGATAGCCGTTCAAAATTCCACCTGCGGTTTACCGTTCGCATTAGCAAAGGTTGGACCACACAAACAAAACAGTATACGATACCAATCAACTTACCGAATATAGCTCCCACGGTGCTACCCATGTTCAAGCCCGACTGCCAGGGCGCTGAAACCTGATATCCGACAGTGCCGCCATGGTCCGTGCCATACTTTTTCGCAAACTCAGGGTAGCCGAAGAAATTACCCATCAATATCGTGTCGTAGCCCTCCATGACGATGCTCATGGAGATTAGCATAGACCAAAAAACAGCCTTGCGATTGCTCTTTAAGGCCTGGAAAAGAGTCTGGGAATGCTCTTCGTCGGACGCATTCTTGGCCTCGATGATGGCACCTTCACCCAGGGTATGCTCGAGGTGCGCTGCCGCCACCTTAGTAATACTTGCCTCCGCCATGGCAGTATTGTAGTAGAAGCTGCAAATACACTGACCTTATCTCAGGGGCAAATGAGAAGAGGTCTTGGAAAACTGGAACCCGTAGATCATGATGGGGTTTGAAGAAGGGGTTTAAGTCCTTATACGCGCCAGAAGGCCGCAAAGGCAAGACTAATTACAGGTCAGCTGGCACGGCTTGCTCGTAACACTCCTACGGTCTACTGCTATTGGAGCGCCAAAGAAAGCAGGATCATGAAGTCAAATAGCCTAGTCTGCAAAAGATCGACCAACGTTGGTGTCGCTCCAACACTGGGCGCTGCTAGCATATTTATCCAAGCCTTTGGTTAATCGATATGTAGATATTAGGCTATTCTTGCAGTTTTACGCCATCATTTTGCCTCGTAACTGCGGCTGGCTCCTATGCGAGTCCGAACAGCGCTTTCTAGCTCTTTCCTCATCACACTTGCTCAAGCGTACTTCATCCCCGGATTTATCTGATCTTCAATCCGGTCCCCGAACCCCACGATTTGCCCCTCTTTTACCCGAGGCCAAGCTACCTACCAGCTAGTACGCGTACTAGCTTGGCTGACATTAAGGTTTAGAGCGAATTGGGTTTGCGGAGGATCATCTTCCGCGGCTGGATTGGCAATTCTTGAAGTGACATAGGCGATTCCCCATGGTCTGACGACTCTTTCGTGGATGACTCGAGGCAAATAGTAGCAAGCACTTGAGAAGCTCTAAGCAAGTCCATGGGCCTTTGGATAATTTAGCTGTTGTCTTTAATAACAGAAGAATTCTTCAATTAGCTATAATTGTAAGACAGACACAGTCCAGGCGCAATTATTACTGCCTGTATTGCGTGGGTTGCTGTTAGGGATCACCGAACGAACTTTTATGGGATGGTCGACACAAGAGTTCTTTTGACCGCCTCATCGAGATTGCAGGCTACACTTCGCTTACGCTCTCGGTGCGTTGCTCCCCCGACAAGGCTTCGACTAATGCTCATTCGGGGCCTTCTTTGCCCGATGGTGGGGACAATCGAGACACGAGTAGCTCTACGAAAGTGCATTGCTCCTCTTTCTCTAAGTCTAGAGTAAGTTTCCACTCTAATTATCGTGCACTCAGGTATGTTTAGTATGCAGTCCTACCCCGCATCCCTCTCCCGGCCCTTCGGCGTGGTGATATGCGGCAGGCCTACGGAGTGCAATGTACTGCGAGTACATGTATTTCAATCTGTGCAGGCTTTTCTTCTAGTAAAGGCTGACCACTGTGGTGATAGGAGACTTATGGAAGATTATCTTTCAATCTCATCTCGGCCCTCAGAAGCCAAACCGGCAGAGCAAAGCGCCGAGAGTCATGGGGTGTATAGGTGACCTCTTCACCGGGCGGATACGCTGGTACTGAGGGGGGCTGGACTGGCTCGCTCTTTGCCTTAATGGCCTCATGATCCATTGATGAGCCGATTAGATTCATTACCTCTAAGTTTGCAGTAACTTCGAGCGACATACACAAGAGGAACAGTTTTCGGCGTTAGAGCTCACATATATGATATGACTTGATACTGTTTTTACGTTGAGAGTCCCCCATTCAATTTCGGTTGGTCATAAGGCCTGATTTCTCCAAGACTTCCGCGCTATCTTAACAACTCCGCTCGTCTGGCGACAGTCACCATATGAGTCTTAAAGCTATTGCATACTCGTACGTACGCCTAGTGATTGCATTTTAAGTAGAAAGACTTTTACATGTCATAATCCTGATTGTTCAGAGGAGTACGGCTGGCGGAATCCATAGACTCGACGTAGCCAATGTGGTTTGGCGCGTTTGCTTCCCATCGGCAATGGCCCCATCAATGCTCTCGACTTTCATTAGAGCGCTTCAACGGAAATTCTCTTTTAGCCTAAATGCAGCACATTCAGCTTGATCTGCGTCGTACAAAGTACACCAGATGAGAAATGTCGCTGACCATGGAAGCTGCCCCCACAATAGAAGCATCTTTGTTCCTCTATGAGACGACCCGTGACGGTAATAAATGAACTCTATGTGCCGGTAGCTCATTTCCTATGTGTCTCACACAAGAAAGGACAAGCTCGCGTTTAACGACAAAAACGACATTATGAAGTTTCGCAGTGGGATGTGGCTACCCATAGAGGGTAAGAGGCTAGAATATGCAGAAGACGTGTATAGCATCACAAAGCAGCCAAGCGGACGTGCTCTGTCTTTGCTATGCCCTACAAAGCACGTCCGCAGTCGTGGAGATACCCTAAATCTGCCCACAGTGACCATTGTGAGTACTGCGCCGATTGGGTAGACTAGGGTGCTGACATTAGCAGGACATTGAGGCCGTCTTTGATGGCGTGCTCTCTGTTGAGGTCACTCACTGGTCCGGAGCTGTGAACAGAGGGCCTCACTTTGAGCTATTTCCTGAGGGGAAGCCTCAAGGTGACGCCAGCATTTCTGCCTCTGAAAAAGGGACAACCATCGCATCGGGTTCTGTGAGCGCCACAATCCATCCAGACCAGCACACGTTCGACATTCGTTTTCACGCGACAGATGGATCCAAGCAACTCACCTCATTGCTGAATCGCAGTGTAGGGTTCGCCTACGGTCCGGCACCCAGCAGCCCTGTGCAGCTTGACGATATGAGAAATTTCGATCATTATATTTTCACGCAGACGACGCTAAGCGTGGGCGAGACGGTACACGGACTTGGAGAACGGTTTGGCGCCTTCAACAAGGTTGGCCAGAGCGTGATACTGTGGAATAACGACGGCGGTACGTCCTCTGAACAGGCGTACAAGAATGTACCGTTCTGGTTGAGTAGCCGGGGTTATGGCGTCTTCATCGACACTCCAGACGAGATTGAACTCGAGGTGGGAAGCGAGCGGCTATGTCGTGTACAAACAAGCGTAAAGGGCCAACGACTCAAATGGTACTTGATCTATGGGCCATCACCAAAAGAGGTCCTTCACAAATATACCACATTGACTGGCAGGGCGGGGAGGGTACCCAGTTGGAGCTTCGGCCTGTGGCTTTCCACGTCGTTCACGACAAGCTACGATGAGAAAACTGTAAGCTCATTCCTCGACGGCATGGCAGCCCGCGACATCCCGGTCGAAGTCTTTCACTACGATTGCTTCTGGTTGAAAGCCTTCCACTGGTGCGACTTTATCTTCGATGGGGACTCCTTTCCTGATCCCAAAGGCATGATAACCCGCCTGACGTCCAGCGGTCTGGTTAAGAAGGTCTGCGTCTGGACCAATCCATATCTTGGCCAGGCATCGCCCGTGTTCAAGATGGCAGCAAAGAAAGGATACTTGTTGAAGCGGAAGAACGGAGACATTTGGCAGACAGATCTTTGGCAAGCAGGAATGGGCCTCGTCGACTTTACCAACCCCGAAGCCACCAAGTGGTTCGTCAGCTGCATGGAGACTCTATTCGACACAGGCGTCTCCGCCATCAAAACGGACTTTGGAGAGAGGATCCCCGTCGACGACGTTGCGTGGTTTGACACAAATGTGGACCCGGCTAGAATGCACAACTACTACTCCTTCATCTATAACAAGGCCGTTTACGAGGCTCTGCAGAAGCGCTACGGCAAGAGTGAAGCTGTTGTGTTTGCCAGAGCTTCAACGGCAGGCTGTCAGCGTTTTCCCTTACAATGGGGAGGAGACTGCGAATCCACTGCAGAGGCAATGGCAGAATCACTTAGGGGAGGGCTGTCCCTTGGCCTATGCGGATTCTCTTTCTGGAGTGTAGATATTGGTGGTTTTGAAGGCTACCCTTCGCCGTGGATATACAAGCGATGGGTTGCTTTTGGGCTTCTAACTTCTCACAGTCGTCTTCATGGGAGCAACAGCTACCGTGTTCCTTGGACTATTGACAATGACGATCAGGGAGACCAGAGCTGCACAAAAACATTGGCAAGGTGGACCGCGCTTAAGGCTCGTCTAATGCCTTACTTATACGCACAAGCCGCGGAAGCCACTGCTGGAGGCCTGCCACTCAGCGTTCGTGCCATGTGCTTGGGTATGAATTGACCGATTAGATGAACGGAAACCGTATTGTGAATGGCTAGACAGCTAACAATCATCTTGCAGAGTTTCCCGAAGATCAAACATCCTGGTATCTCGACCGCCAATTTATGCTTGGATCCAGACTACTGGTAGCTCCAGTCTTTGAGGAATCAGGAGAGGTAGAGTTCTATTTACCTAAGGGCCTCTGGACCAACTTTTATACTGGGGAAGTGAAAGCTGGACCTGGCTGGATGAAAGAAACACACAACTTCGACACATTGCCACTCTATGTCCGCGAAAACACAGTCTTGGTTTTGGGAAAAGAAGGTGAAAGACGGACGGTTTATAATTATCTCGAGGATGTTGAAGTTCGCCTCTACCATACCACTGCAGGAGCTAAGGCACAGCTGGTGGATAGTGACGGCAACGAGAGAGGCACGCTGCAAATTGACGCGAATAACGCCGTTGTTGGGAAAGAACTTCTTCAAGGGAATTCGAAGATCCAGGTTATATCTAATGACCAAAGATGAGGGATTTCAACAGATGAAGCATGATGCTGTCCGTTGTTCTCATGTCGTGGAAGAATTTTTGTTACTGCCAGCGCTACCCAAAGCTATCTAGATGAGAAGGATCTTACAGTACGCACCGAGACACCGCCGCAACTCACTTGTTTGCTAGTCTAGTCAAGAGAACAGGGGGGCAAGCCTTCAATATCGATTGTACTGCAGAGCAAGGAGACTACAGGCTCTCTTCAATCAGAGAAATAGAGGCCAGCCATGATCCGCATTTACGCGTGCGATCCGCCAGAAGTGCATACACTGAAAGAGGATTTATCACTGTTTTCATTCAAAGCCGAAAACGATTTAGCGGTTTGGTCTATTACGGCGCACATCAACCCATGAGGCTTCCTCATCTTAGCTTCTTAAAAAGCACCTTAACCGTAGGGTCAGCCAAGACGTTGACTTCAAACATAAAGTTCTTGGGCCGTCCTTTGACCGAGTCATCAAATTTGATGTCATAGCTCGACAGGATATGTGACAGGACGATCTTGATCTGATTGCTGGCAAAGAATCGGCCAGGACACGCGTCATTACCAAAACCAAATTGCATGCTGTCATAGGACGGACTCGCAAATTGGAACTTGTTGGCATCTTCGGGATTCTCCCGTAGCCGATAGAATCTGAAGCCGTCGAACGCATGCGCGTCGCCCCACGCTGACGGTGTCTCGTCCAGGATGTTCGTGTTGCACTGTACCACAGTACCAGCGGGGATTTGGAACCCGTTAGAGAGCTTGACGGGGATCATGACTTTTCGTTGGTAAGTAGCTTCAATTTCCGTCAGCTTCGGCGAACCATTTGGCCATGAGATAGGTTTGGGAATACTTACCGACTGACGGTGGGCTGTGTCTTTGCGATTCCTTCATGAAGCTGTCGAGCTTCTTCATCTGGGTCAAATGCTGCTTTTGGAGAGAACCGTTGTTGGTTACTTCTTGAATTTCTTGTCTCAGCGGCTCGATATACTCTGGGTGAGCTGCAATGTCGTAAAGAGCATGTATAATGGCCAGCCTCGTGGTATGAATGGCCGCAGTTGCTGTCAGCATCTGGAGATTGGCCAGCTCCTTGTAATTGAAGGACTTGTCGCCAATTTTTCGAGCCCGTTGCTGCATCCATTCAATCATGTCCTGTCGTGGTACGGCGTCTATTGCCGTAGCTTCTGCAGCTCTTTTCTTGAGCTCCGGCATCAGCAGATCAAGCGCACGCTGGTGATCGCCCCGTATCTGCCTCATCTCGGGTATCCAATATTGTGCAAATGGACGGAGCCACGGATGCCACAACTTCAGTTTTTCGCCGCCAGTCATGACATCGAGTGCAAATTTGGTGCTACATTCAAGCCACTCTTCATTACGACACATGGGATAACCAACAAATATCCGCGCGGAAGCTTGAGCAACAATGCGAAGCAGCGTTTCGTGAAGGTCAACTGGAGTCCAATCTGTGGCGAAGGTGAGATGCTGGAGGTTCATGGTCAAGGAGCAGGGAGGATGTACCTTCACAGGGAGGAAAATGTTGCTCGAAGCAGACCTTCACTTCACGGTCAACATCTCCAACGAAGAGCCCTAGATTCCTGTTCAAATCAATCTTGATAGCACCAAGCATCACATCGCTTTCATGGTCGATTGTCGTATAGTGGCCAAGGTGGCGCTACAGTTAGATGAGGCCTGTGAGCAAAACGAAACCTAGGTCTATCGGAGGGAATTCAGCATACATCGGCTAGAGCTTTCATCCCGCTTGCTTCGTGCCGCTTGAATGGTTTTAACTCATTGGCAAATTTCCTGGGGAGAAAGAGCCTTGGACCATCTGGCGTGAGGACTTGGAAAATGGTGTTTTTGAACTGTGGGTTATGTAGTTTCGTGGTCAATACGCCTGAGAACTTGGATCATCGGAGGGAAGACTACCTTTTCGTATCCTTCTCGAAGGATAACGTCGGCCTCGTGGACATATCGCATCTTGAGTGCGTTGGGGTCCGTAGAGTCTTCGCCAAGCGTGGGGACGTTGAACCCTTTGGGTGAGTTTTTGTACCCTGACAAGAAAGCGACAAGTACGACAGCTACGGCTGTCAGAGCTGGCGACATCCATGCCAGCACGGGAAGCGACTGCACATCTTCCAGCAGCCCTGAGAGCGTCATCACGGCTTGCCGACCAGTTTTTGCTTGCAAGAGCTCTCAAGAGTATACGTTATGAGCTGTAGAACCAAGAAAAAGTATGCTCTTCTTCGCACACTAGACCAGCATCGTAAGCCTCTCTTGTGTTATAGCATGTCCGCACAGGAAGTTTGACATCACCTACAATTGCTACTAGACAAGAGGAGGAAATACTTTGACCATCAAGCGTACTGTGAGTCAGGGACCCGAGCCAAACGCTTGGATTTTGGGGGCAATTGGTGCAGCTTCTTCCGCCGAACTGGGGGATGTATCTGGCGATAGTAAGAGAAAAGAGAAGACAAGGAATACTGAGGGACACTTCATTACTTTTCTACCACAAACTATAAAGCGTATCTCACCTTTGCTTCTGGCTAACCCATCAGAGCCACATATACAACTTTAGGGTATATCTGTCGAGAAGCAAAGTCTGTCTCAAAGAAAGCAGAATGCAGAGTTGTAAATGTAGGCGCTAATGAGATATGCAAGGGTTATCACCTCTGAAGACCGCCGTTTTTCTCGGCGAACGCACTGCAACGTCACATCGTCCTTCAATGGACCATAACCCTGTCCAAACATTGTCAATCGTGGCCGAAGCAAGACGTGGATGTTGTTTTGATGAGTCCTTCTTCACTATCAAGGGAGCGTCTTCATATGCAGCTTCACTGGGCAATTGCTTACTGGTTGTGAGTAAGTTGTATTATCTGCTTGTCTTACGGACCCCTCATTGTAGACCATTGGCGTGCCATCGCCACCTACCTATGTGAGTAAGTGCGCCTTTGAGATTTCCGCATCTTGTGCACAAGGCAATCGATTCGTCGGAGTCATGTTTTCTTAATATGGGTGTCTCATCACCCGTTCGTGATTCTTGATACCTTGGGTTTGTGCCATGGCCCTGTGACGACAATAATCGTTGTGCAGTCTCATATTGTCCACTTTGATCGTAATCCTTAGAGAGGATCTGAAATGGCCCCGTCCAGACTTGAGAGTACGCCTGACGCGGAGGACACCTACAAGGCCGCAGTTCCTGTTGGTCTGAAGGCCATACCTGCTGAAAAACTGGACCTTCGCTCAGACGAGGAGATTGCATCATGGCTACAATCTCGACACCCTATCGAGTCGGACAAGAACGTTTGGGCATTTTGGCATGCTGGTTACTGCCAAATGCCTCCTTGGGTCCAGCGAAACGTTATCAACTGGGTTCGCCGTCTCGGTCCAGAATGGACAGTCCATCTCCTCGACCGCGTCCCCAATTCTGAAACGAACATCTACCACTTCGTCGAGGAATCATTCTTCCCCGATGCCTTCAATAACAATACAATGGACGGCGTCCACGTCGGTCCGCACCAAGGTGACCTTATACGCCTTCCATTGCTGTGGAAATACGGGGGCGTATGGATGGACGTCGGGTCGTTCTTGTTCCGACACATAGACGACATCTGCTGGAAAGAGATTGAAGACCCCAGCTCCCCCTACGAAATGGCCGGCTTCGTGATCGAGATCCGGCCTGGGGTAGACACAATGCTCAACGGCTTCATCGCTGCTAAACGCGAAAATCCATTCATCAAGCGCTGGCATGAGATCTATGTGGCACTTTGGAGAGGGAAGACTAACTCGAATGGCTTCCACAAGTCTCCCCTTCTCAAGCATCTCCCTCTCCTCTGTCCACCCGTCGACAAGATGAACTGTCCAGATCTTGGTGTGATGATGGAGAGTTTTACGGATTATCTCTCACACTTCATGGCGTTTGAGCGGCTTCGGAAGATTATCGATCCATCCGATGGGTTCAACGGCCCCGAATACTATGCCAAGCATATGTTCCTCGCTCCAGCCCTCCAAGAGACCTTCTACTTTCAACAGGTGACAGGATGGTCCGGTACACGGCAGTTCGAGCTTCTCACGAAACAGCGCGCCGGTGAAGGCGTAGTCAAAGACGAAACGTGGCATGCAGCCGAAAAGTTTGTCCATGATGCGCTTGCCAATACTTCAACCATGAAACTCAGCCACGGGCCCCCGGGAGCTTTGGATTCATTCTTGGCCGACCTCTGGGACTCCGAAGAGCACCAGGATAAGGATAATGTCGAAGACACATTTGCAGCCTATTTGCGATATGGAAGCGTGCATTTTGATCAGACGCGACAGTTGTTGCCTCTCAAGTTCGACATAACCACCGAGGAGGTACTGCACATTGGAGTTCTGGAGCCGAAGGAGGATTAGAAAGACCACCTGCACTCCGTAGCTGTTGATAGTTAAGGCAGTCATTATACATACCAAAATTAAGGTAGCTAAGCCAATGTCACTTCTTCACCTCAACAACTGCATGCCGTTGAATGCAAATAAGCCTTGAGATCGGCGGGAATTTGCCTCTGATCCCACAGAGAGCCAAGCTACAGAACAATAGATATCGCGCTTTTCGCGTTACAATTCTCGAGTGCAACTGCTCTCTATCCAGCGCCGCAATTCTCGCCTACAAACGCTGCAGTAGACATGATTGTGCAGCTAGACGAAGGACTTCAGATGGAGCGGAGTTTCGGAGTCAACAAAGGTAAGAAGCCTTGATAAGAAGCGGCTAGCTAATAGTGCTGAGGTGAGAAAGGTTCCAATCGCGTATTTGGAGATGCAGCTGCTGTTCGCGGTTAGACAAGACGCGGGGATTCACAATCAGCTTCGCAACGGCCCGAGCCATGCTGATTGCTGATGGATATGAGCAGTACTTGGTACCATAGCTTCATAGCCTCAACGAATTACCAGTTACTTATCAAAAGATTGTAACCCTGCCGATATGATCTAGGGTTATGATGAGCATTCAATACGGCGTGTAAGAGACAAAATGTGCGTATGGCTAACTCCAACAGGCGAAGCAGCTCACAGTACTACATAGATTCGGTGATACTTTTGTGGCTCCCCATATCCTACACTTCATGTTGCTGCCGCCGCAAATCATGTTAGTCCATCAAAGGGAATCATTTCTGGAACGTTTAGGTTGGCAAAGTTCTCCTTTGCAGTGGTCTGCCACCGTCTTTACTCTCTATTCGTATGTACGCCCCCCGTTGCTTGCACTTTTATACAACTTCACAATGATCCATGTGCATACCACGCAGCTCTACGGCGTACTCCATACGCTCGGTCTGACCCGCAGCATCCATCCTTGACACACGTTTACTTTAGCTTCATTCAGGAATCCTCTCCAAGGAGCCCGGCCAGGCTACAAGTTGAAGGATTGTAAGATACCAGCTAGTCATCGTTACATAGGTATCTGGGATGACATGCTGCATACAAAGTCACGCTTCGTAACGTTGATCGAAGGTATCTGCCGGAGGGGCTGACAACAACTGATGAGCCATGTAACATTGGTGCGTATCGAGGATGATGAGCATGGCCGACGATGATATCTCAATCCAAGGGCATTGGAAAGCATCCCTAAGAGCGGGTATATTTAAGCGATGCTGAATATCCGTCAACGATGGCGGTATCGAAGAGCTCATCACGCTCGAAATTAGGAGAGCTTCGTGAGGGCCAGAATCATGGATTCACTATGGAGTGTTATCGATTTCATACGTGATATTGCTGTTAAGCACACCGTCGGAAGCAGTCATATTCATAAAGCTGCCGCCGAAGCCTTTAATGAACGCAAAGATGTTATCAGAAGGGCTTTGAATAAGAAGGTCCTCATACCTGATATTCTAGCCTTCATGCCTGCATGGCCCAGCGAGTTCCAACCAGATGTTGACGAGATTAACCTGGAACTCGACGAGTGGTTGCAAAGGTTTGTCTCCAACTACGCTACCACTTTACGATTTGTCGTTAGGAGTTACTAACTTATATTTCACCAGTGTAAATGTCGCAGAGGAAAAGAAGGCCAAGCACCGGGCTCGAGGCAACTATACACTTTTGGCGGGTATTTACTACCCCCATTGCAAGAAGGATAAGCTATTGGTACTGTCTCAGTTCCTTTATTGGGTATGAATCTCTGTCCAGTCAAAGATCAAGGCGGCTTGCTAATGCGTGAGGCAGATATTCTTCTGGGATGATGGTGAGCATATCTATGGTGTAAAGGCCACAAGATGTGGAATATCAGCGTTGACATTATTGAACAGAGATTGATACTGGTGGGGAACTCACCCACGACAGACAAGGCACGCTGCAGTGTTGCGCTGAGACGAACAAATGCATTGACGATTGCCTTGGTCCCAACCCCAATTATACCCCCCCTCCAGGTGCCCGCGGTACCGTGGAGATGTTATATCCTATCCTGAGAGACCTTCGGAGTGGCCTTGGACCTGTATCCACCGAGCGATTGAGGAAAGAGCTCCACGACTACGTCAATGGAGCAGCCAACCAACAGAAAGTGCGGGAAGAGGACCACCTCCCTGACCCTTGGGATCACTTCAAGATGAGGTCTGATGATGTTGGGGTCATACCTAGCATCACTCAGAATGAGTACGCCATGGAATTTGAGCTTCCAGAATGGATTCGGAGACATGAGGCGATGGAAGAAATTGTGCTGGAATGCACCAAGCTGACTATCCTGCTCAATGAGGTCTTATCTCTGCAGAAAGAATTTGTGAGTTGTACGTTTCAAGTGTTGATAGGGTACTGATCCGCTAATCACTCCGGCGGCAGCGCGTTTCTCAACTGGAGAACCTATGTTTACTATTCATGAACACCGACAACCTATCCATTGAGGAGGCCATAGGCAAGATACTTGACCTTTTACAAGAGCATTATGAGATTTGCGTTGCTGCCGAGGCTAGACTTCCTTGGAGTGAGACGGACGAGAAGCTGAATGAAGATATTCGGGAATACGTACGAGGCGCAAATAGATTGGCGACTGGCACCGCGTGTTGGAGGTAAGCTTTGAGTCTCTTATCCCAAACATCTTTCTATGGCCTTCACTAAGCATATATGTAGCTACAACTGTGAGAGATACTTTAAGCTGAGCCAGGTCAACGAGAAGCGGGAGTTGTTGTTGGACTTGTCTTACCAATAGGACTGGAGTATTAGAAGAAACCCCGTCCATAAGTGCGAAGCTTAGACAAGCTTGTTGCTTCTTCTTTTATCCGCATGACCCTTTGCCATTGCTGACGCTCTGTGATTACCGCGGCCGTCATCTTGTAACACTGCGCAGCTCATCTGCAGCATTGCTTGAATCCAATGGCTTTCAGGGAAGTCTTAATGCTATCGAAGAATTCGCGGGTGTATGACGTATTTTCTACATCTGGCTAGAAACCTGTCGTGGGTACTTATTCAAGAATGGCCGGCATTATACCCGGCGATGGAAACAAATTTCCTTGATGAGGCTTGACCATTTTTGAACAATCTTCATGAAAGACTCGACGAGGTTATTTGGCGAGATATTACATCAGGGCGGAAAAGAATACAAGCTTGGCGCTGCATCTATTTTATATCCATATCTATCTGTTCAGGCCGTATACCAGATCACCCCGTCGGTGACTCTCTCATCAAAGCATAGCACGCTTGAAAGTGTCAATCGCTTATTATGACCAATGCAAATGCAGTATGCAGAATATACAAGTTCTAGTTCAAGAGTATGTTCAGAGAATATGCATAAAATGGCGGGTGGACATGGATCTAACGACCCTCTTTGTTCAAGTTCTCTAGCTGGGCGTCTTGAGCAACGGGCAGATAGCTTCCTTTCTTGCTGTGTGCGAAACGGTCTTTCGCCCACCCGTACAAGGCACTCCCGCCCAAAATAAGTGCCATGCTGCCGGCACGATTGGCGGTGATTGGCTCTCGAAGAGCTACGACGGCGATGGCACTTTGGGCGACACCTCGTGCGGCGGTGACAATCATGTGAGTTGTTGGGCTGGTGACTTCGATCTGCATGAACGTGGCTATCGTGAGCAGGAACCCAGCCACGCCGGTAAGCACGGCGGTGCCCAGGAACTGGCGAGCGCTGGCCGAGACCTCAGCTGTTGCCGTCGAGCTGAAGAGAGCCATGGTGGTTCCCATCTCGCCGGACAAGAGGAGCAGTGGCGCATAAAACGCACAAGCCATGACGTTGGACATCCAGACCATCTGCCACATGCCTTCGCTGCTCTTCCCTAGAAAGCGCTTGACGACGACTGACTCGACGGCCGTAGTGAAGCTCGAAATGACTCCCAGAAAGACGCCCTTGCCACTGGTCAGCATCTGGCTGTAGTCGGAAGCCATTCCGGCGCCAAAGCCGGCCATGACCAAGGCGCATCCGGCAAGCGACAGTGGCGGGTAGTATGGGCGTGGTCGAAGGACGAGGAGCGACAACATCAAGGTGAAGGGAAGGAGAAGTCCCCGAGCAATCTGGTAGACGGAGGCATTAACTGAGGCCAGGCAGTACGTCTTTGCCAGAATGCCGACAAGTCGAGCGGCAGTGAGTGGGAGAAGCGCAATCCATGCCTATGCAGATGTACGACACGATATTAGCATTCGCAACGACCACACAAAGGCAGCAGTGACACCCCAAGGAAGATTGCCGGTCCCCCCCCCCCGTGACACAATCGTCGAGAAAGCCAAGCGGTCGCGACATACCGAAACGGGTCTTGACAGGGTGATCCATTTGGTGAAGTAGCCGATGGCTGTAATGAGCACGACCTGTACTGAGGTCTGAAAAGCCAGAAGTGTTACGGGTGCATCAATGCCGTTCAAGGCAGACTTGGAAAGAATGGTGCTGAGGATGGCGCATGTCGAGTGGAACAGCACGGTCAAGGCGACGCGGCGCCTGGAGGGTGGATGGGCCTCGGGGGCTTCACTCATATTGGAGTGTGCTTCGTAATAAAAGGCTGAGCGAGTGACTGGGGAAATACGGTATAAAGGAACGTCAGGAATACTCCCGTAAACACAACGACAGAGAGAAGAACACAGCAAACAGCTACTACCTCGTACTCTTGTTACAGAAGCAAAATCTCCAATGTGCTCTGAGGCAGCAATGGAAATGCCACAGATTACCAGCGTTTAGCACTGGCACTAGTAAAGGGGCAAGCTATCAGTTGCGCTTATGTTACGGAGGTGAGAGATAGTGCGAGGGAGGTATTTCCGTGCGCTCTCGCACCATTCCTCAGGTACCAGTACACGGACCTCGTACGGGTACCTCTTACGGAGTATAAGGTATTCTGTAGGTAATGTCAGACGTATGCTCAGGGCCCCGTACTGCCTTAGGTGTCGTCCCGGCGAGTACGGAGAATGGAATACTATCTGAATGTTGCTGACGCCTTGCATGAAGCACTCGTAGAGACGCTTCGTACAGCGACAAGTGCTCCAGGACGGTTGCGAAGCAAGAATTTTCCGTGCTTGCAAGTTACCTACATACTGGTAGCTCCGGCAGGCAAAGCAGGCTAGAAGCAATTGAAAGTCAACTCGGCCGTGGAACTCTGCGGACTATTGGGAACACTAGTACTTTATCTAGTAACGCCAGTCGTGCGAGCCTACCAGGAATACAGGTAACTTCTTGAACCGGGTCGCAAGTATCTAATACCACTACGAGTCCCCGGACGAGCAAAGTAATCGCCGTGTAGTTTTTTTTTTTTTTAAACTTCTCGCGACTGTCCGTTTCAGCCACCACTGACGCGTCCCACCCCTTTTCTCTGCATGGCATGTGTTGGAATCGCACACACACACACACACACACTTTTGCATGAGACTAATATACCAGTATGTACTCAAATAGGCAATGAGGTGACTTCAAGGACAAGGCTCACCCTACGGATTATATATACGTATTGTACATAACATGTATGCGGCTGATGAGTACTCGTACTTGTACTCCTAGTATCTGCGGTTGAAGTCCGTACCGACTGGTAACCTTCTCCGCCCCAATAACAAGCACAGACACAGTTGATCAATCTCTTCTTTCATTAATCATACGGAGTACCATCAGTAGGGTTCCTGATTGCGTCGCCTCCATTACGCTAACGCCTTGGCAGCTCCGCCTAATAATAGCTTCGGGGAGCTAAAGAACATCATCCGGCCACTCACAAGCTGCGGCTGTTGAAGAGCCGTCAACATGGAATAGTTGCCAAGACTTGACAACTCTGAAGAAAAATGCCGCCAACTCCGATATGTCCCTCAGTCGCCGCTCTGTAAGCTAAGTAAGCTAAGTACCAGGTACAGAGGGCTGGGTGCTGCCCAATGCCAGTAATTCCTTGCAACAATGACTTGAAAGAGTGTATGAGGAGGGGGGAAAGGAAGGGATGCGAGTCCAGAATTACCGCGGCTCTCATAGATCTGTGGTGCGAAAAGATACGGCGGCTTGGTGAGGAAGCTGCAAGAAGAACGAAACAACAAGAGAACCCTTCTCTCGTCAGTCTAGCGCAAGAGGAAAAAAAACATGCTACATGATCCATATATGACTGAATACCCACATCCCAAAATCCCAATCAAATCGAAGTATTATGATGCCGTAAAAGTCGCTTGTAGGGCGTCGTCATGTCGAGACGGCGTCTTCAGGCACGATCCCGCGCCTGGTGAAATCCTCGTTCATCCACTTTCTCACGTTCAACCGATTTTGCTTCATTATGTTTTCGGCTGCCTCCTTGACCTTTTTCTTCTTCTCCATAAACGCTTCCCTATCGCCTACCACCCTCTCGATTGTCTCCATCTCCCTCTCATCCGGCTCCGAGAGCCAGACTGCCTCGCGCGGCAAATATGAATAGGACGCGAGAAGCTTCTCGTTTGCCACCAATGGAACTCCCGCAATAAGCGAAGCGGGAACTGTTGACGAAGCTTTGCGGTCGAGATAGGTTTCGGAGGCAAATGCAGGAATCACCGCATATGACTGCGATAAAAGCCTGTAAAAGTCGGGATACGAAAGATCTTCGTCAAACGCAACGTTGCCGCGAATGTTCTCAGGTACTTCGACGTGTGGGCCGTGTCCGATCAAATGCAATTTGACCGTCTCGTCAGTGTGATCGCCAGCCGTCGCAGCACTTCCGTTGATTTTCTTCACGACGTTGTCCAGGCTTCCAAATATGCGTTTGTAGTCTCGGCGCTCAGGAGCATAGTCCCCTTGCATCGCTAGCGAGACTTCATGGATACTTTCGTTGTGTGTCTGGTTGACCGGGAAAACTGGAGGAAATGTTCGCGCCGTGACACTTGCCTGCAGATTTTGCCACTGAGTCACTGACTTCTGCAGAAGATAATCAACCGTGTGCTGGCTGAGACCGATGAAATCAACACGCTCTCGGTCGACCCATTCTCGGACGACGTCGACATGCGTGCCCTTATCCCAGAAATCGGCGTGATGTACAAGGCAGAACAAGTGCGTGGTCTCGTTGAATAGCAGGTGACGGAGAGGAGCGACAACCGATTCTGGTTTCTCAAGGTCCAGTTCGCAAGTGGTAGAGACAACAAAGTGAGGAGGCGGCAGGTTTGCGACGTCCCTCTTGAAGTAGTTGGAGCTGTTGACCGAGAGAATGGGCGTCTCCAGCTCGAGGCTGTTGATGATAACATCGGACTGGTAGCGCTGGCGAGCAAAGTAGAGCCGCAACTCAGCGTTGGGATGCCCGCCAAAGGCATAGACCAGCGCTGCCGTCACCTCATCGTGGACACCGGCAGACTCGAGGATGGCGATGCGTATCGGTTCATGTTTCTCACATGGGAAACGGTCATTCCACCACAGCAGATCGTCATCCGTGGTGAAGAGGTTCTGCCAAATCGGGTCTTTGCCGAGAAGCAAAGATCGGGTGCTTTCGCGGCTGCTGAGGATAAGTAATGCGATAGCAAGGAGAATGAAGAAGAGATAGAATGAGCGTAATCGCCGATAGTAGGCGGTAAAAACCATCTTGAGCATATTCTAAGATAATACAATCATAAAGACAATAAAAGTAACAAGAACATCATGCCCTTCCACGATGGCGCATGAAGAGAAAGGAAAAATCGGTTCATGGAAAGGTCAAGATTGGATTGGCACGAGGGGACTGCCCCAGACAATAGCTAAAAGCCCGGGAGTCTTGTCTGATACATGACCCCCGGTCTGCCCCGGCCGCCACTTTCCACGTAGGTGTGCTTATTAGCGAATGATGATCGATATTTGCCGCTATGTACTGCAAGTACTTCTACGACTGTCAGAACTCCTATTTCATGAGCCCGAGTCTGTGAGATGCTCTGAGGTCCAGCTTTATCACCGGCATCGCCATCCTGAAGCAGACTAGCTGGCCGGCTTGGTGGAGACGACAACTGGCCGATCCTGGTAGCTGACGCTAGAGTTGCAAGCCGGCTTTGAAGCAGTCAGGGGCAGCAGCCTTAAGCGCAATGACATGGGTCAGCAATTACTCGCGGAATGATCAAGTACCAGTTACTTGTCCAGCTTTGCGTGTCTTGACGCTCCTTGTAATGAATGGCATTGCCACTGGAGTGAGGCACACGCTACTCCGTATCCGCGACGCTCCTTAACACGTCCCACTGTGGTTTGATCTCAGTTATTTTTTGTCTTATGACAACCACTCCGTGACGCCTGTACACCCGTCAGCCTTCAAGAGCACCGCTGCGGTCTCACGCTTCTCGCCATGCTGCTCGCGAATCGGTTTGGCAGGGCCACCATCATCGCCGGGGCGACCCTCCTGATATCGTTGCTCTTGGTGATACTCGCACAGAGCGCTGACCTGAGATCACATCTTCCCAGCTCCCCCTCAATATGGCCGGCGAAAGAGTGCTCCCCGCCGGCTTTGGCGGAGAGCAGGAGAAACATTTCCTATGATCTCACGGTACCCCCTTCGATCGGCTGTGAGGACATTGTCAACGACCTCCAACAGAAGCTCATTCAAGCCTATTCCAAGAGCTTGAAGGGCGTTCGGTATGCGAACATCTGGGGCTACCTAGAGACGGAGAACAAGGGCGACGCCGCCATTTGGTCCGCCCAGCAGATACTCATGAGCATGCTCGGTATTGAGATGATGGAAGCATGTCGGTAAGAAAAACAGCTGTTACCTCATGTTGCACCCCTCGTGACGATTTCTTGTGTTAACGATTCTCTCTTCCCGGCGCAGATTCATGGACAGAGACTGCGACATCAAACGCTTTCGCAAAGTTCTCGAAGATCACCGGCCCAATTCGGCCATCATCATGGCAGGTGGCGGCAACTTCAACGACTACTACTGGGAGGACCAGCCTTCCCGCATGAAGATGATCGAGAGCTTCACCAACGTCTCCATCCGAGCGTTCCCCCAGAGCGTGTACATGACGAATCCGGAGCGTATCAAGGCGACCGAGGAAGCTTTTGGGAAGCACAAAGACCTGCAACTGGCTGCGCGGGACAAGCCTAGCTATGATTGGCTCGACAAGACATTTGGCAACAAGGAGGGCATCGATAGCCATCTCGTCCCGGATATTGCATTCATGTGGGGAAATCGATCCGACTTTAGAGTCAATGGGAAAAAGACGTACGTATTGTCGCTGCCTGCGCCTTTGGCCACCCGATATCATCTCGGCGATCGTACTAACAAGCTTACAGTCACGATATCCTCATTCTCGCCAGGAAAGACATGGAAATCTCCGACGGCGACTCATCCAACATTGAGTTTGGCGAAGGTGAACTTGACCTGGGAGAGGGCGTCGGCAAAGTGACCTACCAGAAAGTCGACTGGAAGTTTACACAGACACCGGATATCGATCCGCCAAAAGACTCTGGCGACGAAGCAAACGGCTCACCTGCTGCGCCTAAGCGAGAGAACGGCAAGAATCAGCGCGCTTGGGCCAAGGCCATTGCCGGCTTTGAACTGCTGGGTTCTGCCCGCTTCGTCATCACCGACCGTCTCCACGGTCACATCTTGTCGACACTTATCGGAGTGCCCCATGTCCTCATGGACAGCAAGCTGGGCAAGAATCTTAACTTCCATAACACGTGGACTCGCGACTGCGAGTGCACCAGAATCGCGTTCAGCATTGAGCAGGCCTTGGACGTGGCACGCCTATATTTCGAGAAGGAGAACAAGGCGGTGCAGACCTAGATTAATATCAGCTGTGTGTTTTTTCGTTGCGTGTGTTACTAAGATTTTTCTCTATAGAGCATAGCACCCAAACCTCGTGTTTCCGAGCGGCTGGATTTCCAGCTGCTGTTCTTCTTGTTTCACAGAAGTAGTAGCACCCTATTGCCGGATAACTTGCAGTGGGAATAATGATGCCTCGGCGTACGAGAGCCTCATACTGATCATACGGGTTATCAAGATCTGTATTACACACTGATAGTACTACATATTCCCCTTCGTTTATGTGCCCGTCGGTCGTACGATCGCGAGTCCCCCAATGGCCATGTAAACTGCTTTATTTTAAACCCCGCTGCTCGCCACCATTTCCTGACTGAACAAAAGCTCCGGTAGCGAAAGTAATAGTCATGGGCTTTCAGAATTTTCGCGTTGGGAAACATGGGAAAGTGGACACACGGTTTGTTGACAGCATCTTTTTGTTTATTCCAACAGTAACGCAGGATAAACGAACGAACTGGGACAGGATATCAAGCATCAGGGCTCGTTGAGCTCCCCATTCAAGTGGTTACCTGCTGTGGCACGCAGGTTTATCCGTGGCCGCCCTACTAGGAGCAGATTAGATTAAGAATGATAGGTAGTACTACATACAGCCTTATGTGCTGGCCACCTCTGATCTGGACCGTCATCGTCGAACTCGATATGAAGACGCAACATCTCTGACTGTACCCATCTTGACGAGACAGTCACTAACTAAGCTATCAGTTTTCAAATACATGGTCTATTTACGAGCAGCTAGAGATGCCTCAATCAGGCAGAGACTGCAGACCGCAGGTTAACGTACTCTCATGGTATGTCACACAAACATTCAGTAGTAGTTTTCGTCCCCCTTGTTTTACTCTTGTCATCAAGAAGCCAAGTGCCGCCGGTTTCGCCTCAACGCCAGTGGTACATTTTAATAGCACTCTGTTGATATTGACTGGCGGCCTACGTGTTTGTCTCAATTGCAACAGAACTAAACATATATTTGCTTCTCTATACTAATCTTTCCTCTCTTTTACCTCCACTTAGTTAGAAGCTGTGAGATAGTAGAGTACGCTCTCGCCGGGGCCCAAGAACGATGCAATGGAAGACCTGGTAATTCCAAGGTCACTGTGATCTCCGCCGCCGGAGCCGCCACCTCCGAGTACCCTACGAACACTCCAGCCTGGTGCCCCGTTGGGTTGATCTTCTGCTATCCCGAGCAGCGACAATGAGATATTCACCAGTTGAACCCCTTGAAGATTTCCACCAAAACCACCTTGTCCTAGATCCGGGCCGTAGTTCGCGAGAACAACCACAGCATTTTTATTATCCGTGTTCGGCCCAGCAATCCATGCCTGAAGCTGTTCGGACGCCTGTGATCCCGGACTTGCCGTTCCGAAAGGGTTCTTTGGTTGCATCGGATACTGAGCTGTGAAATCAGCGACAGACAGAAACTCGGAATCGTAAAGGAGCTCTCGCCCAAGGGTGTCAAGCTGTGATAAATCCGAGCCGGTGATTAGATTTGCGCCTGCTCCAACCCAATGGATTGCAACCGTGTATCTTTGTACGTCTGAGAGGCCCGTGAGTGATTGGGCGTTACCAGTGTACATATTGTCCATGTCTGGACGGATCATTATCGGGGTACCCTGGCGTGCTGGATCTTCTTCTTGCTGGTTAATGAAGCTTCGGTACTGTTCTATGGCTCGCTGCACTGTATTGAATCCCAAGAACATGCCTTGATTGGCATTATTGATATCTTGGTCCAGGCGCAATCCATCAGCATTGCCGCGCCACAGGAAGAAATCTGCTGCTGAGTTCCGATCAAGCTTCCACGAGAGATCCAACCGCATCGGTCGACTGGCTTGCTGAATTGCCTTATGGTACGCCACTGCGGCCAAAGAGTTATTGGCAGGCAGATCTTCGTTAGCATCTGGGCTACCCGGTGTCATGTAATCTAGCTTGATGTAGTCCACTCCCCTGTCGTGGTATGTTAGCGCCATTCAAGCGCGAGGCACAGAGACTTACATTGAGGCCCAGTTGTTGACAACGGAGTTATGCCATTGCTGGACACCGTCTTTGCTGAAGTCAAAAGTCTGCCTCAGGTTGTAGCTCGGCTGGCTCGTGTCAAACAAGCTTCCCAATTTGATGTTGGTTCCTTCAACAGTAACGCCAGCGTCGGCGGACAGCGCCCCTGGAAGCGCGTAGATTCCAAGAAGCTTGCCCTGAGAGTGCAGGTTATTTGCCAAGGCTGTCAGGTTTGGAAAAAGAGAGGTGTTTGGCACAAGACGACCAAATTGGTCTCCTCCATCCGCCGACCAGCCCGAATCCAGGCTGCACAGCGTGTATCCCGCCGTGGCATTTAGAAGATCGCATTGGCTTTGAACGTCCGCCTGATTCAGCGTAAAGGATGTGCCTGCCCGAGATTGCATACCATAAGAATTCCATCCCCTGGGAGGCTGATTGAATCCATTGGCACTTGTCCCGTAGAAAGGCACAAAGAGCTGGCCCGCGGCGGTCGTCGCTGCTGTCATTGCTACCAGAGAGACCGTGAGAAGTGAGTGGTTGGCTTTGTTCTCCATTTTGCCCACTCTGCTATTTGTAGCATGTAATCAAGTGCAGAAGGTGTAAAAGTCAGTCCGTAGAGCCGTGGAGGAAACGGGAGACAAAGCGACTATTTATTTACCGTTGCCGCTGTTCCCTCGTGGACCGAGGTGATATGTACATCGTATTATGGAACGAGCAGAAGCAGCTTAAGGGGTTATATTCGGCATGTTTTAGACTGTATCACCACGCTGATGCGGCTGACACGGCATAAGACCAGCCTTTTATGGGGTACACGACGCTATTGACGGCTTCCTTTTGAAGGTTAGGGCTCTCGTCGCTATTGTCCGATCCTAGATTACTTACTTGAACTGGCATTGCAAAAGCCCGATTATGTAGCCTTGCCAATCAAGGAACAAGATTCATTTCGTGATGACATTTTATGATCCTTTATCCCGTGGCATGAACCAGCAGGTGCAGAGGGCGCCTTTTAATTGAAAAGAATGACAAAGCGGAGCATTAAGAAATAGATTGGGACGCACGAGGCTTACAGTCAGATACCAAACTATTAGAATGTTTTTTTTTTTTGCGACAACTTTGAGTCGAGTCCTCTTTCTCGCTCGTGTCGTTGTGTGTTTCCTTGTCGGCGTGTGTCCGTATCTGCCGGGATTTCCTACATCTTGGGATCAATGGTCTATGATCAGACCTTCTTCTTTTCTTCTTCAGCCGGGTTAAAGAAAGAGGGAAGGCAACCAATCCTTCGAAAGTTGTAAAACAAACTATTACCCAAGCTTGAAGAGGGTGACAACTCATTTGGCTCCATATGATGCTGATGAGATCTGAGAGGTTTAGCAAGATTTGAGTTATCGGAGCTCTACAATCAGGTAGGATATATTCCCTTCTCAGAAATTCATCAGTCGTTATCGGAACGACTTGGTGATATGAAAACTAAGCTTTTACAAAGCCTTTGAGTTGTCACCGCCATCTTAAGCGTGTAATTGTAATGGGACATGTGACTTAAAACCACGACTTTCATCAAACACCTTGTCTAGGGAAGTTCAGAGGAGTTGATCTCGAGATTGTCTCCTATTGTTTCCTATACTTTGCGACTCGCGATAGAAGTGTATAAGAAACATAGTGATCAGCTAATGTGTATATTATCAAGCGGTTGAGATCTCCATGTTGAAGTCATAGGCACAGCTTTATTCAAACATACGTCAATGGCTTTCATAATTGAAGCGCCGCGAGTCATCGACCAGTAGCGGTTATAGAGCTGTTAACTGGTCCTTCTAATATTTGCGTTACTCGCTGCTAATGTTTGGAACTGTCTAGTGCTTTTCTGCTTGAACCTGTTCGCCACTTGCTTCCGAGTATCCTTCAGCCGGCTCTGTCTTGATTTCGTCGATATGGCGATGGTTACGGACAACGAGATAGGTAGGAAAAACCGCCAGTCCTTTTCAAGATCAAGGTTAGACTCCCTCCGTGGCTTATGAGAGCAACTATTCGGAAAGAAAGACTCACCAAGAAGAACTGTATTAACAGCGAGAGGCACTCGTCCTCCATACCAATCCCTCGTATTAAGGCCATATGACACCGCTTGTGCAAAGCTTTCTTGACCCCTTAATATGCCCGTCAGACGTGTCAACTCTGACATATTATCTGTCATTGTAGCGACAAGATAGTACAACCAGCTCTGGGCCGCCTGCTGTGAGAAGCTCCAGAGGAATAGAACGAAGAAACCTTTAACGAAGCCAGGCGTGCTCCAGTCCAACGTTGGGGGGTTTGCTGTGAATTGTTCGGAAACCACCCAACCATATACCCAGGAGAGAATGTGGACTGCAACAACATAGTAGTATCCGTATTCAAGGCGTTTCCCAACTGAGAAGCGAGTCCAATCGAGCCATTGGCTGAGAATCTGTGAAGAGAACAGCGTGGCAAAATTGCTAACAAATCCGATCAGAGCACGCCCCCGGATGCTGAAGTAGTAAGCTTGAAAATTGCCGCTATACTGGTTGAAATAGGCAGCCCAGAAGACGGGAAGGAGAAGAAGAACGTTGCGTTTTCGGGATGTCTGGTAAAGGGCCTTAAACTCAGCAAGGAACGACGCCTCTCCCTTGACAATGACCCTAGATCCGTCACTTCGCTGAACCTTTTGCGGTGGTGATAAAGCCAATGCCAGGGGGCCGGCCAGACACTGCAAGACGATGAAGATGAGGTAGGTCACATAACCAACGCTTCCCTTCTTTGAGGTTTTGACATTCAACCCCAGAACAATGGCACCACCGACAATGGGGCCAAGAGTACGAAACCACACCCAAATGTTCAAGTACTTGGCGCGTTTAGTAGGCTCTGGGTAACCTAGAGCGATTGCTCCCTCGCTTGCCCAGAAAAGACCCGCTGATATACCACAGGCGACAGCTCCGACGAGCACGAACCATTCGTTTCCGAAACGATTGTTGGTGTAAAGGCCTGCCGCATAAACTGGGTAGCCAATGGCGCCGAGGAAAAGCGTGTAGGAGAGCCCGATTCTATTGGCAATTGGGCCACCGAAGAGACAAAAGAATCCCATCAACCCAAACACGAGCGCGTTGGCGGCGTTGACGAGGTACGGAGATTCGGCTCCACCGGCACCTGTCGAAGTTACGTATCAGAGATGTATCGTGGGATTAAAAAAAGACGAGCTATATGGAAACTTACCTAGCGAGTTCATGGCATTCCATAGACCTGGAGCCAGAAACCCAACTCCTCCAATCACAAATGCGTTAAACAACGTACTGCGGTACCAATGCCGCTTTTGAGTTGATAGAGGGGAGACGTGCTCTTCCGAGCCATCTTTGGATACATCTGCTTCGATATCGGTCATGATGCCAGAGTTGCCGTATAATGGAGGTCAGGCTCCAGTTGACCTCTGCGCATGAATGCCTCTTGGAACTCGGTTGTAGGGGGCGTGATCTGGTATTTATGTGCCCACGTCCACGTCCACGTTTATGGAGCCATTTTGGTGGGAAACTTCGCCATGTGCTTCGCTTGCAAGGAATGTGATGGGTACAATCGGTACAACCTCTGAGATGGAAAACTCTGCCCTTAGCTATCTCTGATGTTGTAGCATGAATTCGCTGAATGCTCATTCTTGTTTGAAATGGCGTGAGAGAGAGAATGTGGATCCAGCAACCAATTGGACACTGGCAAACTCCATGTGGGCATCATAAATGGAGTCTTTCATCTGCTACATGATCGACCCAGCCGCTATCTTTCCGCAGTTTCAATGGCATTATTTCGCAGTACATACCGTTCACAGAGCATTTCTTTTGACAAAGCAGATGGATTCTCCATCGAATGCTAATAGGTAATTGGCGATTAAACGCAGACCGTAACTACATATGTTTCTGGGGGGCGCTGCAGCTCCACTTGGTTCCTGCATCGCTCCGTGATGCGAGATGCTGCAAGTCCAGATGGCAGTCATCTGGTGCCATCAGTTCTTGTGCGTGCCACAATAAAAAAGATCGTCATCCAGTCGGTCACCCTCAATTCGTACAGAAAGACAGCTGTAGGGCAATAAACGCTCAGCGGCAGCCAGAGTAATGCTCGGTTCCCTTGTCGATGCTCTGATAAATCTTCGCACTGCTGTGTAAGGCAAGGTCACCAAGATGAAAGATTTGGTAATCCTGTTCACCTCGATGAACCAAATATATCGAGCATTTATTGTCCGTGATGTGGCTTAAGGGTACAAAGACAGCTCGATAAATACTAAGCCTGCAGGAATATGTGGCTCCAGATCTCAAACACCGCAAACCAATAACGCATAATAATTAGCAACTAGATCACGCATCACGGTTGAGGATCTACTGAATGAGATACCACTCGGCGTGAAAGCAAATGACCAAAGAAGGAGAGCGAAGAACAAGTTTATCAAGAACAACTGGATTTTCGGGGGGCATGCAAGATAAGGTACGCTACCAAGGCTACTTAGTCAAACTTGAGAATCTGCCACGGAGCTTTTAACAGTTTCCTCGAGTGAAGTCCACTCATGCCCCACAAACGGTTTGAGCAGATCCTCAGCCCGTCCATTAGTTACAACGCTTAGATCGCGCTGCAGATTCGGGATATCGTCAATCAATTGTCTGCCTGGGCAGAGCTCTCTGAAAATAGCCAAGATGTCATTCCAGTTGTATGAATATGCAAATGTGAAGATTCTCTCCTTGCTCACATCTTTGTATAAGAGCGTAGCAACACACACGATAGCGTCGTCCATGCTATTGATTAAGTATTGTGGAGGCAGATTCCCTAAGGTTTCTTCACCATCAAAACCACTCTACAGAGCGCGGATCTAACCTAATGTGCTGGGGTACTTCTGATGGTGCTTGTCGAGAACAGAACCGAAATTCGCATTGGGTAAGACGTGTTGAAGATGAAATTTGGCTTGTTTTCGCGAACCCACTTCCACGCTTCTTTTTCTCCTTGCGTCTTGCTAGCGTAGTGAACGTCATAAAAGGCGGTTAAGTGCTTCATACGGCGGATGTGCCCATGCGGCAGCTTCGGCCTCTTCCTTCCATGTGTTCGAGTCGATCGTAAAGACCTTGCCGGGCTTTGCATCTGTGCAGGCACCGGACGAGGATGTGAGCACGAAATGCTTGAATTGGGCTCCTTGGCGGCAGACTGGACTGCATTCAAGGTCCCATTGACAACGACTGGTATCGCAATATTGGGGTCTGCAGTTTCCATTACCGGGGTGGCCATGTGAATGAACCCGGAGGCGCCTTTAACAGCTTCATCGAAAGCACAGCTCTCTGCCATGTTACGAACCTCTGCCAGCTCGATTTTGCCAGGTCCGTATAACTGCGAAGAGTAGCCAACCAGCCAACTGTTCTTTTTGACATCCCAGACGCTGCCGCGGACGAGTAGCCCGTCTTGACGAGCTGGTCCACGATGTGGTTGGCTATATTGCCGTTCGCTCCTGACGCGACAACAGTTGTGCCTGTAGGATTGGCATATTCTGGATCGAGATGAAACATTTTGGAAGAGTGCTTGAAGAGACTGATGGAGTTAGGTAGTCGATGAAATGCTAATGACAAGACATCTAAGGACAGGTAGTCTCTACGATAATTAATTTCCACGGTAAGTAGATGTTTTACATCTGTCAGGTGCCGATGCGATGCACAAGGGTCTTCCGTATTGAATGTCATAGCTCATACCTGAAGCCCATTGGGATTCCGCCGGGCAGTTTAAAGTGAATAACTATGACGCTAGGATTTTCCTAATATTTCTTTTTAGGTACAGCAGAAGACGAAACACCACCTCTTGGAATCACTCAGGTGACGAGTTTAGCATTTAGATCATGATATATTGTCTGTTCTGTTTGAGGCCCGATTGATTTTACGGAGTAAATGAGTCTAGCAAGCAACAATTCACTTGAATGTATGTTAATGATGAAGCAGGAAACTTGGAATGCCTCTAATCACTACACGACTTAACCATAGGTGGGGGGTTCAAGTGCGGGCATAATTTGCCAACTGGGATAGAGGCGATGCATGTTTAACGGCGAATTCAGTTTTCTTTCGTCACTTACAGATACACACGAGACGTCTCTGGCACCGTAAATGCCGGTCTTCAACACATAATGACCGGCAATATCTTCGCACATCTTTGGGATATAGCTAGTGATAGGATTACTAAACAGCGTTACCAGGATGCAACCAGACTTGCCAGGAATCGCAGAGGCGATCACGAGCGCTACGTGACCAGCTCGCCTACCCTGTTGATTTTATGCATACTATCAGAACTTGCTGGGCGCATTATGGCGTATGTAAATGCTGCCACGATCGCGATTGTCCTAAAGCAGTTTTCTTCGAACTTGGCTTTATTACGCATGCAAGCGTTTTGCGCGTCTGTTACTTTAGAGTCGGTAAGAAGTTGTCTTTTATTTTTCTATTTTTCTATTAAGATAGAATCACGAGTTTATCTCACCTTCATGATCTGGTCCTATTATACAGCTAGATCGAGCCTGTTACTATTATCCGTCTATAATTTAACTGAGGAATCCCTAGCATATCCTCCTTTTACCACTTGTAGCGATATGTGAGGTATTATTGCTACGCTATTACGCATCTATTCCGCTACGTGCTGTATATTCTCAACCGCGGAGACGTCCGTTCGTGGCGTGTCAGGAGTAGTAATTGAGACTGTGACTCACGTCGCTTCTGTTTAGATGCTGCTCTTCTTACTCAAGCAATGACGTCCTAGGTGTATATAGATTACCCCAGCTTTACTAAGCCGACCGTCTGTGGACATGGAATCTAGGCAGGATTAACACTGCGGTTTTACACCGTATGAGACTGTAAGAATACATACCGTGTTATTGACCTGGAACCAATGAACTGCGACTCGAGGTGATAGTGCATTAGCGTCACGCTAATTTGGATCGGATATCGTCGTGGGTTGCCCTTTTTGAATCGGAGCATCTTGCCATGCCCTTAATAGACCGCACCAAGACAACCTAACCGCAGAATATGCTTACTCAACCCTACCTTAAGCTGGCAGAGAGACAGTCAGTGATCTGACTAACGCAACAGCATCTTCGTATACTTGGAAAAATGAAAGGGTTCTGTCATGAAGTACTTACCAAGGTAAATGACAGTAGGAATCAGGATTAGTACATTGAATTGGGAAGCAATCTGGATCTCTTTCCCATTCAGAAGTATATAAGGCCTACAGCGCCTTACACAATTCTCAGCGATGTACAGACAATCCTAGTAGATAAATCGATATGGCTTCCTTCGACCTCACTTCATATAAGGCTCTCTCTTTCGACATTTATGCAACGCTCATCGACTGGGAGTCGGGTATCTTCTCGCAATTCCTTCCACTGCTCGGTAAACTTCCCAAGCATCATACATTATGGGACAAAAGCCTAGTCGACGTTCGAGGCTATCTACTCAAGCAATATTCAGCTCACGAACACGCCCTTGAAGTTCAGTATCCCGACGAGAAATATTCAGTGTTGCTGAGCAAGGTCTATGAGAATGTCGCGGGAGATTTGGGCATCGTCGTAACCCATGATGAAGCCAAGGCGTTTGGAGGGGCCATCGGGAGATGGCCGGCCTTCGCGGACACGGTGGCAGCCATGCAAACACTGGGCAAATACTACAAACTCATCGCGTTGAGTAATGTCGACAAGGCGTCATTCAAAAATACTCTAGAGAACGGCTTGCGCGGTGTTGAATTTGACGCCATCTATGTCGCCGAGGACATTGGGACCTACAAGCCGAATCCCAACAACTTCAACTACCTCGTCCAACATGCGCGCCAAGATTTCGGTATCGAGAAACATGAAATATGTCATACGGCGCAGAGCCTGACGTTTGACCATATTCCGATCGCCTCACTGGGATTTCCTCCCGCGGTCTGGATTTCTCGCGGAGGTGGCAGCATGGGTATGGGAGACATAGAGGCAGTGAAGGACAAGGTTAACATTGGGGCCACATATGAAACGTTGGGAGATATGGCGGCAGACGTGGAACTGGCATTCGGCAAGAACAAAGAATAGTTCAGCAGACTCTACAGAGATTGTTTAGCCAAGATAGCGTTTTAGGACACGTAAATTACAGGATGCGTCTTTACACAAGGGTATGAATAAGAAATGGCTATGTCTCTATAGAAGTAAAAGGTCAACTCCTAGTCTTTGCTGGACTGTCTTCCAATCTATTACCACCAGATCGGGATCTAAACCACGAGCAGTAGCTTCCTGAGATCTCTCATGCCATATGTGGTGGATAACTTTCCCAGCTATGAAACGATTCTGCATCCCTATCTGGCTTGAGATGGCCAGCCATTTCTCGACGATGACCTGATCTTCTTTTCCAGTAGCTTCAGTGGCAGCAATAAAGACAGGCCATAGGGATATTGACCCTCCTCGCCTGTGCATAAAGGTCATGGCGTCCGCAAGCACGGATCTGACCAAGTCTCGAACGCCACGGGGAGGAACCTTGAGAACAGCTTGGTGCAGATAAATTAGTGCCGCGGTACGGAAAAGTCGGAGGTGCAGGTTATTCAGAAAGCCGAGTAACTCCCTTTCCGGTAGTGATTCAAGAAAGATCTCGCGGTCCGGAACATCGAGATCCAGACCAATGCCAGAGTGATTCTGTGGTGATAATTCGACGAAGTATGCCTGAATGGAGACGCCTAGATCATCCGGGACAACGCCCAGTGCCAGCTTCTCCGCAAGTAGCCTGATGGATGAAATGGTGCGTAAAACTTTGCAGCTGGCGCCTACTGTGTACCCAAAGTTTTCGCGAGTTGCAACGCCGGCCAGGAGAATGTCCGTTATTGGGGACGAGCCATAGACCTTCGCGTTTCCTGTCTGTGAGATCTCGAACGAGAGCGCGAGGCTCTGAGATATTACCCAAGAGTGCGCCGACTGACTCCAAGGCTTTTGTTCAACAAATTGCGTGACGAATCCCCCGACACCGTCAAAGTGATTCCTCCAGGCGGTTGAGCCCCGCGCGTTCCCCTGTGACGCAAAAAGAATTATTATCAGGGAGCTTTCAAGTCCTCAATAGCTATCACTTACCTCGGATATCATCAGCGTATACAGAGTCGCAGCGCAGGCATCGTATTCTTCTTCCTTGGTGACGATCAGACTCCGACTTAGTTCTCTTAACGAAATGCCGTAGTGCTTCATTGCAACAGACTCTTTGCGATGAGAAGACGCACGGTTGTCCTTATGCAAGTTGGCCATGTTAAATGCTGATTGGGCAAGAATGGCATGGTATAATGCGCGCGAGGCGGCGGAGGAGTTTCGAAGCGCTGTCGATGGATAGACAGATTTCCATGGGTTTTCAGCACCATCCACTGGGATCATCAGAGGAGCGATCCACGTCACATAGTGGTGGAATATCATAGCCTCCTCCCTCGACCCTGATAAGCAATCGATTATTGTGGGTGTCAGGGAGCGCGCCACGAAATTGAAGTCTGCGCTTAACGGCGAGTAGTAAAAGCGCGCTGGACGAGGAGATGAAGATAGAAATTCCGTGGCGCCAGAGGACGACGTATCCTCGGCAAAAACATCCGATTCTGTGCGTATATCCGATGGATAAGCATTAAAGACAATGAATGGACTGGAGGAACACGAGGGCTCTGGACTTGCGGCATCAATGTCGTCCATCTCGTCAATCAGGCGTTGAAGGCTCCCTTCCTTGAGGGTCGGCCGGCCGCGCCATGTATGCTCGAAATCCATGCTCCTGCGACAGAATGGCGGATACGCGCCAGTCTTGGGATCTACCCAGACCAGCTCGATGCCGTAGCCTTCGCATTCGACCTTGTACTTTCTGCACGGGTTGCAGGGCAGACCGACGCCATCGCATTTGACACGCCGGCGGCGGCAAGTCCAGCAGGCGGAAAAGGACCTGGTGACCTGCTTGCGTGCTCGAGTCATCGTGTGTGAGATGTGAGCAGTGTTTCCCGTGATCGCTGCGCAAGCTGTTGCAAAGGCGTAGAGACTTGATCGAGTAAAGCTCCCGACTGGGCACAAGTTGGTAGATATATCATCACGTGTAGAATTTCAAGAAAGATAGAATGGCAATAACGATTCTTGAAATTGCCAACCCCGCTGGGATCGCAACTTATATGCATCCCGTCCATGCTAGCCATGGCCATCACAAATACCTAAGGTATGTAGCTTCGTCCTGGGTTGAAACAGTATGTGCACCGTATGCCCCGCAAATGCAGTAATGTCTGCGGCGTACCCGCACGAGGTCTTTGGTTCCGGCCCCTCTAATCCCTACATTGCCCACTTACGCCTGCATAGAGTCGATCCTGGCAATTGACAGCTTCACGTATATAAAGAGCTGGATGCGAAGAGGTTCAAGACGAGAGACGGGGCTACAGATACAATCGGATTGAATGAGAACAGAACAAGTCAAGAACAGAAATAAGTCATAAGCTGCTAACAGCGACAAATTGTCAACATGTGTAATTGCGTGCGTGGTTAGCATTATCTGCGCCGTGGAAATGAAACTAAGCATGGCGTGACTGAGCTTGAGTGTTCTGCGACTATACACTTTTCAAGCCGTATGGCTGGCTCGCCAATCAATCCGTCACATGTTTATCACTCTAACCTTCCACTCACTGGCAAGTATGCGGGTGTTCCCAAATCCCAATAGTTCCAATAGTAGCTCTGACGAGTAGCTCTTGAGGTTACAGATCTACACATCTTTTCAAGGCGTAAAATAAGGAATTGCGAAAAGTAGAAATCTACCTCTCTCGTTATACACTCTGGAGTGACACGTAGGGCCGAGCCAGCAAATACTCATTATGCCTATAAAATCTCAAGGTCACCGAGGCTGCACTTTGTTATTCGATTTGTGAGAGGAAGTATTGCAGAATGGACATGAAGAATGGGGCATACTGATTGTCTAGACAACGGCTGCGGAATGTGTTCTTCGAGTGGTTGTGCTGGGCCATTTACCAGTGAGCTCAATGAAGAGTCTTCTTCACAATTTGGACCGGTAATTTACTTCAAGCTTCGCTTATAATCAGGCGACAAAGTTATCATTTGCTCTGGGCTGGCACTTTGGTTTTTCGTCGGCTGTCCTACATCTCGCGTCCTAGGGTTTGTGTAATATGGCCTAGATAAAGAACTCCACCAGGGCACTGGACAAGGCAGAGTGCTTTTTTAATATACTTGTGACATCGACTGTATCACACTCCGTACAAGAGCAAAGGGTGGTACTCGAAGTACTGCTGCTATTGTTCTTCTTCACTCTACGATTGGTGTGTCTTCCAAGAGGAAATGACAGCCTGATAGCCTGATGAGAAGATGAGATGCGTGCCATGTTATGACAACCATCACTTCAAAACCCATCCCGATAACTTGGAGCTTGATGTATACTGAACGATATTCGAATTTGTTAGTAAAGTCAGTTTATGATTGCAAAACTCGTTAATTGACCTGGCTGCGAGTGCTATTATTAGGTAGATTACGCTTTGTCTGCATTCACGCCCGGTATCGCACTGGAAAGGCTTCGCGAACCAGACAAATTTCGAAAAGCCGACATCGTATGAGTGGGATGTGACGTGTTGCAAGCGGACTAGATTTACCTCTATTGACATTATTTTGCAGTGATGTGTGCCTTTGATCATATATCACGTTGGGATATATATACTCGACGAGGCTGGCATATTGGTAATCTTGGTTGTTGTCCCATGGGGTAATCGTTGAGTTCTTATTATTCAGAGGCTGACCTGGCCCGCTGCCGATCTCTTTGTATCGGAACTAGCGCTTATCCTAGCCACGACACACATCATGCAACTAAGATTGAGATCCTTGCAATATGAGCCTTACGGCTTCATATAGGAAATCGCCCAGGGAATGTCGGGCGATCGGCCGTTAACCAACGACGTATGAGAAGACTCACGCATGTACTGAGTCTACGTGACCCTTTAGTGTCCTATTTACAATTATGATTCTCTAGTAGTAATAGTTTATCTCTCTAAATTGTGGTAAACTACTTTGTAAGCAGTTGATGTTAATAGTGACATAAGATAAGTACGACTCCAGAAGTAACAGAGAGCAATTCGTGCAGCCTCTCACAGACCAGATGAAAGGTTTTGACAAAACAGAACGGACCATTGCTGAACTTGCCTGTTAGAGAGAATCGGAAATACTTATTATGTCTCATTTTAAAAAGTCACTCGCAGAATGGAGAAACAACGCCGATAAAATAATTGGCTATACACCCACATCTCGTATCCATGCCCTTCTGATGCAGATATTTGGCGGATGCCCGGCGCCAAGGCGGTGCAATATGCTGACTTTTCCGGCAACGTACGACTCGTTATAGAGTGCCTGAACCCCATGTAATGCAGGGAATCGACATCGTACTGGCTGTTTCCTCTTTTGATCCGTGCCAATGGGTAAGACTTCTGCCGTCTTATCATCGTGAAAGGCTCAGCTTCACAAAGTAAGCAAATATGTTGTGGGACTGAAAGCAAGACAAATCACTCCCACTGTGGTTATTCCACCATCTCGGCAATGATCTTCAGTCCTCAGTTGAGAGGACAATTATAAAAGGGCATCGAAATCCGGTTGAAACAGCAGCCAGTCCAAGCATATCAACCACTCTTCTCAACGAACACTCAACCCTTCTTACGATTCAGCAAGCTCTCATACTTTCATACTATTCATCATGAAGTTCTTCGCTTTGGGCCTTCTCTTTGCCAGCTCTGCTATGGCCGGACAGATCTTGTTCTGCAACCAGGAAGACTGTTCTGGTAGCTGCAGCTTCCAAAGCCCTGCTGGCAATGGAGCTTGCATTCAACTTGGCGGTATCTCGAGTGCCAAGGCGACTCAAGTAGATGCCGGGTGCAGCTGTGAGTAGATTAGTCTCGCACCTTCTCATGAATAACTGCCTAATAAGCTCAGTCTCCGTTTATACCGACCCCAACTGCAGCGACTTTGCCACCACTGTTGGCCTCGACAGCTGTGTATTTGCCCCTATCTTGGGCTCCTACTCTTACGACTGTTAGATTGGCAGGTGGCACTTACTGGATTCCCACTCCATGAATCCACATGACGACATGGTAGAAAACGTGGAAGCCCGCGACTATATATAAATAGCTCCCTTCACATATGTAGTCCTCAATACGATAGTTTGCTTCTGACTACTATACACTGCCTCTAGTACTATATGCATGACAGCACTGCCTAAGTATGAATTAGTTGCAGGGCTAAGATTCCAGACACTGACGTTACTGAAACGAATGATACTCATACTCTTCACATTGCAAGGAGTAAGATCACAACTAATGTTCTGCAATCAAGCATCTGCGAGGTGATGTAACGATCAATCTTACGTGATGTACACCACTTCCATATATCGGCTATCCTGCAAAGTACAATTACATCTTACTGTTATCCCATTGGCTGGAAACCCACCGTTCGTATGAGTTGGTGGTGTGTCCTTTAAGCTCTTCATCACGCGCACGCTAGGTTCTTCTTATCTGGGAATAGGATAATTGTGGAAAGACTTGCTCGAGCTCACTCTAGGTTTAAATCTGAGTTCGCATCCCCAGTACATTGCCTCAAGCTTCATTCACCTCGACGTGAAGCTTCCCCTTGTCTGCCTCCTCCACCAGTTGGTGAAGTCTGTCAGCTTTCGGCAGAGTGCTAGACTTCCAAGGCTTTACACCAGTAGCGAAAAGTTCGTCAATATCTGGAAAACGGGTTAACTGCGTGCTGCGTCACGATGAAGACTAAAAGATCCAACTGGTAAGGGGAGACTTGTGTATGAGATCATTACCTTCTAGGCTTCTTCGCTTAGTCTCTGGAAAAAAGAAGAATGCGTGAAGACAGGCAACAGCATTAAACGTGCCAAAAATGATGAACGTCTTCCACTGGATATTTTGAAAAGCCGGGGGCGTATAATAATTGTTGGCGAAGCCCAGAATCCAGTTAGCAGACGTTGCAATCGATACGGCCTTGCCTCTTAGGCGAATGGGATAGATCTCTGATGGATAACACCAGGATATTGGAGCCCAGGTGAAACTGTATGTCGCAACCAAAAGGTATGTAAACGCTATCACAGCAGCTTTGGCTGACTGTGCACCGTCATTCATCGTCCATGTCACCGCACTTGACCCATCAAAGCCTCCGGGTACATAATGACCGTACTGCGCCATGACGCCCGCCGTAGAGTATAGCCATATCATCATGAAGAATGCACCTCCAATAAGCGCAGGGCGTCGACCGATGCGATCCAGAAAGAAGATGGCTGGCAAAGTGAAGATAACGTTAATAATGTACTGAACGCTCGATGCGATGAGCTTGACATTGCCAGTAAGACCAGCCATCTGGAAGATGTACACGATGTAGTATAGCAATGCATTATTGCCGCTCAATTGTGTCCAGATATGGACGAAGATTCCGTTCGAAATGCGGTGGATGTTGTCACGATGGATCAACTCGGCCCATTTCACTTGGCCTTGCGATTCTGCAACGGCCATTGATTCTCGAATCTCGGCGTACTGCGCTTGCACAATTGGAGCTTGGTGGTTGCCTTGGCCATGAATGCTAGCGAGCACATCCAGAGCATCCTCCCATCTGTCCTGAGAGGCAAGCCAACGTGGCGATTCAGGAATAAAGAACAGCGCTGTAAGTAACACGATGGCAGGAAAAATTTGTACTGCCCACGGCACTCGGAATACCGCCTCCGATTTTGTGTATGACGTTCCGAAGGTAATGTAGTACATGATGAGAGCCTGGGATCGGTGAGCTATGGTTCCGACTGCCATTGCACGCTGACAGATGCTCGCTTACTCCCCAAGTAATGCTCCATTGTTGGAAACTCAAGATACGGCCCCTTGTTTCCGGGAGCGACAGTTCAGCTAGAAAGAGTGGCCCAGTAGAGGTGAACATGCCTGCCATTCAACTTAGCTTTTGTATATTCATCTGGGTAGATCAACGATCTTGCAAGTCGAGCGCTATATCTTACCAACTGCTCCGCCGCAGAGTAGCCTGCCAACTATCAACATTGCTATGTCAATACTGGCCGTACATATGATGGCGCCAATCACAAAAATAATGCACCCTGCCATCAAAGTATGCCTGCGACCAAACCTGTCAACGACAAGCATGTTGACTAGGCATCCCAAGAAGGAGCCGCCAGATATGCTGGCAGTAATACCGCCTTGCTGGTCAGCGGTCGGACTGTCAAATCTCTCTTTGAATGGTTTGGTGCTGAGGATCGCTGAGAGAGACGATATGTCAAAGCCTTGCAGCAGGCCTCCGATGACTAGGAAAGCCGTGATGACGTAGATGTTACTTATCTTGTAAGCCATCTTGAACAGAATCGACTTCGAGGGTAATGTGAAAGTGTAAGGGAGCGGAAACATTCACAGTAAGAAGTGCTATTTGTCTGTCTTGTATATATAATTACGGAGGTTAAGGCGTGTCATTCAGCAACCCAACTCCCTGTCGCCGATATCGCCAATTTGGGTATTTCATCAGCGTCCTGGCTCTGTCAAAGAAATTTGTAGACAGGACTAATGCCGAAGCAAAGAGAGAAGTGTCAATTTACCGCGGCCAAGCAATCCCTCTGATACGAAGAGGCTGAACAGGACTCCCCAGAATGTACTCACTCGTAGTGCGACGGACAGTCACCGCATCGCGCAATCCTTTGCTGATAGGCACTCTAAAGTAACAAGCTTATACCACTGCACCTTGCACCCAAATGTTATGAGCATGGATCGTGATTAAAGCGGCATGCCGTGGGGCTTCCGTTTCTACACAGAGAACTACATAGTAGCAGCAATTTCCACGAGACACGCCCAATGACACCGAGATCATCGGCACCAAGCTTCCGTGAAAACCGGGGTTATTTCCGCGCCAGACTTCCTGGAGCTGTCGCGACATATATAAGGTCTATCACGACATCTGTCGCTATCCTAGAATCTGGCGACGCTCAATGAACTCTATCCCAAAGGGGGATTGAACAGCGACTTCCGATGATGTCTTACGACGGAAGAGCGAATTGCAGGTGCAGGACGAGGGTGCATCAAGTCTTGGCAGCGCAACCATGACATTAGCTCTGCCGTTAGCTGCTGGATCTTCTCGCCCATATGTAGCTTGCCTATTGTCAGATCAAACCAAGCTGGCAAAACATATGTGGTGAACCGCAAAAGATCCTTGGCAACGGCTCCTCGGCACAAGCTCAAGCCGCATGGCTCCCGGAGCAAGTGAGGGCAAACGGGATGTGAGTTGTCATGGTGAAGCTGCATTTCGAGCAGCTCAAAATGCCGCAACAGCGCGACTGTGAAGCGACCTTATGGCTTGTGAGAAATGAACCAGGCCAATGAATTCGGTGGAAGAAACAGGTGATTTTGCCTTTGAAACATCGTGCTCAATGAGCTGTGGAACTAGGAAGCAGTTGGGCTTTGCACGTGTTGGCATTGTGGTATTAAACCTGCTACGAGGTATTGTATGTATTGCAGCGTATTGGCGTGCACAACCTATCAGAGCTCAATTCTCTTCTCTGTAAATGGGATGAGTTTGACTGGTGCTGTAAGCCCATAGGGTTGGCCACCATAACTCCCTGCATACTGTGACTGCTCCCATGATTGGGTGACATTGACTTGAAGCAACCTGTTTCTCAAGGTTGAAGTGACCTCGATTTTAACATCGTTTACGCCAGGTCTTAAATATGGTGTGATGTCGACAATTGCATCTGTGATGTCGATTGGGCCAGTCCATTCGCTGTTGATCCAAAGGCGGACAGTATTGAATACGGGACCCAGATCTATCAAAGCACCATTGGTGGCCCCTTGGGGGCTCCAAGCGAAGCGAGATGTGTACGTACCGACGCCAGACGTGTTATTGAGGCCGGTAATGTTGTACCATGGGATAAGCTTGTCAAGCTCGAAAGAGTGATACCGGTACGTAGAGGTGTAGTTGTGAAATCTGTCCGGGTTGGGAAGCCAATCTTGGATCGTGACATTCCACGGACCTAGTTCCAACGGAGTTGATTGTTCGTCGAGGCCACTAAGGGTAAACTTTCGGCCATCGCTCAAGGTGATCTCTTTGCTTCCTTTCGACGAAGAACGAGCGATGATGGAATGGCTGCTGGCAGCGTAGCTCAGATACTCGACATTTGTTTTGGCAACGTGCACGTCCGGCACGCGAACATTTGCGAAGAATCCATGGGGCGCAAATGCCAGTATGGTAGACTGGTTTGACCGAAGCTCGACCCAGACATTGAACCTGTCTCCAGACGTTGTATAGTTTACCACCGGGGCGATGGCCCCTGTCCATGCGTCTAATGTATACGGAATTCCGTCTCCTCTGATGGAAACTTCCGTAGCGTGGTCATCGTAGATGTCGGAGTTGTATACCCAGTAGTAGTCCACATGATTGTCTTCATCGATCCTGTGGACATACAAGATCGGGGCTGGAGCTAGGTTCTTTGCCGCAGGTTGCACATTTAGTGCCAGCAAAGCGTCAACTACTTGGTTCTCCGACTGCAGTGCTTTGACCGAAGGATATTTGAGCAGCTTTTGGACCTCTTGTTTGACGTGTTGGTCGCATGAGTCGCAGTAGTAAGGAGTTGTCTCGGGGACACCGCCGACGAAAAGGATGGGGAATCCGAGGTCAGCATATTCTTGAAATTTGGCAACGGCTTCAGATGTTATGTTAGTTGAATTATCCACAATGAAAGCGGAAAAACCTGGGCCGCTCTCTGCTAGCAGACCATTCGTGATAACTGCATTATCCTTGAGTCGTAGCTATGTTAGCACCAATTTGACATGAAACCAAAATGGGAACCGTACCAATTTCAGTAGCGAAGGGCTCACAGAAACGTAAGAATACCCGGCATTTTGCAGTGACTGATCCCAGAATATGTTTTCCCCCATGTTGTAGTGCTTAATGTCGACTGAGAGATACTTGTGACGGTATATGCCAATGTCCACCCTCGGAACACCAGACTGGAGAATCAGCTGTGTCCTAGCAATCCAGTCACCCATCTCCTTGACGTGAGACCAGCTGGGCTGTCTGGGGCCCCACATCTCCGAATACAACCATTCAAAAGTTGTAAGGCCAGGCCATTCGACCTCTGGTCGAAGCCCGGAGTAAGGGAAGCCATGAGTGACAATTCGATTGACACCGCCTGCGTAGTTGATCTTGCAGTCGTTGAGGATGACGGGCCAGGTGATTGCGTAAGACTCATAGCGGTGCGCTCCGAGCTCGCTGGAAAAGATTTGCTTCTTGCCCATCATGGCACCGCCGCCCATGGCGCGGAAGGCATCGATTACCCCATCGAAATAGTTGGACTCCGTCTCAGGCGCGTCAATGTGTGCAGCTGCCGAGTTCATGTCCCATGGTGGCGCTGAGTTTGGCGCAGTGGCGTAAGGTTGCAGGCTTCCCTGGAGGCCCCATTTGCTTGTCCACTTGGAAAGGCCATCCAGGTGATACTGTTCATACATCTCTTGGAGACACTGGTAATAGTCATTGCGTAGTTTCCAGCTGATGTCCGTTCCATTGGCCTGGCTGTTGAAAGCGTAGTAAAAGTAACCGTTTGCGAGTGTGCTGGGCGGAAGGCCATTTGTCCCGAATAATGCCGGCAAAGCTAAGGTAATATCGTAACCCCGTGTCTTACGAAAGTACGAGCGCAGGTTGTCGGTCCAGAACAATGTTGCACGGAATTCAGCTGAATCTTCCCACGCATACAGCCCGAGCTGTCTCAAAAGATCGCCGTTCTCGCCACTCATCACATATTGCTCGGTAAAGCTCGTCCAGAGATCCGTTCCTTCTTTGCTGAAGTGATCAACAACATAGGCAAACCAGGAAGCCGGATTTCGAGGATCAGTCGCATTGTTGAACGCGCCTTGAGCAGCAAGATAGCCAGTTCGACGCTGATAGAATGCGAACAGGACGTAACTGCCTCCATCGGCTGGCGCCGTATAGTGCAGTTTGCCGTCTGTAACTGAGTCTGTGATGTCGACAACACTATCATAGTCGAGCTGAACCACTCGCGGATCTTTGGAGAGTACTTGAGGAGCAGGGAAAAGAATGGCAGTGAGCATAAAAGCTTGAAAACGCATTGTCCGTCTTGGATCTCTCACCTTTGCTTTTGCGTGCAACAACAGCGGCGACAAACTTGTTCGTGAAGTTGGTAAACGGAGCAACGAAATCCGGCTTGTTGGCATAACCTGCATCTGTTCGGCTAGGAGGAGGGACATCTCCGTCGAAAGTTTGCCCCGAGGCCAAGGTGATACTGCCGTATGCCAACTCGGTATTCATCCCCGGAGAGTCGGGATCCAAGATTGGAATTGAAGCGCCCTGCGTTGGCCCCAAGGCGAAGTCCACAAGGAGGTTCAGATCTTGCGAAGCCCTCAACATGGTGTTGAACTTTTGGCGCCATTTCTCTCCCCCATATCCATATATGGCCGGATCAACCACAGCCGGCTCGATGCCGTAGTTTTCCAAGCAGATAATCTCAACACCGCCCCATCCTGCTTGCTTAATCTGCTTCAAATCTGCGTATAAGACATCGTCGTCCACATCAGCATCTGGAACCCAGTAGCGAAATGTTGGCCGAGCCAAGCCCTTCGGATCAGCAAACTCTGAAGGAACATTGTACGTGATCCATGGGGCTGGACGACTACCGAACCCTGGGTTCTTGTCGGCAGTTGCCGCAGTGTTTCCGACCACCACCAGGCCAAACAATAACAACAATGACACCCTCATCTCAACCTTAATCCCTCTGGCAACAAATTAAAAAACGCGAAATTGCTCTGCTGTTGTCATATTAGGGACTTGCAAATGCGTAGGCACTGGTCGCTATGTAAGACAATTGGTGCTAGCCACGCCCATATACTCTGCTTCAATCGAGACGACATCGCCACGTGGCTTGGCACAATCAAGCTGGAGCAATCCATAGGCCAACGGAATCACATCATCGCAACCCTGCATCATCTCTTCATCAATAGTTCACTTTTCAACGTTTCGCTACCGGGTCAAACTGCGGGTTAAAGCACACCGAAGGCCAAAAGGTGAAATCATCTCCACATCTAACTAGGTTAAGCGGAATCGACCAACTCTTGCCGCTTTATCTCGACGTATGAGTTCCCTTGCGACGGGTCGCAGCGATGATGAAATCGAGTGCCCTGGACGGATGTGACTTGGACTAACTACTATCAGTACCTCGTTGAGGTTCCGAAGTTGCCGATCTTCGACTGCTACCCACACGCGGTAACGCACCTCGACCCTGTCTTGTCTCCTTCGTTCTCCGGCAGGTAGGGCCATCGCGTGGTTTCCAAAGTCATTGGTGGGCATTCTGCCGAAGTTTGTATCTCCGTTTAGCCAAAAGCAATATTCTTCCTATGTAAAATAGCACCTGGCTAGGACGAAATAGAAAAGTCTTTCCCGACGGGCCGATGAGGAGTTCCACCACCATCACAACGCGGTGAACGTGCATGTAATGCAAAATGGAACAATCTCCGGTTATCGGTGAGGAAAGGGGAGGAGTTTGAGAAACTCTTGAGTGGCAGGATGTAATCGGTAAATCACAGTTTCTTCTAATGTTATATAGCTTAGGAAATTAGCACTCTTCACCAGGTCCAACAAGGACGAATTGGTTTCGACATACCACGATTGCCATTATGAAGCTCTTTTCTTCGGTATTATGGGTTCTGACAACCATCCTGGTGGCGAATGCGCACAGCTTACCGTCTCCAGAACACACATGTGTTATCCCTGCTTCAAAAGATGGGAGTGATGATTCTCCTGCGATCCGCGAAGCGTTTGCCAAGTGTGGTAACAATGGGAAAGTTGTATTTCAGAAAGATACTACATACAGTATCCAGACCGTCTTGCAGCTACATAATTTGAAGAATGTTCAAGTGGATATGCTTGGCACTCTTGAGGTAGGGATTTGGCAATATCTTGACTGGTTGTCGTAGTTTATTAACCGTGTACAGTATTCGACAGATGTCCGGTACTGGATCCTTCACGGGTCATACTATTACTTCCAGAATATCTCTATTGCTCTGGAGTTTTCTGGCGAAAACATTGTAATTGACGGACATGGCTCTGGCACGATTAATGGCCAAGGCCAAGTGTGGTATGATCTGGCTCTTGGTGTTGGTGGGCTATACGGGCGTCCTATCCCATTCTGTCTACGAAACGTCAAAAATGCAGTGGCGAGGAATTTTAGAATCCTGCAGTCCGGTAAATGGTAAGCTCACGTGCTCCGCGTCTTTGTAAGGTGTCTCATTGACTTCGTTATAGGAACTTTGTCATGGTGGAATCTCAAAACGTTCTCGTGGACAATATCTATTTGTCTTCTACTTCTGACGACTTCCAGGTAAGTCGTTGAGCACTCAAAGTCTTCTGCAGCATCGCGTTATTAACTAGTTAAAGGCCAATCCAGGCAATCTTGGCAATACAGATGGATTCGACACCATTAACAGCAACAACATTACTATTCAGGTTGGCCCAAGGGTCCCATGAGCCATTTTAGAACATGACTGACATTCCTTTAAAATAGAACAGCTGGGCAAACGTTGGTGACGATTGTGTCAGTTTTAAGCCTGGTTCTACAAACATGCATGTCAAGAACTTGACCTGCTATAACAGCGCAGGCATTGCAATAGGCAGTCTTGGTCAATATGAAGGAGTGCGCGATGTCGTTGAAAATATCACGGCAGAAGACGTTTCTGTATGCTCACACCCAATCATTGCAACTATATGGTTAGTGATAGGAGACTAACATGTCATATAGCTCTACGGAAGCCGCAATGGAGCTTATATCAAGACGTATGTAGGTAAGAGAACCTACTGGCCTCCACAGGGTGGCGGCGGCGGGAATGGTTATGTTCGCAATGTTGGTACGTCTGCACAGAACTATGTTATTCCTATTTTGGGTATTCCCATATGCTAACAGCAATAACTAGTTTTCAAGAACTTCCACATAGAAAACATCACCGCTTCACCTGTTCTTATCCAACAGTGTACTCATTGGGCTGGATACAACGTGCCAGCATGTGCTGATACACCACCCACTGGTTTCTTTTCGAATATTTCGTGGTCTAACTTCACGGGATATATGAACGAAAAGGTCGGAACAAAGGCAATTAGCTGGACTTGTTCCCCTCTTGCAACATGTGAAGGGTTTTCGTTCAAGGACATCAATGTCAAGTCGGCAAACGGAACAGAAGGCACATATAGCTGCACGAATGTCGTTGGCTATGACTCGACCTGTCAGGCACAAAACTGAATGTAGAATAGATAGACTGTGAAAATATATATATATAATAAATCACAAACTGACTGCAATCACTTGAGGTACTCTATCCTTATGCCTTGGGGAGAACGTAGCCCTCCTCCAATTCTTCTCTCCTGGAGTTATCGTTAGTACAGCAGCAAAAAGAGATCATGCTGGTAGGTCAACTTACAGAAATACCCCAAATTCAGCCACATACGCCAACCAATACTTGATGAGCTCATTGAGGATTTCCGGCTTCTCTTCTGCCAGATCGTGAATTTCACCTATATCGTTGTCCATGTCATACAGCTGCCACTTTTCAGGGCCTTTGGGCTTGGGAATAAACACAGCTTTCCAATTCCCTTTGCGAATTGCTTGATGGAAGAAGAGCTCCCAGCCGGTTACGTGGTCTTCGTCGTGCACGCGGGGAGCTTCGCCAAGCAAATGCGGAAGCCAGGATTTGCCCTTCACCGGAACAACTTGTCGCCCTCTAAAGTCTGATCCCGGCTGTGGAATACCTGCCAGGTCAAGAATTGTCGGAAGAATGTCCATAACCGTGGTGAACGAATCAGTAATGCGCCCATTAGACGCATGGGCAAATCGTGGGTAATGGATGATGGCGGGGCAGCGAATGCCTCCTTCCGTGACATAGCCCTTGTGCATCCTACACGGCGCGGTGGAAGCTTGCGCCCACTGAGGGCCATACCAGATAAACGAGTCGCGATTACCGAGATTCTCATAGTCGTTGTTGTAATGTTTGTCAATGGACTTCTTGATAACGTCTCCTGTCATGGGAATTGCCTCAACAATTGCTCCCTCGGCTCCGTTATCGGACATGAAGATGACAAACGTATTGTCCCACTCGCCAATTTCCTTGACCTTGGCAATGACTTTGCCAATATTCTCATCCATTCGGTCGACCATGCCTGCAAATACCTCCATTGTTTTCGCCGACCACGCTTTTTCTTCCGCTGACATTGCATTCCACTCCTTTGTTGACGCAATGACTGGATGAGCTTCGACATCCTCTGGAAGGAGCCCAAGTTCAATCTGTCGTTTCAATCTCATATCCCGCAAAGCATCTGGGCCGTCGTCATATTTTCCTTTGTACTTTTTGATGTTGGATTCTGGCGCTTGAAGAGGCCAGTGTGGCGCCGTAAATGGGAGAAACGCGAAGAAGGGCTTTTCTTTGAGAGCCGCGCTGTCTTCCCTTTCGCCCAAAAAGTCAATTAGCCTTCGCGAGAAATAGTCTGAAGAGTAGAAGTCTTTAGGAAAGTCTTTAGTCTCGACTCTCTGATCGTCCTCGTAGTAGAGACTGGCCCAATGAGCAAACACAGGAGTGCCGTCAGAATGCTTCGGCTCGTAGGCATAGTGACTTGAGCCACCAGGTAGAAGGGCAAAGGAACGATCAAACCCTCGGGCATATGGCGTTCGCTCCTTTGTCAGGCCAAGGTGCCATTTCCCGCTCATGCATGTATAGTATCCTGCATCCTGGAGAATCTCTGGCAGAGCTGCAACGCGAAAATTGAGGTATCCTTCGTAGCCTGGTCGTCCGGACCATGGGACTGGCGGATCACGCCCACGGCCCCAGTACTCCATCTGTCCAAGGCCGGCAATGTGATTGTCAGTACCTGAAAGAAGCATCGAGCGTGTAGGGGAACACATCGATGCTGTGTGGAAGTTGGTCATGCGTATGCCAGAGGGCGCGTAAGCTAGAGCGTCGAGATTTGGCGTCTGGATCTCTCCACCAAAAGCACCAATGTCTGAGAAGCCGAGATCGTCGGCGACGATGAGGATGAAGTTGGGTTGCTTAGTGGGAGCCATGTTTGCAGACTGTAAGTATTGCTTTACTTGTAAAGTGAGAAGTGGCCTGGGTATAAAGAGCTGAGGGGAAAGTGCAGTAAGTATTAGATATTTTATATAGACGTACTTAGTATAAGTAGTATAAGAGAAGCTTAAAGCAGCAAGAGATTAAAAATATATTTAACCTATAGTAAAAGAGATATAAAAAGAGAGATTTAAATAAAGTAATTAATATAATTATAAAAAATAAGATATATATTATATAATTAATTATATATAATATTCTTTTTATTTTAAATCTTCTATATATTTATAAAATAATATTATAAATAATAATAAATTAAGATTTTATTATAAGTGAAAATAGTTTTTTTTTTAAAATAAACTTATTATTTTAAATATAGCTTTAGAATTTTTTTAGTTAAATTATATAAGTTTTATATAATTAATATAATAAAGTGATATATTTTATAAATTAATATTTTAATAGTAAGTAATATTACTACTTATTACTAATTATTTAGTAAACCTAAATAGTTATAATTAGATAAATATAAGTTTAGCACTCTTTTCCTAAATAAGTAGACTAATATCTAGAGAGAGAAATAGTATAGGAAATTTATAGCTAATTAGTCTTATGAAATAATATGCAGAGCGAATGTTAATTAATCCTTACGTCCGTCCAGCCTCGCTTTAGTGGGAGCCCCTGAGGTCTTGATATATCCTGATACAAGAGTAATTTATACATTGCAAACCTCGGCCACCCGCGTCTAGTCTGTAGGCGAGAACATTGAAAACTGACAATCGGAGGGTGCCAAACTTGCCATCCACGTCTCATCTGTGGGATCCCAACTGTTGTGTTGGATTTGATTATCCCAGGCATTCTAGCAGAGTTAGTATCGGCTTTTTAAAGGATGGAATGTTTTGAGGAGATGTGACATATGGACACAGGACACAGAAATATTGGAAAAGCGCTTACCCAATCAAACCCTTCGGGATTGTTCATCATATCCTCCATCGCCATCGATGTAGGCTCTACCATTCCGCTGAGGTCTAGGTCCGCTGACTGCTTGCTGGCCTCGTTTGCCTGCGTTTCGCCAGGGAAGAACACCTGGGGCTGGCTGTTTTCCAAGGCGAGACGTCCGGTGTCATCTGCAAAGTGTTACTAGCCTTACATAGTAAGAAGTCTGAAAGAGGATATGGGACAACGTACGATTAATATTACGCAGCCTCGACCTTCGGTCTCCCACTGGCTCCTCTCCTCTGTCTCTAGAGCCCGGATGGTTTCTCTTAGCACTTTGAAGCATTAGCGCCAGCGCTTTGGATGCCTTCCGAGCTTCCGTTGAGGTTTCACTGAATGTGGTCCAAATGCTGTACGAGGTCTCTAAAGTTTTTGATAGTTCTTCTTGGCTTTTGGGTGTCGAATTCATTGAGCCAGGGTATAGATTTGGTGGGTCGCTCGTCGTCTTCCAGGAGAGTTCCAGGCATAAGATCATCGCAGCCAGAAGAAAGTCATGGCTGGTTAGCGATGATATATACCATCTATCTCTATACAGCTGGCCCCCTGGTAACGTCTCGTCGTAGAGGTCACTCTGGTGGCGAATAATCTGCGTCGCTGCATCTACACACGACCACCTTGAGTAAGCATATCTCAGATCTGATCGGTAGTCGGTCAAGTATCTGCGATGAAGCACGCATCGGGCTTTCTGATAGAGCAATTCGAGATTATACCGTTGCATGATGAGGTCTGGTGGATCGGTAATAGACATGGTCATGGTACGGATGCGCAAAAAAGGCGGCAAAGAGGTATGTGCGTCCTGGAGATTCTTATCAAGCTGCGTCACCTCCTCGTGCATTGCACCTCCTGTCAAGTATGTTTTTTCGACAATCCGGGCGAAAACAGACACAAGCTTTCCTTTCATGATTGTGTATGTCACCGGAGTACGCTCCGTAATTGGCCGAGGCGTGGGAAGCACCTTTGTCGTCTCGTCAAAGTCCTCGTCAAGAAGGTTATGAGGCAGGCCCGCGTCGCACTGCGAATCAGATATCGTTCTAGGAAGACCAACTTGGAACGAAACAAGATGGTCTACTTGCCATATCAATGCCCAGGCCCGTCTCCGCATTTCACCTTCAAAAACCGAAAGATTCTGATAATGTTTTGAATCGCGATGGTAGCCCATATGCATGGCCAGCTTAACGATGACGCTGACCAGAATAGAAATGCCAATCTGGCTATCTCTGGTCCTCATGAATTCTGTTCCGGAGTAGAGTAGGAGGGCCTCGATCTTGTATCGACCTGGTCTGGTGTAGTCTGCGAGGGCTAGGCATTGCGCAGCACGGGTTCTGTAGAAATCGCGAGCGCGCCTTGGCTCACCCAGCGAGCCCGGAAGTGCATCGCCTGCGCGCTGGTAGAAGGAGACTGAGTAGCACAAGATATTGAAGAGGAGACCGACCCAAGCAACAGGTGCTGCCTGTTAGTTCTCCCAAAATTGAGTGTACTATAGTTGTCATCAGTTTTCGTTTGTAGATATATTCTCAAATAGTTACCTCTTTATAAAAGGTCGGGATATGGAGGACCACTGAAATTTTATAAGCATTTATTCTACACCTTAGAGAAGTATTAGGGCATTGCCGTGCCCTCACATACTTAGTATAGGCTCCTTAGAGTTAAAGTACCGAGAAACGAGCCGGTCGGCAACAGGCCTTGAAGGGAGGGATGCCAGCAGATCAGACCGGTTCATTGACGGTGATAGTCCAAAAAACAATGTCAGTCCGTAATTCTCTTCTTCTGCAGTGTCTGGAAGGGGGTCGCCGCGTGCTTGTTCGAGGGTATCTGTGCAGCCCTTGAGCTCTGCTATCTTTAGTTGCATTAGCTTTGCTGCGGAAAAGAGGCCACCGACATGTCCGTTTTCGGCAAACACCTACATCGTCTATGATAGCTTGCCAATGCGTATCATCAAACCATCTTGTGCCCATCTGATCTCCAAGCATTGTCCCTGGAGTGCCGATCTCTTGCGACAGCCCACCATCATTGTCGGGAACTGCTACACGAATCGCTGCCGCGTCGGCGCTTTGGTTTTGCAGACCGGAATTTCGAGCTCCCAAGGAAAGCACGAGATTTTCCAAGTGACGTACCCTCTCAGCAATGTCGCCAGAGTAGGTCACCCGGCGAGCTTGAGCAGTTCTGTTGCGCACCGCAGGAGTGGCATACTGGCATGATTGAGACTGGTTGCGTTTTGCGCAGTTGTCGCAAGGATGCCCTCGGTCGCACTTGAGCCTTGAGGTAATTGGATGAGATAAATTAGATATGTATAAAAAGGAGGCCTGTACTTACTTCTTTTGTCTGCAGTATGTACAGGACAGTTGAGGTCTGAACCGCCGCCCTTTATTGTAAGATGGTGGGTTTATAGAAGGGTCCCTCCTCTCTGATAAGGTTGCCATTCGATTCGCTTATGTGGGGGAGCAACAATTGCTTTACTATTATAGTACAGAGGTGTTTAATAGCGCCTGATAGAAAACACAGAAGCCGTGCAGTTATGTGCTGGGTTGAGATAAAAGTAAATAACATTCTTTATAAATGAGTGTGATAAACTAGTGTTCTTATAATTAGTAAGAACAGTCTTTCCTAAAGGATAAACCTAAGGTTTAAGGGTTTATATTAGCAGAGAGGTTAGGTTAAATGTATTAATAGTAACTTATTATATAGCTAGGAATATAAGCAGTAGATATCTAGATTTTAATCTAGTTATATTATTATTACTATACTACTTATATAATAATAACTATCTATTTAAACTATCTAAATAAGTAATATAAATAAATCCTTATATAGCCAGTTATCTTAATATCCTTAATATACTTAATCCTTAAGTTTATTAAGTTATCCTTAATCTACTTAATAGTTAAGTTTATTAAGTAATTCCTAATTAGTTAAACAGCCTGATATTTATCTAGTGCTATCTCTTAAAAGTAGCCCTTTATTATAACTATAAGGTTAGGTTATAATATAATATCCCTCTCTTATTAGTCTTATCTTTAAGACTTTGCTTATTTTATTAAAACCTTATAAGTCCTTTACTTTTTTATAAGTGTTTTTTATTTATATATCCTTTTCTTTTTATACTAACTATAATAGTTAGCAGTAAGTATAAATATTTTAAGTTTTTTTAAATACCTTAGCAGTAAGCTTTAGAGCAGTTAATCTTACTTAAACTATTAATTATAAAACCTTATTAATACTATAAGAAATATAGTTTTTAGTGTTTTATATTAAAAACTAATTCTCTTTACTATTTAAGCTATATTTATTCTTAACAGCCTAGCTATAAAGCTTTTAGTTTATTAGTATCTTAACTTTATTATATAGCTAATAAAAGTGCTAATCTTAACTTTAAGCTAGAAAAGGCTAAAGAAGCATAGCTTAAAGCAAGTGTATATATTAAATGTCTTTATATATAAAAGAAGGAATAGGCTAAAAAAATATAAAGGGCTATTACTTATAGAATTAATAATCTAAAAGAGTTAAAGTAAGTAAAGAAGGCAGAGTATAAGGCAGTAAAGGCTATATACTAGGCAGAAGTATTAATACCTAATTTAGCTAGTTTTAATATCCTAGCTTCTTTTATTAACCTTATTAATTAGGACTAGTTTTTATTAAATCTCTTACTATTAACCTTTATAAGTTTAACTATTAATAAAAATAATTAACTAGGGTTTTTAAGTATTTAAGATATTTAATAAGTTCTTAAGTGTTATTAGCTTTATTATAATTTTTTTATTTTATAAGGTATTTTAGCTATTAGGTTTTTTTATTAAATTTTATCTAAAGTATTTATTTAACTTTATATTTAAGTTCTTTACCTTTAATTATAATTTTATTATAAATAATTTCGCCTATTTCTTTATTTACTATTACTTTCTTAAGTAGTAATATATAGAAAATATTATGTATACTTTATTTTTATTATCTTTCTTTTACTAAAAGGTTAAGTTTATAATTAACTTCTTTAATTTATTTTAAAACCTTATATAGTTTAAGTTTTTTTAAAATTAAGCTTATTACTTAGCTAATTTATTTTAATATTTAGTTATTTTTCTTTATATATATACTAAAGTAAGTAAACTATATCTCTCTCTTAAAGAATTAGTCTTTTAATTCTTCTTTAATTTATATACTTACTTATTCTTTCTTATATAAATTTAAGTTATATTCTTATCTTATTATACAGTTCTTTTAATTAATCTACTATAATAATTACTTTTTCTGTATTTTTACCTTATTATAATAGTTAAAATGCTTTTAGTTTAAATCTATAGTTTATATAAAATAGTAATTTCCTTATTAATTCTACTAGTATACTATTATATAAGATTTATACTATTAGTAAGTGTTTAACCTAGTTATTTTATTTAAAGTTAATATAGTATTATAAGTATATCTTAATAATCTAGTTAATCCTTTTTATCTATCTATCTATTTATAAATAATAAGCAGTACTAACTTTATAATTTAATCTAAGTCTAGCTATAAGTAATTACTAAAATTTTAAAATAAATATTAATCCTTTATTTAAAATAATTTTATTTAATAGTTTATAATTAGTATAAATATATTTTTAAAACTAATATACTAAGTCTTTAGCTATACTACTTTCCTTAGCTAGAATAAAGTAGCTTATTTTTATTAATTAGTTAACTATTATAAAGATACTATTTTAAGTTTTTCTTATTATTAGTTTTTTTAAAAGTAAAAGCTTAATAATATAGTTAAATAAGATTAATTCCTAAGGCTATGTTAAAACTTATAAGGGTTATAACTTTTTATAAGGAAAATAGCATCCTGCTTTTACTTATTTATATATAATATATTTTAAAATAACCTTTTAAACTATTTTTTTAATACTATTAAATTTATAATATTACTAAACTTACTAAGTGGTTTTCCTTATTCCTTAATATTTATATATTAAATATATATAAATTATCTTAACTACTTTTTTTTATAGTTTATTTAGTACTTAGATAAGTTTATTTATTATTAAGTAGCCCTTTTTTATAAAAGTGCCTTTTAGAAACTATTCTTTAATCTAGTTCTTAATATACTCTTTAATATTATTAATAATTAGATTATCTTCTTTAATTATAAATATAGTATTTAATATTTTTAATACTAAGTTTTTATCTTTATTATGCTATAGTACTTATACTTATATATCTAGGATTTTCTAAAAATAGTCTAGTCTTTTATTAAGTGTATTAGCTTTACTATTTTCTATTCCCTTATAATACTTAATAATTAAGTTAAATTTTAATAAATATTTATAATATTTAACTTATTTTTATAAAAGTTCTTATATAATAGTAAAGTAAGTAATATTTTTATAATTTATAAGGATTATTATAAGGAATTTACTTCCTTAACAGTAGTTTCTCTAGTGTTTTTTATTAAGTGCTATATAAATTGCCTTAAATTCCTTATTAGGGTTAGGGTTAGGGTTAGGGTTAGGGTTAGGGTTAGGGTTAGGGTTAGGGTTAGGGTTAGGGTTAGGGTTAGGGTTAGGGTT